GAAAAAACTACGGAACCGACTTTCCTAAAGAATTCCTGGTCTATACTGAGAAATATGGAAGAGTTATGAAGGGCAAGGGACACAGCGCCCAAATTTGATGTTATTGCACTCTCAGTGCGATTACTTACTGGTCTGACCTCGACGAACAGTAGTCGTCGACGTGAAATGTCGCTTGATTTGCATAGAACGATGTCCTTGATGCGCACACCAAACCTGGGCAAGTCCACGATAGTATCGGCCAACCTGGGCCAACCTTGTAGCCTAGTGGTCCACTTAGATTCAGGGGCCACCACGGTTCCTTCGAACGCGTTGTGAAACCTAGATCCTTTTCATTTCATTCACGACGATTATTTCAAAGAATTAATCTATCAGGTTGCCCCAAAAGTAAGTCGCTTTCGACATAAATCAAACAGTTTTTGTTTTCCTCGTAGACGTGATTCGCTGTGAATCAAAGCAAAGAAAGACAATTAGAGAGCGAAGCTCTACAAAAAGACCACCAAGGAACCACCTAAATCGTAATCTAGGTCAGGCTTTGAGCCAAAATTGAAATTTTTCAGCTACTCTAACAGACTGTAAGATCGGGTCGTCATCCAAAAAAAACTACTGTCCTCTAGCATGGTTTAAAAAACAAAAATAGCGCGAAAATGCGAAAATGTCACTCCTTCTCCAGTTTTCTAGTATGTTCAACTTGGTATTTTTCGATTATCAGTGCACAAGAAGTATGCCCTATAATATATATCATGCAAGTATAGAATATAATAGAAGTATAGTAGAAGATGTAGTATAGTAGAAGTGTAATAGAAGTATGGTATAGAAGTAGTATTACGTATAGAATCACATGTGTGTGTGGAGCAGGGGGTAGAGTTTACCACCTTCGGATAATGTTTTTTTTTTCTAGGTTCCTTATGAGAGAAGGGCAATTAGCAAGTGTTTTCATAAACTTTACTATTATACATATTCTATGGTCACCAAGTTGTAGCCTTGTAGAATTTTTTCCCGCAAGAATCCAGTTCTCAGGTGGTAAAATTACTTTCTTTGGCTCTAAGCTTTACCTGGATACGACTAAGGTAGATCTTCTACGGTCAATTTGTATAGCTCGTTTCGCTCTATCGAAACTGTCCTAAGTGCTGGGGAAACGGAAATAGCTAATTTATCAAAAAGAGGTTTCCTTTTGGCTAAGAATACTTTTTGCTTTTTGCTTGAAAACAATTCGGGAACTCATTAGCTGCCTCTAGTTTACCCAAATTCTGCCCTCTTGTAAGTGTAACCTTGTTGGGTTCCACTTCTCCATCGGTGTACGTGTGTGGACCCCACTATGTTCTTCAACGTAGCATTGCGAACTCATTCGTTTACTTCTTCTTCTTTAGCCCTTCCACGTAATTTATACTTTCGTAACCACTGGAATACTGATCCGCGAGAGTTGTGGCATAGAGACAACTTCATTGGCAGCAATTTTCTTTTATTCCGACTTGCTTGCCGGTGTCATGAGTAGTTAATAAGTCAACAATAAAATTATCTTTTCTGCATTTATAATAAAAATACATAACAGTTGTGGTTGGCGTTGCCTTCGATACAGTACCTGGAAATCAAAGCTTAAGATTCGGTTGTATTTTGAACCACTTACTTCAAAGAATCCGCTTGATAGCTGACCGCACCGTCGACGCACATTACAGTGACAGACTGATCAGGATAAAGAGCTGTCACCTCTCCGTAAATTGCTGACTTTAGTGTACTTGATGAAGTAGCGTTGTCTATGTGCTAAAAAGACCGTAAATGTATTTTTCAAATCAAATTTCTCAGAGTTACGTACCTTTCGCATGATTTCGCTGATTTCAACGCTGTTGCAATGGCCTTGCTCACTTTGAAAGCCTGCTTTCTTCTCCACAGCACCACGGACATAGTCGATCTCGCGCTTTCGTCTAATTTTGATATTGTTAATAGTATGCATCCCATTACTTGTGACTATTAATTACCACGGACCGCGCGCGGCTAGCAGTAATCAGTTGCTAGGAGAGCTCAGGTCGCCGAATCGCAAGCATGCTATTCCATTTTTGTAAAGGTTTTTACATTTTCATATCAAATTTTACTGTTTGATGAAAATTTCCAAATCTTGCAAAAATGGAAAAGATAGTGAATGGAAGTATGGAAGTTACTACTCTCTGATACAAAATATGTACTTTTTGCTCAATATGACAACGTGGACCTTAAACATTTCCTCTGAGACATTTCCTTTGGCCCCGCTACCTCTCGCCAGGGTTACCGTGACGCTGCGTCGCGGCAATTGCATAACTGATACCCACAAGCAATGGCCCCCCCCCTTGTTAACACCATGGTTAAAATACGAAGTAGCACATTTGTCAATTTTGCTAGCGGTGTCGAATAACAACGATAGATGCTTTGCCTATTCCAGAAAAACAATCACTTGCAATGCGTTCTCAAATTTATCAAATGCATGACTTAGCGAAGAACATCATTTCTCACAAATCCCCGTCTAGGTAGATTCGGATCTCGATACCTGGACATTTTTTATGTGGGTACTGTGGGTACTTACTGGGGAGCGTTGACTAAACACTGTCCAAAAATCAGCTCTATGCTTCCTGTCAAGAAAATTTGGATAGAAACTCTTAATTGTATTGCGGCGAGGACGCTGATTGATCCGCTCGAAAAGAATACGTTCTGGTCAGAAGCCTAATGAATTCCTCGCTCATGGTAAGCCGTCTGAGCTACAATTCCCTACTCAATTTTCACCAACCCAAGTCAACCTAATCAAACTTTTGTGGATAATTTTTTTCTAGCGAATGCTCACCTGCCAAATCCTCCAAGGCCGCCGCCACCGCCGCCGCCTCCACAACAGCTAAAATAAGCATTTATCAACTAATTTGTTATCATGAGATGTATAAGCTGATGAAACGGAAGCTTTGGTGTCTAGTACACCAAATTCATTGATTTCTTACTGTACAATAGCCAAATGCTCGCTATGTATGTAACCCATAAGATCCAGATGTATTCGAAATTCGGGCATTTTCTGTTCTAACAAATACTGTCTACAACGTCCACAATGACCAAATCACCGAGAAGTCTCCTAACTGTTAGCATTGGTGCGAAGAAAGACCCATAACTGACAGAACCTGTGGGAAACTTGCACTGCTACTTCTTTAGTCAGACCGCTTATCTATTTTCCTCCAATTTGAAATGAGTCAGTTCCTCTCTCAATTTCCTCGCAGCGCGATTAGGGATAAGCAAGAATTGGACTTCAAATCTCCTCTTCTTTTGCTAAACGAAACAGCAAGCCAATCGGCAGCCCTAAGGCGCGCTCCGATCGAACGACCAGTACTGTTCGCGATCATTGTTGAATTCGTGAAACCTTAGAGTTGTTTCGTTTCCTTCAAGTTTATTTGCCACTTTCGTGCAGGGCGTGATCTTCTTCATGAAAATTTCTCAATCGTTTTGATTTCCCCAAGGCTTTAGCCGGTCAATGCTAAATGCAGCCCGTGCTTGCAAGAACTTCTTTCGGAGTAATTTAGTCAGCGTTCAGCAGGATCGGGTAATCTCTTATCCGATTATTTAGGACTTAAATTTCGGAACTGACCATGGTTGAGGAGGAGGACAGCAGCATTGCTGTTGACAACAGCATCCACCGCCCCCACCACCTCCCATAGGGAAAAAGATGGTGCTGATCAGTGGTACGATGGCAAGTAGAAGAAGCAGTTGTCGCATCTGGAATAGTAATTCAGGACTATGAACAGTCAGTCTAGGAATGAAAAAGATCGCAAGATCGCTCTAGATTGATCTTTTTGAAGACATTTTAGACAGCGCCTCAGTATCTCTACCATATTAGAAAATTTTTCGCGAGAGAAAGTACAAACACGAAGACAAAGTAACATAGTCTAAGAATGAGCGAAACCTATTATAATTGCAAACCACCTTTGCAACCAATTATATACAGGAGAAGGAGATGAACACGGATCGCCTAACCTAGATAAAGCGACGAGTTTGACTTTGTAGTAAAACCGGTAAATAGTGCGCGTAGGTATGCCAGAGTCCGGGTTAGGAAATAACAAAGAGCGTCTGAATGCTTTTGGTGGACAAAAGGAAGCTGTCACTGCCATTCCTAAATCTCTGGTCTCGCGGATTTACGAAAAAGATTGAGGAACTGAGATAAATGATCAGCTGTTTGGTATGTTTCGATTCGGTTCTAGAAATACTTGCAGGACTATACGACATTCAGAAGCTGAATGGACTCCTTACAAATCTGATTTGTCACCACCGAATTTTGTGCTATAAGTTGAAACCGTAGCAAGTACAAGAAATGCAGTTTGGAATTGCTGTTTTGTACACTCTTTAGTAGATGTTGATCTAAGGACAAGACTGTTACATATATTGCTGTTTGATTTCAATTTTCATGACTGTGAGTGTTCCATACCTCCCATACTCGATTGTCTATAAATCTCGGCATGTAAACGTTTCTGACTTCCTTGAAGCCTTGGACAAAAAATTCAGGAAGCTGGTCCTGGAAGTTTACGTGCAAATTTACTGGGAGGCCATATGTGAACCAAAGTTTAACCGGCAGCTCATACAAGTCCTTTTGTGCTTAAAAACTTCAATTTCACCGCAGACCGCATCCTTTCGGTGTGCTCATCACCCATCACCGTCGTCGGGCACAGTAGACGTACAGTTTCGGTTGGAGGGTGGTATTGAATTTTCTCGGTTATGGATCATACAGACTGCCGTTTGCTTTGGGCAGGCTTTGGTTGAAACCTCAAAAGCAGTTCTCACAAAAATGCAGGAACCGTATCCAAGTGAATACTGCCTTTTAGACTTGTAGAACCTAGCCATGTAAATACACTCGACTATTATTTGAACTGCAGCAAAAACCATATTATTTTGCAGCTTATATTTCAAAACCACGCAAACATGGGCTCATCTCCTTATTGTATTTGACATGTGTGCAATATGTTTGAAACAAAATGCGCTATATTTTATTACTCGAACTATTGCACCTAGTCGGCTTTTCTAACGATCACTTCTGTCCTCTCCTCTTCCTCGTCATCTGTATCATCGCCTCCTCCTTCTTCCAAATCTTTACTGCTCGACTCCTAAAAAATGAGATCAGGTTCCGGTCATAAGTACCGAAATACTTACAGCAATCCTTTGCTTGAGGCGGAAGATGCCGCAGTTCACTGCTACGTGATGTGCACTACAGTACTCGTCTGTCTGAGCGGCAAAGTCAAGTTTCTGCAAAATAGCGTATGATAGCTACGACATTGAAAAATTTGGTGTGAATCGCTGCCCAGGTAGACCCCATTTGTGGATACGAATGGGAGACCTGAACTATGCTACTCGCGAACCTTAGCTGGCATGATTCATTCGTTGTCAAAATTTACATTCACGCCCAGACCGTACTCTTTCGAAGCGATTAGTTCATCGATAAGATACGTTGTGGGCGAGAATTCAAAGTTAAACAATTTGATCAGAGTAGATTATTAAATGCCGCTTATGCAATGGCATAGTTGAGCACCCCGCCCCTCTCCCCATGTCCGCACAAAAACCGGATCCTCATACATTCCTCAATAAGGCCTCTATACCATAGTAGGTGTTTGTTCGAGTCAGGCCTCTGCTCAGCCATAGCGGTTGACTCGAAATTCGACTAACCTTTTCACTGCAAACAACGATGTAGCCAGTGGTGTCCTTCAGTTGTTCTTGAATCGCGTTCAAACTTTGTTCGGCGTTTCCTTTCAAACTCTCAAAGGAAAAATCATAAATTCTATTATCTGCCCAGTTCAATAGTATACCTTGTTGAGAATCTCTTGCAGCTTGCTGCTATTGCACTTTTTGCCTTGCTTATGTGTGATAACCTGCACGGCTTCACGCTTTTTACGTCCACAACCTCCACCGCATCCTCCTCCACAGCCGCCGGACGGTAGAGCTGGTAGAGATGGTGGCGGTGGTAGAGCTGGTGGTGGGGGTACAGGAATTGACGGGGCTTGTTGACAGCCTAAGCAAGGGAAAGTCTCGCTTTGGATCTTTTGATGAAGTTGTCCACGCTGGCTTTTAATTCAATCTAATATTATACTTCCCAGGATGATCACTGTTTTTCTGCACTCCATCTAATGCGGAACTACCTCTAAAGGCGGGCTGGCAAAACGGACGCCAGATTTCGGTGGTGTTAGGTGGTAAACATCAAGTAAGCCTCATCCTTATCCTTACAGCATGCGCTAAACCCTGAACTCGCTCCAGAAGCCCATCAGCCAAGCCCACTTTTGAGTGAGCGTCAATGGCAGGTTTTCGAAGCTGGTTTTTGGGATTCAGTGCATAATTGTCAAGTGAAATTGAGGCTACGGTGCGAAAGCCCTAACAACACCAAATCTAAAAAGGCATTTTCCCCTAATACTGCCTTAAAAAGGGCTCAAATCCAGGAGAACAAGAGTGAACTTACAGCAGCATCCACAGGATGGTGCAGGTGGTGGCGGCGGCGGCGGTGGCGGTGGCGGTGGTGGCGCTGGAGCTGGGCAACCTTGAGAGCGCACAAATTATGCACTATAGTCACTATTACCTTATCAACTTACAGCATCCTCCTCCGCCTCCCATCATAGGAAATAGAAAAGCTGCACTGCTGGCAGCAAGCAGGAAAAGAATGATTATTTGTTTCATTTCGTATTTTCGCTGTTTGATTAGACCTTCAAAGAAGAGATAATGACGATTGGAAGATTGGTCATGAGAGAACACTGCGATTAAAATCTACTATCGTGGAACTTGCACTTAGCTAGTCTCGAAATAAAAACTATCCTTTTCATGCAATTATGTAGTGCCAGGCAATCAACTGCAGAAAAAAAAGGATTGAGTTAGAAAAGAACTGTGATTCTACAGAAAATGGATAGCTATCTCGGGATGACTCTCTATATATAGGAGTTAATTCGTTAATTTCATCATAGTAATCTTGTCGTAGAATTGCTGTTCTCTGTGACGGCTGTATCGGCTTATGGGTTTGAGTTAGCCGCTAGTCTAGTAACCAGTTACATTAACAAGCCCATAAAGCCATGGCTGATCCGTCTAGCGCATTCAAGAAGGTCCTATTGCCTTTCACCGTTTTCACTTGCTTCAAGCCTTTTAGGTAACCAACAATTGATAAGAGGCTTAGAGTAATCAAAATAATGGATTGCTCTTATCTTTTCGCTCTTTTAATTGAGAGCTCAAAGGCTGTTCCTTGGACTAAATGTCATAAAATTTCTAAATGTCTATCGCTATTGCGATGTAACCGTCGTTTACTCACTTCGATTTTCTCTCTTTGCTGTGACACAGAGGTATTTTTTTTGTTCAGTGGCTTTTCATGAACTTTAAGAAGGTGAAAAGGCTATTTCTAAGCATTTTCTGCTCTCCAAAAACGCCTTTTCTTATTTGTTCGACTATTTGCCAAGTGCTCAAGACCTTTTCCGTGCTCCAAGATGACTTAGTTATCACTCCAAGTTTTGATCAGGGCTCGGCACGACGTGGCTAGATGAAAATGCAAAAAACGAAGTCCCCCTTGACTTTTGGGAATTTTTACGAAGTCCCCTTTGAACCTATACCATGTTCCCTAAAAATTCCCTAAAAATTCTCCAAAAAACGAAACGTCGACTAAAAAAGTCGCCAATTTTGTGTGTCTTCGTCCACAAAAACGAAACCCCCTTTGCTTTTTGTCCCAAAAACGATATCCAGCTTGCTTGTAAGTCACCTGTGCCAAGCCCTGGTTTTGATTCACACAGTGCTTTTAAAAACTACTACTCTGGATCTGTTTTACCTATTTTAGTTCTGGTTAATCGAACACCCTGAAAGAACCATGGTCGACCCTCTTTATGAAAATTTATTCAGGATTACTTACTAAATTTACTAAATTGCCAAATCAATCAATTCTTGTTGATCTCTGGCTTTGCGTCATCTTTCTTCCCTTCGTCTATTCCTGCCACCGGAGTTCCAGGAATAATAGCTGCGCTGGAGCTTACTATTGTCTTCGTTATTGTGGCACTTTTCTCTGCAGAAAAGGAAGGAGCAGAAGCTGCTGGAGCTGCTGGAGCTGGTTCCTGGAAACAATTTTTTCCAAGCAAAATGAGGATATCTAGGTGTCGAAGTTAAGGGTCAAAGCTAATCTGCCTCAAGGAAAATTTCGGCCATAACGAACCTCGAAGAATTTATCCACTGAGCTTTTGATTGTGAATACAGCGCAGAAGACGTTCTCAGATTGATGCTGGCAATAATCATCGGCTTCAACGATGAATTCAAGTTTCTGGAAATATTAGCAAATGTGGATATTTGACATACATTTTTAGCAACCCACTTTGTCATCGCACACCAGAGCGTAGTCGTGGAAATTTGCCATTTTTTCGCGAATAGATACAATGCTGCTATTCACATCGTTTTTCACATTCTGAAAGATTCGAATGGGCTATAGAAGTTAAGAAAAGCAGTAGAAGCAGCACTCACTTCTCGCAAAATGGTCTGAAGCTCTTCACTATTGCATTTTTTGCCGCCAGCGGTAAGGAGATTCGTTGCTTCTCTCTTTCTACGTCCACATCCACCGCAACCTGGACACGTAAATTTCGGGTTTTGTAGAGTAACGAAAAAAGGCAGGAAAAAATTATGCTTTCGTCCAATAAGAACAAAAAAGTTCAGGTTTTGTGATCCTTTGAATTATGCACTATAGTGAAATTTGCAAACTCTGCTCCCAAAATTCAATACCGTTCATAATTTGTGAAGAAAAGACGCAGAGTTGCCCGGTTCCTGCGACATCACCGTAGCGTGGCCATATCTAGCTTCAGAATGGACAAATTATTATTTCAAGGGCACCATTCGACTCAACACGGCTCGGCGCATTTTCTTATATATAGAAGTGTCCGTTTGAACACAGTTATAGGCCAGATTTCACGAATCGTCCAGATTTTTGCTTACGGTAGGCTGCCCAGTGAGTGCAATGAATAAGCACCCTAAGTAACCTACCGTAAGCAAAAATTGAAACAATTAGTGGGATCTGGCCTTCTATTGTGTTCAAGAGGGCACTTCCACATATCAAAAGAGCCGGCCAAACTAAGTCGAATGGCGTCCTTGGATGAAGAATTCGTTCATTTTGACGTGAGTGACCATGCTACAGTGATGTCACATAAATCGCACAACTGTGCGTCTTTTTAATTACGAGCGGTAATGGTACGCACAGTCTATACACGACTCATGTTTACGGTAGTCTTTATTAGTTAAATAATAATGAATAGTTACTCACCTCCGCAGCAAGATGGTGGAGGCGGGGGACCTGAAAATGGAAAATTGTCTTTTTGTAAAGGTTAGAGCTAGAAGGATTGCATGAAGAATCTTACAACAGCAGCCGCCTCCACCGCCGCCACCGCCACCGAATAGGAAAGCTGTCGCAGATGCAGAAAAGAGAATTAGCAGCAGTGCTTGTCGCATTCTGCAAAAGGAAAGGATCTAGCTTTCTGGTATTTAGCTAAAGGGAAGCTACGTGGGGATTCAGCTCTCATTTTTTGGTAATATCTATTCTTCGAAATGGATAGTTTTCGATAAAAGCGCAGAAGTAACTTAAATCCTCACACAGGTAAGGCAGATCGAGAGCACCAGATGTGATCATGCACATGACCATTATAAATATTGAGTTCGAACATAAGTCTTGCAAAAAAGGTCAAAAAATTCATTAAAATATGCTCAGATCAGCCTTTTAATCTGTATAATCTATATTTTAATCTATTTAACACATTGACGACAGCGTGAATTGTTAGCCGTCTGCCTTGTGGGACAATGTCTCTACAAAAAAATTGAGTATTTTTGGCTAAAATCAAGCAGGCTGTCATCTAGGGCATGCCTATAGTTATTTTGAGAAGCAGCTAAGAAGCGCGGAAGTAATTTCTGAGAACAAAGATACTAGAACTTCTAAAACCACAGTGATTGCATGACCCATCATGGTGGGTCACGTTGTCGTCAATGTGTTAATCTGTAACTTTTTTTGAAGAGACGTCCTATCAGCAAAAATTTGTCTAAGTCAGAAATCGAAAACTTTGAAACTCAAGTAAAAAGTAAATTCAGAAATTTCTGGGGTTTTCAGCATTACAAAAGTTGGAAAACGTAATCCGAGTGTTTGCATTCAAGAGGTTCTGTTGACGCGATACAACGATTAGAATCTTGCTTCGAGAAAATGTAGAAAGAGTAAGGTTCTCTCTTCATTTCATTTCGAACAGATTCATTGAACCTGTAGGAGAAGGGACTTCAAAAATTTGGTGCGAGACTTATGCTCCGACCCATTATAATAACATGTTGCTATTGGCACAGAAAGGAATGACAGTTTGGTAGCGCGGTATAGCCAGATTACAACAATATGCTTATAAAGTCCTACACTAGAAGTAGCTAAGTGATCTAATCCTAGCGCTTTTATAGCTGAGCGACTTGTCAGGTGCTATCACAAGAACGCTCAGCTCGTTTCTTTGTTTGTACCAGTAGCTGCGGTAATTAATTAGCACAAGCATGGCGCAATGATACGCCTTGGCTAATGAGCTTCGGTCACTTTGCTTCAGGATGTCTGAAGCTTCACCCATATTTGGAGTATCTAACGGATATTTATTGATCTACCTTTTCCTTGCTATACTTGCGGAGAAGTGCTAAACTGCTCCGATGTTTCTTTCTAGAACTTAAGAGGTTATAGGGTGATACTTCTGCTGCAGAATATGCTTGTCCACTAACATTCAACTTTTTCACCCCCCCCCCCCCCTCCTTCCCACCCCACCCCCCATTTCCCCATTTTTTAGGAAAAGCGACGCAAGATAGATGATAAATTAGAGTTTATCAATAAAAGCCAAAACCGCATTAGAAAGTTATTATCCCCATTGTTTCTGTTTATTATCGATGACTATCTCTACTTATATCTACTCTATAATCAAGAGCACTCAACATTAACAAATCAAAGATTAATCTTTAAAAGAATTCAAACTGTTCAAAAATTCAAGCTAACTGTACACCTGTTTGGTCTTCAGCCCTTATTAGGAGTAAAAGTTACCACAAACATCATTTTGCATTACTTGCACTCTGCTCAAAACACTTTTGTACCACTACCTAGACTGTACATAACTTCCCTCTGCAGTGCAACAATTTTTACAAACAAACTTTATTTTAATCATTAATACATTATAAAATTGCTGATAGTCAAAAAATTAGTGGTAATCACAAAATTAGTTCTTCTGGACTTCAGGCTTTGGCTGGTCTTTCTTCTCTTCGTTGGCTGCGGTCACTGCTTGAGTTTCAGCTTTTAAGACGGGGTTGGGGAGCACATTTGCTTCGTGAGATGGCGTTGAGACGGGGCTGACTATGGGAGCTGCAGCTAGGGGAGCAGTCTGCAAAAAATCATGTTAGGAAAAAGTAATCTGTGCTATGTGTGATTCAGACTTTGGAAGAACAGAATCATGCTTTACATCTCACATTTTTCCCAGCACGGTTTTCAAATCAGGTCGTCAATTTTTTACTGAAGAACTCACCACTTCTTTTGATTTGATGCGGAATATAGCGCAGTGGATTTCTTCAACCTGGACTTGGCAATAGTCGTCAACATCGGCCACGAATTGCAGCTTCCTATCTCCACAGAGTACGGTAAAATCATGGCTATTTGTCAGCTTCTCGCTTATGGCCGTCAGACTGCTCTTCACATCAGTTTTCATGTTCTAAATTGTAAGTTATAACCATAGAAGTGCGCAGTATTGTGGAAATCACTCACATCGCGCAGCATAGCACGGAGCTCTTCACTGTTGCACTTGTTGATGTCTTCAGAAGAGACGACGTTGTTTGCTTCCCTCTTCCTACGGCCACCGCATCCGCCGCCGCCGAAACCTCCTCCGGGGAAACCACCGCCGCCTCCTCCGGGGAAACCACCACCACCTCCGTAACCGCCACCTCCTCCACAGGGACAGCAGCCTAAAAGAGAAAATAGCTCAAAATTAGTTTCTTGCTTAAGTAGGTGCAAGAAAGCTGCATATTGCTGAAGAATAGGTACTCACAGCCTCCGCCGCCGCCACCACCGCCTCCGCAGCAACCGCCACCTCCGCCACCACCTCCAAATAGGATAGCTGTAGCACCAGCTGAGAGGAGAACTAGCAACGCTGCTTGGCGCATCCTGAAAAAAAAAATATGAAAGAATCATTTTGAACTTCTAACAATGCCGAAAAACGATCGGAGCCACAAAATATTGACAAAAGATGGCATTGACGCTGTTGGTATAGCATTTATTTGTCATAGGTAATTGGTTCGTGGTTCGCTTTAGAAGAAATTTTATCAGTAAGCTGCCAGAATGTGCTAAACAGAAAATGCTTACTTATTTTTATCGCAGATGTTTGTTTACAGCAAGGGTCATGCTTATCGGAACTAGTAAAGTTCCAAAAATCCAAAATTTGCACTAACATAAGCTATCGCTAGCTAAAAACCCTATAAATCAGTCGTGATGCCTTGAACTTGGAAATCCAATAGCCACAGTTTCTAGGTGAAGGAATACAAATCAAAAGCGCTCAAACTGAATGGATTTCTATCTAACTTTCATTGCTTTTATAGCAATGCCACTTGTCACTTACGATTTGAAGATAACAAAGCTTGTTCTACTGCTTATACCAGTAGCTGCTTTGATTAATTAGCTTCTGCGCAAGCGGATGCCTGACCGCTAAGCTATCATTCATCCACACTCAGCTGTAACTACTGTCTCGCGCAACATTTCCAAAGTCTAAACCTTTGATATCATAGATAAATACAATCTAAGGTTTACTGCCTTCAGACAAACGCAATGCTTTGCTCTATACGTTAAGCAGACAATTATGAAAGTGCAGTAACCAGATAAACACTTGGCTCCTTTGTTCCATTATGTAGAATCTTTCTGAATGAGATAAAACTGGTAACTTTAACATTTGTTTATTTACTTGTCTATTGATGTATTTATTTATCATTCAGCACTAAACAAGAGTGCAAAACAACAAAATGACTTAAAAACAAAACAAAAGACATTATTGATCTTCCCTTGCTTGATGAATCGGCCGTTTTTCTTTTTCAAGGAGTAAGTCTGCTATGCCGAGATTCTTATACCCCAAACGCGGTTATGAGAACAGAGTTAATCACAGCTTAGTTGACCAACTTTACCCGGGGCGAAGAGAAGGAAGGCTCCAGGTAGAGTGCTCACTGCTTTATTAAGTTAATCAAACAATCCAAATACTTTGGGAGAATCATGGACTATGAAATAGCATGCAAAATGTCAGTCAAACTGTCGAGTAGAATTGTCCTAAAATATACTTCCCTAAAATGTCAAGAGGTCATCGCTTACTTTTCGCTGTATGTCATGGTGCAAAATTCAGTATTCTGGCTCGGATCAGAATCAAAATAGAATACATGCTACACACTCTTGTTCCGAAGACTTTAGGCGTATTGACTTAGCATCGTTTGCGGTATGTCGATTGGCGACTCAAACGTCCACTTCTTTTTGTAGAAATTTTCATAGGTTTTTACTCTACATTTAGTACCTCACCAGCGGAAACATGTGCTCAACACACTCAGAGTGTTTGTGTGCATCTGAGACGTTCTGAAAACAGCTGCTGATCCAAGGGTTTTTCTGTTCCATATAAACCTGTGCCCCACACAGCATATGGTTGTTAATTCCGTTGCGTCCCACCAAACTTTATTAGTTTTTTAGCACGCTGCTAATTTTCGAAAGAGCTAGTTGAATTTTCCTCAAATATTTTCTGCTGAAGTTTGTTTGATCGGACAGGTATGCCCTCCGAGAAGGTGATAGGTGCAGACGACATTTTCATTGAGGATTAATGTTGTTCAAGAAGCCAGCCGAACTTGTACAGATCGCATCTGCCTTGGAGGATTATGCAGAGATAGCGACGGCAGATATAAGATTCACGCTTACTCATCTTCAACCATAACGAATGGAGCTAAAAACGCTTCCTGCAAGCGGGATGATATATGGGATCAACCTCATATCAGGAAATGGAAGTCGCTGCGGTATGATTTCATTTGTAGACAATTTTTGAATTTCTAATGGGCATTACGTTATAGGGGAAGTGGAAGGGGTTATGCAGAAAGCAGAAGGTTACTTCTGAAATTTCTTTGAAAAACTATTTTTCAAAGTTCATATACAGTTGACTGTATACTCAAAATGGGTAAAATTTATAAAGGTGGTTGCCAATACTCAAAGTGTATAAAGTATTTTAAAGACTGTAGCGTCGTTGTCTGTAACTTTCTTCTAGCAATATTTATCACCGCATGTACAATTGTATAACCGCAAATTGTTCAACTGATTTTCCATTTGACTGTGGCTTTGAGAGGTATATATTCAAGCAAGCACTTTACCGTTCTTTTGAATGAAGCTTATCTTCCATCAAATCCATCACTTGAGATCGTTTCCCGTCTTCTTTTCAAATCGTTTCGTACATCGTACCAATCAGGAATTCTCGGGCACAAGGCAAAGTTACCCAAGTTCTTCACCCATGTGAAGCTCATGATGACAGACTTCTTGGTCAGTACAGCATATACATAGATGAGCATTTCTTTTACCAGATAGAACTGCCTACTTTGGATGACTTTTATCTTTTCAGTATTGGACAAACAATATAGTTGCAAATTCTCTTGAATCATTTAACGCTTTTATGTACAGAAACCTGATGAGAAACAAGGCCTCGGACAAAACACGTACTTTCCAAAACTAATCACAGTGGATGAGGTAGCATTCGAAAACAATCACATTGCCGTACATACAGGGTGTCCCAAAAAAATGTTTAGAACGTTTGATCGTTAATATCTCTCTTCCCAAGAAGTCTTTTGCCTTGCTTCAGGTACCGTTTTGTAGAGCTGGCTTCAACTTAGATTTCCATTATAGAACGAATCACCCATCTCTCTTCATTACTGTAGGGTTACGGTAGAAACTTCAAAGAGGGTTTTGAACCATGAAAGGCCATATTTTGCCTCAGAAAGGAAACAAAACAGCCTGAAAACTTTTACACCAGGCTAATTAGAATTGCTGATTATAACTGTAAAGTTCCCAACTTATTATGATGCTTCATTGAAGAGTTATGCCAGGTGAGAGGTAGCGGCCTTTTTTCAATGTTCCTAAAAAGTGCGATTACACCGTTTAGAAAGCTTCGTAATCTTGTGAATAGTTGAGTATTGAACTCAGCGTCTATAAAAACCCTATTACACAAGTTTTCACATTTTTTTGAAAAATTTTGAGGCAGCTTTTTCCACATTGACACCATATGTTTCAAGTTTCTACCGTAACCCTACAGTAATGAAGAGAGATGGGTGATTCGTTCTATAATGGAAATCTAAGTTGAAGCCAGCTCTACAAAACGGTACCTGAAGCAAGGCAAAAGACTTCTTGGGAAGAGAGATATTAACGATCAAACGTTCTAAACATTTTTTTGGGACACCCTGTATGATCTGGACGGTACCATATTTCGAATAAATCAGTAATATTCTTCCGTAAATTCCTTTACAACAGCATCGTAATCATACAGATCGAAAAATGTGATCATAACAAGTGAGTTGACCAGTTCAAACAGCTGCTGCTGAAAAAATTGGTGATTAGAGCAAGAATTACCTCCACTCTGAAGATTTGTAGAAAAAACTCACAAATACGCAGGACATGAAGAGGATAACATTCCCGAGCCACTCTTCTGGATTACTTGATCGTTCCGAAGCGAGATCGTTAAGGCATCTGATCAGCAGATCTCGCTGCCTACTACATACTTTCCGTCCATTTTCCCCGAGTTTGTAGTGACCTGTAAGGGTCAGATATGTTGTTTACACATATGTAAATCATGCCCAGATTTCGAAGCTTGTTTTCGTTTTGAGCGACATGCTTGAAGACTTGGAATTGCCACGATGGAGCGAAAGAAAAGGGCTTGATAATAGAAGGACCGAACGAGCAGGTTAAGCGAATAAAGGCAGTGTCCAGGCAAACCTGGACGCATGTGTTTTTTGCCTGAAAGCTGATGAAGAGGTTCTATCTAACACACTGCCCAGGCGGCAGTGCAGATGATCCATTCACGACTGAGAGATCCGCCCCTAAAGCCCTCCGCAACTGCGCCGTGACCCTGTAACTCACCAGTCACTTGAGACGGGTCCCAGCGCGAACGCAATGTTGAAGTGAGCGAAGTCCATTGCAGGTTACGGTCTTGGCGCCGGCTTGAATGGTTCGAAGATGGATCTCTCAGCCGTGAATGAACCATTTGCGCTGCCGCATGGGCAGTGCCCCAGATGGGACCCCTCATTCATCTTCATAAGTTTCGAGGCAAAAAAGCATGGTCTCAAATTTGCCTGGACACTGCCTTTAAATGGGGTTATACGGGGTAAGGTTACGTCGCAACATCGCAATTTTCGGCCGCAAAAACGAATCCCTTCTGCTTTTTGTCCCAAAAATGATATCTATCTTGCCCTGTGCCAGCGCTGCCAGGCACTGCTCGTGGCCCATATAAAAAGGGCTACTGGACTAAAGTGTAGTTTGACTCACTGATGTGCCAGCAGATGAGCGCCTTTAAAAGACAAAACTCATCAAACTGTAGATGGAGATCATGGAAAGGAATGACCAAACTCTTCCAGAGCGCTGCTTTACGTGGAACTATAGATCTGGAACGATTTGAGCTACTCTTCGTAAGCTTTAGATTTGCAATTACGATTACTGACTTGTACTTATCGAGGTCTTCGCTATTGGCAAACAAATGTTGTGCCCATGGCTCTTCGCCCGTCATGGGCATCGGCTCCACGCAAAGATATTCACAAGAATTCAGAACCATCATTTTCTCGTCGTACGAAAGGCAGCAGGTAAAGTAAGCAGAATTCAGCAAAGCATCAACTCCGCAAACGTATCTGTAGAGTGCTTGCTGGAAAAAGATACTTGATGAACAGAGCTAAAAGGGAGGCTAAGGTCCGTTCCACCTTTTCGAATGGCTGCAGCTCGTCAAACTGCATGAATGCGATAGTGTAGTCATAGAGCATTATGAAGTCAGCTCTCGAGTTTCCGGCATACTCCTTGTAGTTGAGAGGCTTCAAATGTTTCTTTTCGAACGGCTAAACATAATTTTTGAACGGCGGCAGAAGGTTAATATGAATCACAGAGGATCTTCCGTAGTAATGTTCTCAAAATTTTTGTGGTATGGCTTACTCAACGAGAGATCGGTTAAGTCATCTAATGCCTTACTGCTATAATACCTATTTACTAAATTGTTTATTTATTTATTGACCTTAAAATGCGCATAATGAATTGGAAAGATCGAGCATAGCCTGTATAAAGAAAATAAAGCACTGAACTTAAGGCAGAAACAATGATGGCAGAATTTTTCTCTAAGCTAATATTCTTTTTCAGTCTAACCAAAAAAATAACTTTTGACATGCAGATACGAATTATGACAATTTCTTAGGTGGAACTTTTTCATGGGGAGGCAGTTTTAAACCTCTACTATCACATATCAGTTCAGAATTCCCCAGCAGTAATTACAGATAGTTATGTCCTTATTGGCTGGTTTGAAAACTCTTTAGGTTCCATGAGAGTGGAGAACTTTTCATTTGCATTTTTGCCACTTCGAGCGCGATTCTTTTCGTTAACTACGACAATAAGGCCTGAACGCCAGAAATTCGGAGTCGATTTCCTCGCATCCTTCGGAGTTAGACAATAAACTGAACAGGTTCGAACTGACTCACGCACTCGCAGACCGTTGTGAAGACATTTATCATCCTCGTATCGGTGTACATAATTCTTCGACGATTGTTCAGTTCCACCTCAATTCGCTTATAGTGTTCGATCACTGCTCTGCGGTTCTCCTTGGTGCTTTCTGTAAGCAGACGTTAATACGTTAACTAGGTGTCATGATTAAAAGCACTGTCCACCCAAGTTGATCAGATTTTTATACTATATGATAGTGGAGCCACTAACTAAGCAATCGTTTGAGCCTCGCTAAAAAAGAGGGATTCCGAGTGAGGAGATCGCCTCAGAAGGTGCGAGCTGTCCATAAATTTCCGCCAATCAAAGTGGGTGATCTGAGATTAACAAATCCAAACTTGAGCTTTGATGTACCCAGATGTTTTGTCATGGATCCGTCCTTCTCTATGATCATCAAGTCTGCGAACTTTCCGCCTACTCTGAAGCCTTATTTCAGACTTTTTCTTCAGACCACCCAAGCTGATGGGCGGAGTCAGGGTGGCCGATTCGATTTCTGGAGCAGTTTTCTCGCCCCGGAGTTAATCTTTTGCAGCGAGGCTTGGGCGACTAATTAGGGGCCCCGCTATTATACAGCATCAAAATTTCATCACTTTCAATTTGAGTGGACGGCGCTTTGGGTTGGTTGTTATAGCTACCTATGATAGTTCTCGGTAAATCTGTAGTGCGATTGACGGGTGAAGGAGTAGAATACTTCTGCTCGTTAACGTCATTGTAGTCAGAAGACGCACTCTGCACGCTTGCTTCGCAGCAGTTCTTAGCTCCATGCACAATACGATCAGATCCTCGAGTGGATCGTACTACTGGAAAAGGAGTCATAGAATTCTTCTTTGCTCAAACAATGGAAAATGAACTTACATTCTCGGCACATTTTCGCAGCAATGCATTTGTCATAGCGACATTTCTTACATGACATGCGTTTTTCTGAAAGGAAACTATCACATAAAAACGTTCACGTTTGATTCACAATCAACAATCGAAGTTTTCTGATCGCTCATTTGAAGCTGCCTTTTATACCTACTAGTTAAACACTGAGCATTTATTTCTCTCCGCTTATCTTGATGTACAACGCAACGACCAATTATGTCACGCGATTTTTACTTTTTTCAGCAAGCCCATGCAGATCAATTCGGTAAAGTATGAACAACAGATTCCTCTGAACCACGATTTTCGTCAGATCTTAAGTTTATGCGAAACAGTCACCTTATGTTGTCATGTCAGAGAATAGATTTGCGCCAGTTTCCTTAAATTTTCCTATTAATGTCATATTGATTACAGAACCAAATTTGACTGATTGTTTACCTACCGTAATGAATTACGCATGGTACAGGTTCTTTGCATTCGTAAACAACATTCAAAGCTACCGTCCTGCGAAAAAATGCCGCACATGCCTAAAAAAGTATTCTAGGAAAATATTAATGCACTGGTTTTTTCTACGTACTAACCTTGCATGCACGTGCTCCAAAGTGAATGGATCTGGCTGTAGGCGATTCACATATCTCGCATTTACGATCTTTCATCGAGCGAAATTCGCAAAGGAAAGTGAAGAGAGGAGATGACGACAACAGTGCAAAGTACAAACTTGCTAAAAAAGCAGGGTGCAATATGGAGTAACAAAATTGGAACGAATTACTAAAACGGATGCATTTACATGGCGCTGAGCTAAAGAATCAACTTTTTCACGGAATTTCAAGCTTTTGGAACTAAGCGAAACAAAAAAAGATTGAGGCATAATTTCTGAAGGCATTGGCACAAGATTAACCCAGCAAAATCAATCTTTTCCTAATTACATGTTGATGTTTGGCATGATTGAAATGATTCTTTGCGCGACTCCTATCTGCGTATGTTTGTATGAAATCGAGTTATATATCCACCTAATGAGAAATCGAATCACGAATTGTCTACCATATCTTGCCTGACCTCGGATTAATTTGTGCTAGCGTAAAAATGTGTATACTATAGTATGCTTTGTCATTTCTCGCCAAGCCAATGAGCATAATGTATCGACAGTTGTTGAGGGCAAAAATATCGAAACGGACAAAAAATTTTCACGCGAATTTTTTTTTAGAAAAAGCAAGGATCAAGTGAACAACTGCTGTATGACGTCGAAGAGAGTACTAGAGGTAGTCTAGCTCCAAGGCTGAAGGTGGGAAGATAGCACATGGGCGTAAGCAAGTCTTTTGAAGATTCAAATCGAAGAGTGACCCATTACAAGTAAAGGCCTGGAACTTCAGTACAGACCATTTTCTCTACGAGTGAGCCAATCAGTTTCTTGAGTGCTGCAGAGTACGGTCTGGGCTCGAGTTTAGATTTGAATTTCTCAACCAAAAAGATTTTATGAACAGTCGCTCAGGAACTTAGTCCAATCACATTTCACAAAAGAAATCCAAGCATAGCCAAAAGCACTGCCTATAAGGGCACGATCATCAGAACTAATTAGCCAAAAAGTTCACAAAACTATTTATGATTAACGGTTCATGAAAACAACGAAATCAACTACCACCTGCCTCTGGTACTTGCCAACATTCATAATCATCCTGAGAGCAGAAAAAAAGCTTGTGGATGTTAATAAAAGTAAGAAACGAGGAATATAAGTTGAAGGTGGCCATCAGGGTACAACGTACCACGCGGCAAGGAGCACTGATCAATCAATGCTACGACGTAGTCCGTTGATAAGCGGGTGTAACTGGAACACCCGGGGAGGTGTGCCAGAGTCACCCGTCCCCCGTCATCGATTCTTGATTAGACCACCTGTTAAGGAAGTTCTAATTTCTGTAAAAAATGTTCTCTACTCGCAAGTCATATGATCAAACGTCTTCTTGATGTTTCTGCAAAAGAACTCTTGAAAACGTAATGGATATATTCGAAACCGTTGTGGTCAGTATCTTGATCTCTTACATCTCAAATTCCGAAGAAATGCACAATATGCAATGTGACGGCTACAGCCGCCCGAGTGCTTTCATGATTTGGTGCTCAGTAATATTTCGATAGTGTTTATCTCTTTTCATTTAACAGACATATCTACCTTGCCATTGGGACCTTTTTTCATAGCCGCTTAAAGTTCAAGGACAGTTCAAAAACTCGTCTTGACATTTTTTATGGGCATAGAAGAGTACGCATGTCGAAGAAGTGGAATGAAGATTGCAGCTATTTTTCCCAAGACTCACGTGCTTTGAATAATTCGAAGAAAAATTTTTTTATTATCTCCCAAATTCATCAGTCCTTCGTTACTCATCAAATTTTGAACCAACCCTAGTTTTTGCTTGTTCACCGAACAGCACTGCGTTATACTATTAGACTGGCTATTAAATGAATTCGTTTTGATATGCAACTTTGAAACTTGATAAGAATTCGAGTAGCAGTTATTTTGCTGAGATTTTTGAGGATTTAGGTCTAAGCCTCGGTTTTCACATATCAGATACTCAAGATTTTCCGTCATCAATAGATGACAATCATGCTCTTATACAGGTAGCCTTCGAAACCTTTTCTTCTTGATCTAAGTTTCGTTTTCAGCCTGTAGTGAGAGTGCACAGAAGTAATTTGGGGATTGAGTAGAGACAATCTTTACCTGCATGGCAAACCACGATGGAGAATGTGGCTGCTGTCAATATCTGCAGTCAAAAAAAGACCTAGTATTTGCGAGCGAGTCAATTTTTGGGCAAGTCAGTCTGTTTGATTTTGAAGGCTGCTGGATGACGAAGGCACAGAAGCAGTATTAAGAGCGTTCACGAACTCTGCGCGCGCGTATCTTCACCGATGTAAATCCTTCGCCTCTTCGCTCTGCGGTTAATGAGACCGCATTCGCACCCAAAGATATTATGCCTTCGTCATGCAGCAGCCTATAAGCTTATATGGTCATGCAAATTGCTGAGAAATTCAAAATTGGTTATGTGGATGCCAGGTTGACATTGACATCCAGTTTCAGTTTTTGGAGTTTGATTTTTTCAAAAGGTGATGAAAAAACCAACTATTTTTCTTTCCCGCACTTTATTTCGTCATCAAAAAAGTAATTCGAACAAACATTGACCATCCAGTTCTCCATAAAATGTTTTTCTTAACGACATTATGTATTCATATATTCATCAACGTAACATTTCTACGAACCTTTGGAAACAACCGCTTATTTTTTAGCCAACTTGATTTCACTAATCTGTCAGTGCATAGTCATGAAAATGTTTCTTGATAACGGTACTAGGGAAGGGAGGGAGCATTACTCGTAGATTCCAGCTAGAAAATGTCGCGACACGCCGTTACAGGAATCCGCGGTCCATCTATAGATAACGAAGGCTCAGATGACGAATGCCTATGTATCGCTGGCCTTGTACCCTTACTTTATTATTTTCGACTGCCTCTGTCTTTATTGTTGCCATTATTCATCTTGAGTGTACGCCAAGATGAACGAAGTAGCGCTGCTACTGCCAGAGAATTGAGCCATTCCCTATTGCTACGACCCGAGAAGATGTTCAAACAGTAAAAGTATAATAAACCAAAAATCGAAAAAATTAAAGTGGTATGACCTCAATGAGAAATTTCTTCAAAAAAATCGATTCGCTCTTCTTTTACTTTCTGTTCGTTTTGTCTTTCTACAGACACTTCTCCCTATTCTATTCTTGATTGATCCCCAGAATCCATCCCCAGAATCTTCTTACACACTTTTTGGTCTCTTTATTGCATTTATACTCTTTCAAGCATCTTAGTATAATCTTGCATCAGCTGATGTAGCGAGGCCAAGCAAGATTGGTAGATAGATTTGTGCGACCTTCTTAGCTGTCCTGTTCTTCACATTTTAGTTAAAAGACACACACTTCCTCGTCTTTCAAGTCCGCAGATCCGTCGGATTATAACGTCAGACCTATCATAAGCAGCTTTAGAGGGCCAAATGGCAGAATTTTCTGGTTACTCAACGTAGCTCTATCGCAACTGCTCAAGCACATACCCGCTCACCTGCCTAATACCAACGGTTTCTCGAGCGCTTCAGCGCGCTTCTAGAGGGGAAGGTTTATCGAATCCTTATCCATTACGTCACTCTACACTAACGTCTCCAACGCAAATGCTTTGCGAGCAGTACATGGGCTTCTTTGTGAGCGTTACAGCATGCTGAATATGTACGGTTTCAGTACAATGTTGTGAGACAGTGCTTTAAATGTTCCATGTTTGGATGGTTGGGGCAGTACTACAGGCAGGTTAGGGTTTTAGCCATGGCGCAGAGGTTGGCACTTACAGTTGCCATAGCCTACATGTCTAAGGTAGAAAGCCCCATTCTCTTGGGGAAGTTCCTTTTATACCGTCGCTGCATTGAGGATTGGTGCTTCGTGTGTCCTACACAGTTTATTGACACGTGTTTTGACATCCTCAACGTTCAGTCACCTTAATCAAGTTCCCATAAAAAGCTCGGCGAAAAATGGTTAGCCTTCCTCAATGTTGAAGTGTACTTGGTTAATGGGACGTATAGGATTAGATGGTTTCGGAAACCCGGTAACAAACACATCCTAGTTCGTTGTCGTTAAGCACTCCCCCCAGCATTGAGGGCTCTGCCATCTGTAACACTGCTAAAATCCACGAACGAACAGCAAGCTTGGAGTTGGCCAGTTACATTGCGATATCAAATGGGTACGCACGTGTAGAAAAAGAATTTTGAGGCTTTTCTAATAGGCGCGCAGCACGTACAGAGGACAAGGGGGAGGGGGGAGGGAAGGGGGGGGGGGGCAAAATCTCCTTCTGCATACCTTACATCGCGGATAACCTCAGCAGAGCGATAAGGACATGTCTGCGCCAATCTGGTCTTCAAACTTACGTTAGAGTTGGGACATATCTCCCCCCAACCTCAAGAAGCACCTGATACGAAACCGCGCCTACGACAGCATTTGTACAATTGCTGATTGCGTGATATGCCCATACGGCAGACCAGGAGATTGATTGAAGGCGGGAGGCGAACAGGTCGAACTCTGCGCATTCGGGTGAATTTCTCCGACGTTTCCAAGCTCTGAAGAAGGCGGTTACGCGGAAACATACGTGAACAAATAGATCTATCTACCAATCTTGAGCTACGCTACATGAGCTGATAAATGTGATACAGTCATGCCAAGATTCATCGATGGCCGGACCTGAAATTTAATAGCATCTCAACGTATCTCATCTGTTTCATTCTATATCTCCGTTCCACTTCAGCATTTTCTTATTTACCTGCGATTCCATTTGCCGAGGGATAGTGGGAGAGCTATGGAGAATGGCTTAACTCGCTGAATGACGCTAGCTCTCTACGGCTGCAGTGGAGCGACCAATGCAAATGGCTCCCAGGATATACCGCAGGGGAATGCGGCATAGCTTTGCTTTATAACGCCACGTTGCCTTTTTGGAGCAATGTTCCTCGGTGAATCGAAGATGATGTCGAAAAGTAATATTTAGTGCCTACTAAGTTCCCAGCGATTTCTTCAATTTTTTAGATGGCACAAATTACTAATTAAATCAAATATTGATGTTATCATTATTAACGAATTCAAATTATATATTAAGCCGTAGCTTAGTGTAGAATTTGAGAAAAATTTGGCCTTCGCAACTTGGAAGTCTGGCAAAGCTATAGTCATTGGCTGCCCCTATGTTCCCTACGAGCGTGAAGTAATGCTTGAATTGCAGATTCCTACAGGCAATCTTATGGATCAAATCAATGTAGAGAACGCAATTTACACAATTTGTGATAAGAGACACACAATTTATAGGTTTTCTCAATTTTATAACTTTTGTAGCCTAGCTTGGTAAATAGTAAAAATTGATAAAATAGTGTATTTCCGAGTTCTGCTCCCTGTTACATCATTTTTGGCTTGTCCTCGGAATGCGCAGGAATCCATGACAATTTACTAACACAATATGTTTTTGATATAGAGCATACATGAGTGAAAATCCAAACAACACATTCGGTGACCGTATGGTTTGCTAAAACTTCGTGCATGCAGTCTCAGAGAAACAAAATCGAATTCATCTTCTCCCCTTTCTTTACATAACAGCCATGTGTTCACAAAATTTTTTGCTACGCAATTCATGCGCAATAATAGCAAACCATTTTCAAATGGAGCGTCGCCTGTCATTTAATTCTCGTATATCATAAATTTTGAACCAATAAAAGCAATGAAAACGAAGGAGAAAACTGAAAATGTACAACACACTCAGCAATATGTCGCGTCTCGAGGTGCACCGCGCTCCTCGAAGCACCAAGGTCCGAAACATTGCTTGCTACCGGGTGGAGGACTATATGTCGCCGAATGTGGAAGAGTCCCGCGCGGATTTCCTGCAGGAACGCATGTCCGCGCATATACAAGGGCGCGTATTTGTCGCAAATGACCGCGGGGACCGCCCTTTTTCGGCGACATATGGTCCCCTACCCCTTGCTACCCAGCGACGATCACTGAAAACGCGTGTTGACGCGATCGTCTCCGGACCATTCCTTTGTTGGCATGTTGCCAAACGGCTATATATAGCGACGGTGCCTCGTGCCGTGCCTTGGTGCCTTGTTCGATCCTCGTTTTTTTTTGATTTTATGTTCTACCAGCTGGCAAACCCGGCTCTGCCCGGCCCTGACAACATATTTTCATAATCAGTTGCTCACTTACTCCCCTGTGCCGACTCCCAGCCTCATGGGATACTTTGCAAATCGATAGAATCGGTATGATCACTGACAAAAAGTAGTATGCGACACTCACTTCCAGAAGTGTATGCAAAGTTTGGTCTGTTCAGAAATAAAAACTGCAATTCAGAACATATGTAGTAACACACACACATGTCCACAGACATAGGAAAAACAGACATTCAACCTTGTTCATACAGATTTCCAAATACGTTCCAGCCGCGTGATATACTCGTGCCCTTTACTGGAAAGCATCCGGCTTTACTGCTCTTTTTGTATCAAAAGACATTTTGGACTTTACTAGTCCGTGAATTTCAGCCGCGTCATAATAAAACTGTGTTGGAATTGAAACAGCTACATCTTTCAGTATCCAAGAAGCAGTGGACCTGTCCTTCAGACGTTGTCTGAAATCTTAGTGTTGCGAGGAGGATTTGTTGCGTGAACCCTCGAGAATACAGTGTTGAGATAAACTTACAATTAGTCGCCATCGATAGCACGGGGCGACCCTCGTCTCATGTTTATTATTGTTTATTAGCATGTAATTAGGTACTAGTGTTTCGTTTTGTAGTTTAGTTTATGCTTCTTGTAGTTGTAGTATTATTTTAGGACAAATAGCTAAATTACAGTTTTCCTCTGAGCGCGTTGGGATAACTGTAGGCTAGGTACGTCGTTTATAGTTGAGCGAGCACTAGACATCAGGTCTCCATCTAGATGCCACAAGCCCACCGAGTCGCTACACAATGAGAAGACCTTCCTGTTGCCATATCCTCGAGAAAGCAGGTATTAGTGGAATATTGTTTTAAACTTGGTGACATGAAATGATGTTGTTATGAGAGGAAAAGTCGCTGTATCAAGCACAAGCATGCATCAAAGGATTATATCGTCATCGTTTGTTGTCGTGTGGATCCCTCTCAAGGTTAGTAGCTTTCGTTCTCCATGAGATCTTTGATTACGGAATCGCAGTCGAAAATGTTGAAGAATGTGATCATCACTAAGGAATTGACCAGTTCGATTATTTCCTTCTGAAAACAAATCTACTTCCCATTTCGGGTCTTTCTAAATGAAAAAAAAACTCACGACTACGCAAGATATAAACAGAATGAGGTTCCCCATCCACTCCTCTGGACAGCTTGAACGTTCACAAGCCATATCGTTTAAGCACTTAATTATTAGGTTCCTTTGATTGCTGCATATTCGTCGCCCGTTGGCTCCCAGTTTGTAGTGACCTAGAAGAAAGCATTTTATGAAAGGATTGTATCAAAAATAAGACAGCCACAATCGTGACCTGGGGTTTAGGCGGTATACTCACTTATATGCCAACAGATAAGTGCTTTCAAAGCGCAGAACTCGTCGAACTGAAGCCTCAATCTGTGAAAGGGGACAATCAAACTCTTCCACAGTGCGACATGTCTTGGAACGATCGACCTAAAGTCGCTTTTATAGCAACATGATCCATTTTCTGCCCGATTCAAAGCAACGAAAAAACTTTCCACATAATACGGTATTACTATAGAGTCTGAATATGTATCAGTTGTTCGATTACCATTTACTCTGTTGTCTCAGCGCTTTGGTGTTCTTTCAGGTAGAAGTGGGAGTGCGGGCTCTTCAGCTTGAATGTACAGTAGTACACTAGTACGAGTCTCCAGTCGCTCTTCAAGGCCTTTCAGAGCTCCTCAAACTGCTTTTCTGCTCATCGGGTTGTTGCAGAAGTTTGCGCCATTTTTAAACCCATAAATATATGATACTGCAAGAAATATTCAACGCACTTTTTCCTTTTTTGGTAGCTAAGCCTACGAGATGAAGATTTTTTAACGGATACGGAGGTAATCGCTAAAGTTTTTCGTCAATTCGCCCTAACTTTAGCTGACTATGACAAAGTTTTCTAATGAAGGAGGTCATAATCACAGAATAGAGCTAACTTTTTTGAATGAAACATTTGCGCATCACCCTAGCTTGCTTTGCTTTTTGAAATAAACTACTTTCTGAGTTGAGCGTTCAGCTCTGCTGAGAGTGAGCTTGCTTTTGTAGATGAGATTTGTTTGCCTGTGAGAGATGAAATCCGAATCTGTGGTGAATCAAATCTTTTCCAAGAACTTCGCTTTTCGTACACCTTATAAAGCTTGGTGTTTCAGATTTAGATTTGTCTTCTAAGACGAAGACTCACTTATATCTGTCTTGGTCTTCCCTATTGGCGAATAGATGCTGGGCCCACGGCTCATCTCCTGTCATCGGAGTTCCTTCGACACAAATATACTCGCAGCCTATGGTTGCTATCCGCTTCTCGTTGAATGAAATTCTTGATGTGAAGTATGCAGAGTTCAGAAACATATCCACAGCACAAGTGTATCGATACAGGGTTTGCTAGAACGACTGAGGTTGGATTAGTTTGGAGAAACAAAATTGTCTTGCCTTTTCAGCAGGATCCAAATCATCGAATTGCATGAAACCTGTGGTGTAACCGTATAACATGATGAAATCAGATCTCGAATTACCAACAAATGTCTTGTAGTTGAATGGTTTCAAATCTTGCTTTTCAAAAGGCTAAATGTTTCGATTTATAATTACAACAAATACTACGGAATGCTAAAAGTAGGAAATAAAGAGAGTGCGTTTGCTTTTTTTGCTGCCACCGTTAGCCAAAAGTCAGCGCAAAATTTCCGGGAAGAGTTAAATCCGGGTTGGACTTCTTAGCGGATACTGAATGGAAGTCCCGTTTTGCAGCGGAAAAAAAAGGATACCGCAATCTTCTTAGTCGGGGAGGAATCACTATCAAGAGGTGTTAGTGTCCTCGCATAAGATCTTTTGCTATAACGCCGGCGATTTCGTACGAGACTTTTTTTCGAACTAACAAGCAGGCGTCGACAAGATTACGATTTGTATGTAGTTTCACTCTTCAAACTTGTGTGCACTTTTAAGACTGATTTTATTAGGTCGTAAAGAAAGCCCCGCACTTGCGAAAACTTTTTTCAAATCGCTGTAACTCCAAGCAGATCGATTTTTTTTCTGAAGCTACAAACTTCTTGCAAAGGCAAACTTGTTCACAACATATATTTGTCTTGCCGGCTTCGCAGCACCTCACTGCGGTCCACTAGCATGAGCGGAAGGGAAAAAGGTCGTCGCGAAGAGTGGCCTATTTGTGCAGGATTATCTTAGGCAGGATGAGAGCTGGGGTGCCCAGATGCTATAATTATATAGGGGTCTGCTGGGGCTGTCATGGGGAATTCATGTTTTACGACCACCTGCAAAAAAATTTCACCCAGAAATTTTGAAGAATCGACTATTTTTTGCCCCCAAAAATGCACCATTTTTCGAGTAAGTGAATTTGAAGTTTTATAGTTCTGCACAGAAAGGACCAAATCTTTAATTACTGGAACATTGTTGGGGTGATGCTTTGCACATCTTTTGGACCCATCATTCAGGTGTGGCGATCCCCGCAGAAGCGACGCCAGCTGCGAAAAGAGTTGCAGTCAGAGGCAAGTTCGACAGCTCGTAATTTCTGAATGCAAACCGCAAAACTCGAGTGCACCTGCGAGTCAGAAGTTAACAGGCTTCTCAATCAAATCACCAGTTATTTGGACAAAATTCTTTGATTTGCACGAAAAATGGCCGTAGGAAGAAATCTCTTCTTGATGAGCAGATCAAACACGTCTTGGCACCAATAAAAGTTAGAAGGGGTATTGAAAACTGCTTCCTTCTACTAAACAGTAGTATTAGGGTGAACGGTAAAAAATGGGACAGCTTGATTTTCATTACATTTTGAAATTTTTTGTTTCGGGCAACAGCAAGTAAGCGGCAACTTAAACGTCGCTTACATGGGCGACCTTCGCTTATTATTCTGACAACGCGTTAACGCTCCTCTTCCACTACCCTGCACGTGGCGCCGTGAAGAACTCGAACAGGGTTTTTTGAACAATCCTCAATCTTGCGCTATTATACCGTAAAATCGTGAAGCAAGTGACATACCATTCGAAAGAGCTCTTCATGCTCTTTCGAACGATATGTTGAATGCTTGAGATTTCTTTTCAATTTCAGAAGAAAAAATTGAAAAAACCTGAAAAATAGCTATTTTTGGTGCAACAAAAAACCAAAAAATCATGTTTTGCCCTATAACTTTCGAAGTTAGATAAAATCTGAGGCAAGCTGCATACGCATGGATAGAGCGTAAAAAGCACTATCAGATGATATCTAAAAATCATGCGTTTACCTGCAAAGAATTGAATAACGCGTATTTTTGTTCTCGAAGTTGTTAATGGGCATATCTCCTGACATTAAGGGTTAAAGCCACCAAGCCGTCGTGGGTTTGGTGACTGTCCCACCACCCACTCCAGCAGTGGTACTTTGGGTGGTCTCACATGTTTCACTGCGCCGATACTGCTCAAACTTCATGATTTCTCGAAGTAACTAACTTGGCATTTTAGCAAGTATAAAAATTATCAATTGTATAAATGACCTTATATAGGTGCTATCTGAAAGAGAATAATTTATTCTAATATCCATCAAAATTGAAAAGTTCAGTCACTTTTCTTCCTTGAGAAATCTGCAATTATTCTCAAGGTGTCCCATTTTTTACCGTTCACCCTAATAAAAACTTGGTGTCAAAGTCGGACCGAGTGCCGAAAAAATGCGTTTGAAAATGAAAATTCCAAAAATGCTCGGGAACTTTCTTTACAACCTAATACTTACGTCTTCTGGAAATTGAGGAGCAAGGAAAATATCACACCACTTTTATCTCTATAAGCCACTACAAGCAAGCAAAACAAAATGTACGCGTACTGGAAAATTAAGAGTAGCAAATGTAAGCAAATACTATGCTAGACGTCATAAAGACATTGCAATGATGCCGAGATTCAAAACCAACTAGCAGAGTAACATAGGGCAGCAAGGCCTGAAGCGCGCAGCTACACGGGAGAGGAGGTCGTTCGCTGGAGCTGATCACCTTCCCATCCGACTCTGCGAGGCTTCGTCCTATTGCCAGTAGCTCGACAATTGAACTTGTGATGGTAATTTTAAGCGCGTTTCACAGTGGGCTCTAACTGATTTCTGCCCTGTTTGAACTTTGAAAAACTTACACATTCGCATCTTGTAGTGAAAATGTTCGACATTTTTGTGTTGGTGTACAGCATTCTCCTTCTGCTATTCAAATCTGCTTCAATGCGTGTGTAGTGCTCAACAACACATTTTCTTTCTTCTGTGCCTATTCCTTAAACGATTACAATGCCGGCAGCAAAATATCACAATCTTCCAATTCACCTCGGTCGCTAGGAGAAATCCTCGGAGAATCGAAAGTCGAAGGATTACAGTTTTTCTCTGCTGAGCATTGGCTGACAAGCAGCGTATGAGCGGTAGCTCGCATAGATTGCACAACTAAATCGCATGGTTAACACATACAGTCAATATCCTTACTAAGTCATAAGAGAGCTTACGATTTCGGCTCATCCCTGCCGCAATACACTTGTCGTAGCGACATTTTCTGCACAACATACGCTTTTCTAAAAAAAACAACGTACGGGGTTCGGACTCGGGAGCGAACCCTTCAGACACGTTGCATCTTGTTAATTACTATAACGACGGTATACGCTTGGTATAGGCCACGTAGCACAATCTGGGTCAGGTTAGGGTTAGCCTTCGGCGGACCGGGCTTCGGCGCAGTTTGAGGCACTTAGGCATAAGTTCGAGATCGCAATAGATGCTACGCACAATCACGATGGGAAACGTAGTTTGAAAAACTGGAAGAGCAGAGAAAATGAAGCTGTTAGTTTTTTTCAAATTATATCTTTTTTTTCAATTTATATTATTTGTTTTGTTTTATTTTCAATTTATATTATTTGTTCCACCACACTAAGTTTCTTGTGTACCTACTTACGTCTCAAGTGTGCGCGGCACGTAATTTGCAATTTGTTCAGCAGCCTCTTCTTATAAATCCCATTTGTTGATGATATGATATTAACCCTTCGCTTATGACTAATAACGTCTCATCATCCTCCAACAGTAACCTAATTTCACGCGTACAAGGCCCACCTTTTTCGATTTTTCTCGGAAATCGGTCTTTACACGATTCTTTCAGGCAATATGCAGCACGGTATAGGGTATACTTGGGTTATTCGAGAATTTTTCATCGAATGAATGAATATCGAATAAATTCGAAAACAAAAAATTTCGAATAAACGAATATCAAATAAATTCGGAAAATCAAAATCATCGAATGAATGAATTTCGAATAAATTCGGAAAATCAAAAATATCGAATGAATTAATTTCGAATAAATTCGGAAAACCAAAAATATCGAATGAATGAATATCGAATATATTCGAACATTGGAAGTCGAATTTCGAATAAATATTCGAATGATTTTTCGAATAACTACAGCAACGAGATCTAAAACTTGCTGACATATTCGGTTAAAGCCGATCCGTTCATAATCAGCGCCCTCATATTCATATTCATGCCGATTCATTCATAATTAGTACTTTCAAATTTTCCAAAAATCGGTAAAATCAATAAAATAGATTTTATTCTTAATCACCACCCTCATTTTACCACCTGTACTAACTCCCAACCTCGTAGCTCAAGATTTTCGAAAAATCGATAGTGGCAACAAAGTAAATGTTTATTCAATATCAGCACTCTCATTCACTGTACCAACTCTCAGCCTCGTAGCTCAAAATTTTCCAAAAAACGATGAAATCGACAAAATAAATTATTCGTAATCTGCACCCTCCCTTACCCCCCTGTACTAACTCCCACTAGCATCTTGTAACTGGCAAATCGCGTACGACTGTCGCGTGAAGTATGTGCAGGGCCTGTCATAATCAAAGCTCGCATTTCTCAGTAAAACTTTTCCGTCCGGCTTCAACTTTTATCACAGTTGAGAGGCTGATAGCTCCTGGTGTTGAAGCCTGCAAGCCTCTGTGAAAATATTGGACGCACTGTGATAACAGAACTATCATGTACTATTTAATGAAGAAAACTGTATTGTAAGGTGATATGACTGCAAAATTCAGCAACCGTCTAATCCTCCACTACAGGTGCGATGTCTTTTGCTCAAAATACACCGATTTGCGAAAATTCTCTAAGGTAAAAAATAGAAGCATTTGTGCAGCATGAGTTTTACAAGTACCCAAAGCATGAGCAATGCAAAGAAAGAGAAACAGGCATGTCGACACATTTCCAATATATGAATTTGGAACTTGAGCTTGAATTTGATAGCTGTTTTTTTTTGCTGATTCGGTGCCAATAGCATGCGAACTATTTCATTGACCGAAAAGGCATCAAGTGAAATGCACACCTATTTTTTTGCTGTCGCAAGCAGCCGGAGGAATGCTACTTTCCATAAAGTTCAAAGGTCATCACGATTGCAAAAATATGCATTACCGAGTTTTGCGGAAAAAAACGCAGACGAAGCGAGCAGTGGTGACCCCAGGATTTCGGACCGGGGGGGGGCGGCAAAAACTTTTTCTGAGTGAAGCTGCGTGGCGTTAGCCACGCACTCCAAGAAAATTTTTGGGACGCTTTCCAAAATTTTTCTGGGCCCATGACCCCAAAATATTAGAAAAAGGGGGCGTGGCGGCAGCTACGCCCCGAAAAATATTTCTACAACTAATTTGAATTTTTGAAACATTTTAGAAATTATTTTATTTATGTAAAAGTATAAACAAGTCACTTGAACATTTTTATAACCTATATAAGTAACTTTTGAAAATTTCGCTGCCCATTCTCGGGGGGGGGGGGGAGGGGGGACCGACTGGAAGCGAGCTTGATACTCAGCAGCTGGCTCTACAACAAACTCGAATAATCTGAGTACGGAGTTCATTCGAATACGAATTCGAATAAACATTCGAATAAATCATTCGAATAAAATCTATTCGAAACCCCGTTTTTTCATTATTCGAGTTTTCGAATTTTATTCGAAATCCCGTTTTTTGATTATTCGAGTTTTCGAATTTTATTCGATTCTTCGTTTTTTGATTATTCGAGTTTCGAATTTTATTCGAAACCCCATTTTCTCAAGTATTCGAGTTTCGAATTTTATTTGAAAATGGAAAAACTCCGAATATCGAATTTCGAATGCGAATATATTCGAATGTTTTATTCGAATGATCGAATTTCTATTCCATTCGGACCCAAGTATAGTATAGGGTCCTTTAGTCGCGAAGTTCTACGGCTTGTTTGGGCGCTCGATTAAAAAAAAATCCCCTGTGCCTTGTACGCGTGGAATTGGGGTACATTTCAGGACTTGTACACTCCAGCCGGGAGGACCATCATTACGCATGATTGCTGAGGCATAAATATGTTCTTTTACTTCCACTGGATAATAAGCGAGTTTGTTGGTAAAGATAAGCAATCACGCTTCTTTCCTTCTTCTTTTTATTCCTCTTCCATTTAAGGGTTGAAACAAGTGAAGTGTTGTCAAAACAATAAAATCTTCGAGAAAGTGAAGAAATCGAGGAAATGAGCTCAGATACCTACAGTCCTTATTGCAACAGGAGTTTTGTGTAATTGTACCACCTTTTGAATTTGCACTGGAAAATGCATATCAAAGAGCGCTTTGTTCTGGTACGTGGTTCGCGCAGTTGTCTACGTATCAGTTTTCGTAAATTGTTTGAAACGGGAATCTAACTTTATTACCCTGGCACAAATGCATAAATAGTGCACTTCCACAAAACTACTGCTGGAGTAAGGACTGGTGTCATCTTTGAGATGATTTCCGCAAAAAATTAAAGAATCGTTCTTGATTATCAAATGTTCACATAGGAACTCCAACAATTCATAGGAACTTTTCGGTTGTGGGGGACTTTCCTAGGAAAACTCTCGTGCGCTCGCACGACAGTATGAGACGAAAAAGGATCGGATTGCTACAAAAGTTCAGGGGCTGAGAGTGTCCCCGAACCACAGGTGCGATAAGGTGAGAATGACTCCTCCAGGGTGAAGGGGGTCAGAGTGGTCGCAGCCCCTTCAGGGTGAAGGGTGTTTTACTTGGTAGAGAAATCATAAAATGTCGACGGCGGGGGAGGGGAGGGGGGAGGAAAGAGGGGGGGGGAGCAGCCATCATTTTTCCTAGTCTAAGTTCATAATTTCCAATTCCTTACCATCACTGTTTGTCTCTTTTCTGAAATGTGAACCGATACGCTGCTGGATTAGCACACAATTATATTTCTGACCAGCACCTTGTATTTTTTTACATTCCCTTTTCCCCTTTTACATCGCCCTGCCTGTTTTTGTAATTACCATAGAATATTTGCATGGAGAACATTTAAAGAGTTAGACAATTTTCAAGCATTTACGAATTATTTTTTCAAAGATGAAATTCGTAATTTAATTTAATTAAGAACAGCAACGTCAGCAAGGTAAATGTTTTTGAAACCACCTTGTCTTCCGCTTTTAGAGAATATATAGTTTGCTTGGAGTCTGTTGAAAAAGTGCCTGGTGAAGAGTGTGGGTAGTGATTTCTGGATATTTTCGAGTTTTTATGATAGAAAAAACCGTAACTTCTGAAGATGAACATAATTTACGCCGTTATGGCAACCATTGAAACCGCCTCGTTTTCTGTTTCAGAAAATATATACAATGCCTGGTGTCCATTCAAAAAAGTGCCTGGGTGAAGGGTGCCCTAGTGATTTCTAGAGATTTTCGAGTTTTTAACATAGAAAAATTCATAACTTTTTTAGATGAACATCTTGTACGCTGGGATGGTCACCGCTGGAACCGCCTCGTCCTCCGCTTTCAGAAAATATATACCATGTTTGGGGTCCATCAAAAAAAGTGCCGGGTGAAGGGTGGGTGAGACTTTTATAATGGGAGTGCTCAAGTAGACGTCTTTTTACAATGGTAAAAAAGCCTGTACTTGAGCACTCCCATTATAAAAGTTTCACCCACCCTTCCCCGGCACTTTTTCTAATGGACTTCAGGCAAAGTATATATTTTCTGAAAGCGGAGGACAAGACGGTTCCAATGGTGATTATCTCGGCGTCAAGATGTTCATCTACTAAACTTATGAATTTGTTTTATGATAAAAACTCGAAAATTCCCAGAAATCACTAGGCACATCCTTCACCAGGCACTTTTTTGAACGGATCTCAAACATGCTGTGTATTTCAGAAAGCGGAGAACGAGGCGGTTCTAATGGTGACCATCTCGCCGTGAAATATGTTCATCTACAGAAGTTATGAATTTTTTTATGTCATAAACTCGAAAATCTCCAGAAATCACTACTCACACCCGTTACCAAGCACTTTTTTCAACAGACTCCTCCTTTCCTATACATGAACAATTCACGTACAAATATATCCTTTGCTTAACCTTACCTCACTGTTGACTTTTTTCTCGGCTTTTGGTGAAAGGGGTCACCTTGGTCCCGGCTCAGGGGTGAAGAGGGGGTGAGAAAATTCTCACACTATCGCACCTGTGCCCTGAACAAGACTTTTCGAGGGACGGGCAGGACGTCCTGCACCAAAAATTTCTGGACAAGCAGGCAACTGTCAACCATACCGTAAGCAATCTAACTGCACCGTTTCAACTAGCTCCTACCGCAGAAAAAACCCAATAGACAGATCCAGTGAGCTTTTCTGCATGACAAAACATGAGCTCATACGGTAAACGCCGTTAAAACTGTTCTGCAAGATTTATGGAAGGTACTTCAAGCGAACGTATTCTCCAAATCTCGCTCTATTAGATTACCATTTGTACCGCTTTCTCGCAAATCTCATGAATGGTGCATGTCTCGATTTCGGTGAGTAATCTCAGCGATGGTTAGATGAATTTCTTGGGACTCGGTGTGCTGCCGTTTAGAAAATTGAGATTGAGAAGTTAACAGGAAGGTGCCGAAAGGTCGTGGGCTACATCGGGAATTTATTGTTAATTAATTTTTACTGTAAATTGATGATTCTGTTGGTTTATATAGACTCTACGAACTTATGGAACGACCTAATATTATCCTTTTTGATAAAGCACTGGGTAGCATCCGAAGCAGCATCGTACAGGGTTTATCAAACGCGGTGTCGCATGCATAAGCACTTCCTCTCCCGCGCTGGACTCTACATCTCTTCTGCGAACATGCTCTTTGATCACTTTCCCAAGGCAAGCGTGGGAAAGGTGGAGCTTTAATCGAGTGGAAGTAGTTAGAGAGCATGTTCGCAGAAGCAGACGCAGAGTCCGGCGCGGGAGTGAAGTGCGTTCGCAGATGAGCGACACTGCGTTTGATAAGCCCTGTATAATTGTCCAGATCGCTTTCTTTATTCAACATTTCGTTTCCATACTGTTTATCAGATCCTGACTTCCTCCCCCCCCCCCCCCGCTCCTCGAGCTAGAAACAATCTATGACCATCAGTAGTATGATGTTTTGCGCTAACCTGGATCTTTTGTTCTGCTCGTAACGTTTATCATAACATCAGGCTAAGCTAACCATAAACTGGACCGTTAATTCCATCCTATCTTTTCTTTATCTTCAGCTAAACAAAGCTGACTGGAACTACGACGTAGCCAACTCCACAATCAATACCTTCCAAGAAACTGAGCAAATTTGAGCACAAGTTAGAAATTTGTAGTACTATTGTTAGTCAATGTAAAATTGTATTGTTTTGCAAACACTCGCAACCATGTTAGAGAATAAAGACAACTTTGGCAAAACAGATGAGAAGTTAGATTGCAGTGTAAAACGAATTTATCAAATCTTCAGATGCTTCCTGATTAATTTTCGAGAATATTTTATGTGAGTTGCCGAAAGTAGAAAACAGTCTGAGAAGAAATGTCTATGAAAAGTTAAAGATTGCAGCCCACTAATCAAGCTTAAAAAGTAAAAAGATCTTGGAGTGCTACGGAAGATGTTTTAGGAAGTAAGACAAGGTAATGGACAGAATTTTGAGAAAAATAAAAATAAATTCGCAAATTTTTTGCAAGAAAACGGAAGGAAATTTTTGAATATATCTCAAAAGAAACTTCTTGGAACAATGAAGGGAGTGCTAGACTTGAGTTTGACGTAGAAAGTTGAGTGGTTTGATCTTTCTGAGAGCGTGAAGTCAAAGCCACTTACTAAAATTACTGGAAGGTAACAGTGATTTACTCAAGATTAGTGGTAGTTTCGTGGGTAACTTACAAAAATACTTAAAATGGGGACTTGTGAGGGAATAACCAAGAGCAACATTTTGATGTTCTTCAGAGGAAATAGTACATATTTTAATGAAAAGAATAACATAAAATAATGAAATAATAAGAGTTGAAGAGTAGATGAGGTAAGATCAGATACTATTTCGCAAAAAACTTAGGGGTTCAAATTCAGATAAGGCGAGGAACGAGCAACTGCTATGAATACAAGGTAAGCGATAGAAAGTGAAGAGAATTGAGTCAGGACAGCAGCTTCAAAAGGGTAACTTTTTGGCTTGAAGAATTAGACAGAGACTTGTGGCCTATGTATCTTGTGAAGACAGTTAAATGCGCCGCAAAAATTGGTTGGAAAATTTTTTTCTGCTTAGGATTACAAACTACTCACCTGTATATCCCATTCGGGCATCGGCCTTATACACTGATTCCTCACGAACGCTACGACGAGACAGAAGTTTCTTACATATGTATGATAACAATGAGTACTCACATAGACATTACAACAAATATATTAAAGAAATCTTAAATCGGAATTTTCATGCATCATATCGAGCGGATTTTGCACTATATAGCAGCTTCTTCTAAAAAGAAATCACGCTACAAAATTAATATTTCCAAATGCGGGAGCAATAAAAAAGAACATGAAGAAACAAGTTTCGCGGACAACTTGAACTGCGAGAGAAAGTCATATAAAAGTATGAAAACGGTGTAAAAGATGAAAACGATTGAAAGTGCAACAAGAGCGCGCTTCATCTTATATATAAAGCTGAATGTCTGTTTGTCTGTAGGTCTGTCTATTTGCCTGTACGTATGTTTCGAATAGAAAATTCCATTTCTGAACCGATCCGGACCAAACTTGGCACACATACACTTCGGGCAACGGCGGGTGTCATAGGCTAATATGTGCTGCATCGAGGCGGCTGCCCAAATAGGTTGAAGGCGTCGCGCACGCTGCGCGCGACAAGTGTCAACCACCGGCCGCGCGCACGCTCGGTCAGCGGTCATCCACTGGAGCGTGCGCGGGCCCCGTAGCTGACAATTGCCCGCGCGCCGCGTGTGCGACAGCCTTCAACCTATTTGGGCAACCGCCTTCGTCATGCAGCAGATATTACTTTTCGTCATCGATCGATATCGATTTTATCGATTTTATCGGTTTCTTTGCAGAGTTCACCTAAGGGCTGGGAGTTGGCACAGGGGGGTAAGTGAGCATGGGGCCGAATACAATATTAGTTTTCAGAATTAGTGATTACTTTTATCGATTTTATCGATTTTTTTTTGCAAAGTTTGACCTGCGGGGCTGGGAGTTTGCACAGGGGGTAATCGAGCATGCTGATTACGAATCCAACTTTGATTTCTAAAATCGTCTACTACTTTTATCGATTCTATCGATTTTTTTGCAAAGTTTGACCTAGGGGGCTGGGAGTTTGCACAGCGGGGTAATCGAGCATGCTGATTACGAGTTCGATATTAGTTTAGCGCTATTCGGCCATCCGGGCCCCAAGGTTTTTTTGTGGTAGAGTTTGCTCAAACTTCGTGTATAAGGGTTATCTTGAGGGCCGGGCATACTTCAAGCGATGTCAATCGCGACGCGATTTGGCAATATTCCAGGTGTCCATAACTCATTGTAAGCACATTATAAATGTACAGAAGATATGGCATTTCATTAGTTTACGTAAGTTCACACTATGCATGTGCAGTTTAGTAATGTTGGATCCGAAGACTTCTGGCGAATTGCCAAATCGCGTCGCGACTGAAATCGCGTGAAGTATGCCCGGCCCTTTACATGCTGATTACAGATATCACACTTTCTCCGCAGAACGTCTTCCCGTGTGGTTACGATAGGTGTAGGGTAGGAAACCACACGAATTGCCTTTATCGTGGGGATTGAGCACGATATTCTTGAAACAGCACTTTAGGTAATTTTCTACTAAGGTTTCAGGCAGGTTCATGATTTTTACCCTCTGCCATGTACCTACCGAAACTGCGAAAAGGTCTCAAAACGCAACGAGAGTGTTTTAGACGTGGTCAGAAGGACGATCTCTCTAGACCGAGTTTCAGCCAAAACTGAGATTTCGCCTCTCTGCAGTATACCTACCATAACTCAGTGGAATCGCCTCAAAATGCCCCCCTCAAAGTTTCAGCGAAATCCGTGATTTTAGCTTATGTGTACCCAACGTAAACCCAGAAAATGGCGCTAAAGCGCGAAATGACTACGATATTCGTCATCAGCGGCTTTAATAATCCCCATGTACCGACTTTGAGCAAGATCCATCACAAAAACATTTTGGGGCCGGATAGCCGAATAGCTCCATCAGTTTTCAGAATTATCCTTACTTTTACCGGTTTTATTGCTTTTTCTTGCAAAGTTTGAGCTACGGAGCTGGGGGTTGTTGAGGGAGGTAGATGGGCATGCTGATTACTAACACAGCGGGAATAGGGAATTGCATGTAGAAGTGGGCACAATGAAAGGTTTTACAGGGATAGGGATAAGGCCTTAATCATAGCATTGACAGGGCCGGGTGGAGCCGGGTAAGCCAGCTAGTTTACGATAGATTAGATGTCGAAGTGAGCATTAGCTTCCCGAGAGTAGAAAGGGTAGATTTTTATGACCGCGTATGACATCTTACGCGTGAAGGGACGTGGCAGTACAAGACCCTCGAGAAGCTTTTTCATGTTAAAGTCCTCAGGAATTTCTGCAATTTAGGGAGAGGAGATCTTCCAAGGAGATCCCCGGGAAGTTCCTAACTGAACTGCTCCTAACGTCAAAGTTTTCGGAAAATTCCCATTTTTGCGCTTTCATTCACCTGTGCACCAAATGAAACCCTCGAAAAGTTAGTCGCTTGTCCTTGGGAACTTTCCATGAGTGTCTGAGAAGCTTGGTATGATGGGTCATTGCTGCTAAATTAATGCCATGAACTCTTTCTTTGCTTATCAAGGTCTCTGACGAATTCGTCTGCCTTGGGCAAAATCCCGGTAACTTGTCAACGGCTACGATGAAGAAGAGATCAGCAGAAAAGGTTCTACTTATTTCGCAAAAAATGAAGTTATTCGATTCCAGTAAAGGACTATTCACTCTCTACACTTTTGTCGGTTTCTTTTCAAGATTTTCATGTAGAGTACATGAAGGAATATATTTACCATAGTGAATAGTGCATGAAGCCTCCTCGCGACATTTGTAGACGAGCTTAGCGGAAACCGTTCGGCGGAAAAATGCCGCACATGCCTGAATGGGCAAAGAGAACGATTGAAGTTCCTACCTAGCAGAGCACCAACCTTACACGTTCTCGCACCGAAATGAGCCGATTGTGCTGTTGGTGATTCGCAAACAGCACACGTTAGTATCATGTATACGAAAAGGGTTCAGTGATAATAGGTCCAAGCTATAAAGAATGTTTGAAGATCAGAAGGGAAAAACAGTAAACTGCAGAAACAGTGTTGAGCCTTATAAGTTGTAGTATGGAAGGTATAAGAGGACTCTGCACTTGTTTGATGAACAGGAAAATTTCTAATACACTGCCATAAAACAAAGAGCAGTTGAAAATAGTGTTGCAGATTTCAAAGGTTTACATCTGGAAACGAAGTAAAGTATAAACTCTTGTACTTACATGCGCAACTCAAGGTTTCTTCCAAAAGATAAGACTAAGAAAACAATGTAAAGGACTATCGGCCACATCGTGTCCAAGTAAATAGCGCGAATTGATTGGTTCAGACTACATCGTAGTTTCTGTGATAGCGTCGCCGAGAACGAAACACGTTAGGTTACAGCGAAGTCACAAACGCACACGACATTCCAACAAAAATCTGTGCGTTCACTTGATTTGAGAACTTTGAGAGAAACCACGCTAATAGGTTTCCAGTTTTGAGGGGTGGATTCATCACATTTCCAGAATTTGAACTACTTTTATTTATTTTCAAGTTGTTAGCAATTGCTGTGCTCTTTCACTCTAAATTCAGCTGTTAGAGGTATATCAACATCTGAGTACTTTTTAAATTTTCGAGCAAAGGAAAATCGCAGTGAAAGTCCGCGAGATTTTTGACGCAGACCTAGTTACCAGTTTTTTTATGTAGACTGATAAAATTCCATCTATTCATGAATGCTGCTTGATTCACTTGAGATAAGTACGCTCTGGAAGAGTGCTTAGGGTTGAATTTGTGGGCAAAGATTCATATGAAATCCTTGGATAATGCCTTAGCTAAAGCCCCCCCTATGTCGCCTGAGAAGCCTTGCCTACTTACTAAATTCTTCATAGTCAACGGCGAGTCAAGTAATGGAAAACGATAGATGCACCGTAAAGGAAGCGTCCAAGCAAGGTCTATGCTTCTAGATCTTGCGATTAGTACCTAGTCTACAAAGACGTTCTAGCTGTGGGTAATCTGCTTTGGTCTATTCCTCTGATGTGGTCTTGAGCGGAAAAAAGGACCTAGAACTCGCGAAAGTGCTATTAAACAACGCCCGCCCTATTAAGCTCCGCCCACTCGGGCTGGAAGTGTCTGTGCTTTGAGGATAAGGCTTCGAGAATTTAGGTTTCTAGGGATATTGCACATTTTGCACCTCTATCTGCAATTAAAACCACAGAAAGGACGACGCGCACTCAAGTTCGTGGATATTTCATGCTTGCGGAATAAAATCCGTTGGCCTCTATAGCTTTAGCTGCCGGAAAGTATTTTACTAGTTTGCAAGAAATCTTTTTAGTCTGGACACTGAATAATATTCCATAAGGAAAAAACAAAACGTGGGCATACGGGAAGACCAATGAACAGCCTTTCTATGTAATACAACATCACTGCGCTATTCGCTGGTTTTCAAGTGTCACTAGTCGTTTGAGGCTTATTCATCAGTCGAAAGCTCTTTGTAAGTTTTTCAAACTCTTTTATTAGGATACTCAGCTGCATTGCATGCTTTAGTCTTCAGTATATTGTATCACTGCTCACGAGACTGCTCGAATACTGCAGCAAACATGTTAGGAACATCTCCAAATAAGCCTTAATTGACATTTTGACAGCTATATGGGCACTGGGAGCGGCTGCTAGGTTTTCCAACGCACGCGAATGAATAATTTATTTCCTTGTCTACACTACTATAAAAATATATTACACTTGATGAACGACATTTAGCGTCGAGTTCCATCCTCGAAGAATACTCCGCCATCGATGGCGCAGTATTTCGGGCAAATACCGGGTTCTCCTGGGCTACCAGGCGGTCCTGCAGGTCCTGGAAGTCCAGGATTCCCGTCAGCGCCTGGCTCACCATCTGGTCCTGGAGGTCCTTTGGGGCCAGGTTGACCTGAAAATGATTTTATTTAGATGATAAATTATAACTCTGCGTATATAGAGCTTACCAGGGGCTCCATCGGCCCCAGGCAGTCCGGGAGGTCCAGGAGGTCCTTGTGGTCCTGGCTCACCGGCTGGTCCTGGATCTCCGGGAATGAGAGGCTCAGAAATAGCATCAACTCCTGGCTCTCCTGGTGCTCCAGGTGCTCCAGGATTTCCGGGCGGACCTGGTGGTCCCTTTGGTCCAGGCGGTCCTGGAGGTGCGTCGTTGCCTGGTGCTCCTGGAGCACCGTTTGGTCCTGGATCTCCTGGAGGTCCCTGTGGTCCAGGAGGTCCGGGTGGCCCTTGCGGGCATGGTTTGCATGGAGGTGGAGTAATGGGTTCACATGGCTGCTGTGGTGGACGGCCTGGACTTCCAGGGAGTCCTGGGGCTCCGGGCTTTCCTGGTCTACCAGGTTTACCCGGTGCTCCAGCAGGACCGGGTGGACCAGGCAAACAGCAAGCTTCACAGATGTTGGCTGACTCGCTTCCACCAGAGACCCCAGCTACACCAGCCTCTCCATACCCAGCCTGACGAGCAGTACGATTGCTGGGGAGGTTTTTGAGGTTGTTCACTTCACTCCAGATGTCTTTGGCAGATCCCTGAAGCGATAAAATAGATAAAAAAATAAATACAGCACAAATCATAGCAGATAAAAAATCCATGTAGACAGATGTACCTTGCAGTAGTCAATTTCTGAATGCATGGCTTTCTTGACATGGCTTACATAGTTGTAGACCATAGGAAGGGTAACGCATACAGAAAGTACAGCAACCACAGAGAATGTGACCGCCGAGTAGGCGACGAAGCGATACGCCTTGATGCGTTGCTCCAGATCCATGAAAGGCGCTGAGATGGACGGATCGTCGCTGCGCTTAAATACCCCTTCAGCAATTCGATTTCAGGCAAGGGCGTTATTTCGGGCGTCTCCGACGTCCGTACGGTGTCTCGGTCGAACCGGCTCTCAAAGTGATTCCTCACTTCTGTCCTCGCCTCTCCTCGGGAAGCTGCATCGTCTTCGCGCGTGCGTAAAGATTTGTGAACGGACCTTAATTGATCCCAAACGTAACGCTTTACGCAGTTTCTTTTCTCGGCGCCCATTGTGAAAGTGACGAATGTCAATAAAAAAACATTGCTACATCCTTATCTCGTCTATTACGATCCTCAGCCATCGATAGTTGCCTCAAATCCAAGGATCCACTCTAGAGGGTGCACATCCTTAGGTGGAAGTCATCTATGCCGTCATCTATTTGTAACGGTGGAAAGTCGACTGCACCTGACAGGTGGGTATCCAAAGTGAAAAAAATTCAAATTTCCCTATATGGTTTTGATAATTCATTATGTTGGTTCATAACTCTTCCAAGAAATATTTGGAAAGTTCTATGTGTTTGTGCTTTTAGAGAGTTTGTTCAATTTTAGCAAAAAAATCGTTTGCTCTCTAACAATGCTTGAAAAAATAGTCAACAAGATGATTAACATTAACATTAAAACGTAATTTTTCGCAATTGAGCCTCTAACCTTGCTAAAAAATCCAATAAAAATCGATCTGATTTTCGATCATGGTTTTAAGACTTGGTCTTTTCAAGAGGGGAAATTTATGGTAGTCGGATGTATCTGTGGTGACTGGTTGTTTCTACTAATAATTTTGTTTTTAACTTTTTCGGCTCGACAATTCGGTTCTGTTTCGAATAGAATCTCTAGAACGTATAGTAATAATACATGATATAACCTGAAGCGTTGTTTTGAGTATTTCTGGATGAATTTCAGCATTGTTTGGTACGAAACTCATGAACTGAGCTAATAGGGACTTTTGAGAAACCCATACAACTCGTGATACTTCTAGAAAGTTGAATATTAGCTAATTCTTCTCTGAAAATCAGCAAGTGACCTACATGACCAAATCGACTTTAGTGCTGATTGCTAATCATTTCTGTGCAAACTCTAAATGTCATTCAATTATTCATTTAGCAATTCACGAGTTCCTCAACTGTGATTTTAACGCTTGTTACAATTTTAGTGATCTCCGAGATTCTCCTTAAACAAGTCCAGGGTGCAACACGTTTCAGCTTATTTTCCACGGTTTTCAGAGAATCGAAGGACAGAAAAGAGAGTCCTGCAGAACTGTTAAACTACAAAGGCAAAAAGTATGAAGTTTTCTCGAATTAATTTGGGCGGTACAGCAAAGGTGTTTCGTTTTCCTTCTATATCTTCACTACCTCTTATTCCAAGTTTTCTCGTAGCATTACACGCGTCAATGGATCGGTTGATACACAGATAAAAAAATAAATTTTATTTGGTGATAGTCTCACTCCGCACAATAAAAGCATTAAGAGTGAAGTAATTATTAATAAGCATAATTCTCATGTTTTACTTCTTCGTAATAAGTTCTTACTGCTATCTTGCTATAGTGCTATTGTCTTCAACATTTTCTAGGAGATTTGCAGTCGTATGCGAATAATTAGCAAAATGTAAAATCGATTTGATGGAAGCAAACTACAACTGTTTTATTTGCAAGTTTCATACTCAAATAATATTACGCTTCGTCGATTTGAAAGAATTGCAGTCGTTGCTATCATGAATGAAAAAATCTTCGGCAATGAATGCAATGCAAAGGCAACGAACCGGTTCCACCCGTGCAATCACACGCACACATTATACCCAAAAGATCCTAGCCAGCTATTGGCCTGTACTTTTCTGAAATCCTTCCTGTCACATTTGTAACACCTTGCCTAGGAGCAAGAATTTTCGGAAAATCCCATGAGGACAAGTCGAGCTGGTTGGATGAGGGATTTAGCAGAATTTCTTGCGATTTCGCGGCGCCAATTGGATTCCCACGTGAGGGATTCGGATCAAGAAAAGAAGCATCCGACAAGCAGCTCTTCATAAGCTGGTATTACACCTTTTTGTGATATCATAAGAAGTACACTTGAAATGACCCAAATGGAGCTGGAGAGCTATTTTCAAGCAGAGGTGACAAGAAATGTCTGAAGGGAGTTACCTGCTGCATCCGGAAATAGAACATTCGTGTTTTTTGGAAGATTAACAAAGCCACCGTCCTTCTATTTTTCTCTAGAAGCTTTATCGTGTCGGTGCATTATGTTTAACCACATCATTGCTTGTGAAAGAATGGCCTGCATAAATTGTTTGTAACTCATATACAACACTTCCCCATATCTCGATCATTGGACAGAGAAAACCTCGCAGGCTCTTTCGAAGAGTTCAACATCGTGGCTCAGACAAGGAAGATTTTTATACAAAGATTTTTATTACGGCGAAAGAACCCAAGCGGAGAGGAAAGGCGAATCACAAGATGTTCAATACATATTACCTATCATTGGCATACCCAAGATATACATTCGGGGGGGGGGGGCAGACGCACTTCGGGAACTTATTTACGATACTTCCAAAAAATCGGGCCCATAACTTCGAAATTTTAGGAAAAGCGTGGCGGTAGCCACGCCCCCGATAAATTTTTTTAAAGGCTAATTTGAATTTTCGAATCTTCTTAAGAACATTTTAATTCTTACAAATATAAGTTTTGCCCATTTTTTCGACTCATGTAAGTAACTTTTGAAAGTTTCGCGGCCCATCCTCGGAAAGCGGGGAGGGGTGGAGAGGCACCCCTCTCCCCCCTCGGTACGCCACTGATACCTGTGGAGCCTATTATTCACAAATTTCGCAAAATTTCTCAGATAAGCATGAAGCAGTGGCGGGCCGAGGGGAGGGAAAGCGCCCCTGCCCTCCAACTGAGAGGGGTCGCGAAGTTCCTGCATATTCACATAGGTTATAAAAATGTGCAAGGGACTTGTTCAAACTTGTAAGTAACTGAAATATAATTTGTAAAATTTTTAGAGAATTCACATTAGCCTTCGAAAAATTTCTTTCGTGGTGTGGATACGAAGAAATGTCTTCACTCTAGGTTCGGGTACGAATAGGGATTTCAAAATTTTGATTCAATTCAAGTTACCTACTGAACATACGCTAACTCGACCTTCTCTCCTAAACAAGTAAAGCAACAGCCGGCAAACTATTGAACTCGGGGTGCCGTTGAGATGCTCGACTCGACAAAGACGATATCGAACCCAGAGAAAAAACGCCATAAATTTCAGACCTCAAAATTTCAACGAGTACAGTTGAAATCTATTCAGCACCCAGTAGAGGTCATGGCGCTTTCCAGAAAACTCAACGATGGCGACAATCAACAACAAGAGTACACATTCTTTTACCGGATCGTCATAACAATTATCAGCCCAAAGCATCATGCCATGATCATCTGGCGTCTCCCTTATTGCCGAATTCACTGGCGTTCTTTTTGGAACTTTTCTTATTATTAACTTGGATACATGAAAATAAAAGTAAGGTTAATACCAGATCCAAGTGTTTATCAAAAATGAATGTGGATTTTCAATGTAGGATGTTCAGTTGGAAACACAAGACAAAAGGAGAGCGGTACTTACTATAATGCCAAATGTGCACGTTAAAAAAACCTGAATGATAGAAAATGATTCTTCGTCACACATCCTTTTCCTCACTCCCTCATACTCCTTCTTGCGAGCTACAAGATCGTTTGCGGGATTGCAACCCATTGTTAAGAATTTTGAAGAGGAAATAGACCAGGCTGCCCGTAATTATACGGGAGGTTCTTTTTACAATATCACGTTGCTAGTAACCACTTAAAAATTCCGAAAAGGAAACTCAGAGAAATATTTTATATTATAGGGGCTCTTCTATTCTAGTTTTCTTAGTTTACATGCTATCATCTACGTGAGATATACATCCCATTTTCCGTACGATCAAAACACTTTTTTGTTTAGAAGAATCCACGGTATCTTTCGTACGTAACTGAGCCTATAAAAGCTAATAAATAATTCTGCATAAAAATAAACGAAAATTTTTTAGCATCACTATGATATAGCAGACTCCCTTTTATGCCGAAAATAGCGCTTTATATTTGCAGGACTCCCGCTCTGCATTGAGATGTGATTACAGGACATTTGGTACCAAAAAAGAGCGAGGTTGCCTTCATTTTTCAGCATAGAAGAAAGTGGAAAAGATTTGAGAAAAGCAGTGTAAATGAATAGATTAGATAACTAGGTTCTTTATGTTTTTTTCGTTGTATTTGGAAAATTCCATCCAAGCTTGGCACTACCGCTCTACCAACCTACTGAATAAGCACTATTTGCCATTTCTTGCAATCTGGCTTTCTAAAAGCAGGGATAAAGAACAGATACTAGCAATATCTGACAATGAGGTTTCGAATTGATGCTATAGTTATCAAATTTCATAGTTTTACGAAGTGTTCATCAATTACAGTTATTTGTTGAGATTGCAAAGATCTGAAAGACGTTACACAATCCAGCATAGAAGCGACATTCATCTATTGGGGACCTGATTTTTAATAACAACTGTTTTCCTATACTATATCATACTGAAGATATGACCATGTTGTCTGCTGACTAGTCTTATAACACAATGAAGTGGCTGAGTCTTTACGAGTCTAAAAGACATACTAGATCTTCAACAAGGTAGAAACTTCACTACAGAAGTCATTGCTCTAACTCAAATATCACGAAAAAATGATCATACACCTCTCAAACCATGCACGACACATGACCCCTTAGCCACTCTATATCTCATCAGTGCCAAAAATTCCCAGTTATTTTCACTGAGCATCAAATGTAATCTTCGCAACTCTACATGTTCGTTCCAAAGCTTCTGCTCGTAATAATCAACTCTTATCTTACGACCGAACCAATAGCTTTGCTGTATCATATCAGCTGTAAGTCATTATTGAAAGGAGAGCAGCTGCTAAAATAGCGCATGCAAAAAAGACCCGGTGCATGTTCTGCAAAACAAGAATTAGCACTTTGTAATTGCTACAAAATTATTTGGATAGTGAAGAATAAAAATTTGAAGAATATTGAAACATATGAGATTTGAAGTGTACATAGAAGTAATCAGCAGGGCTCGCCACAGGTGGGCTTGTAAGCAAGCTGGATATTGTTTTTGGGACAAAAAGCAAAGGAGGTATCGTTTTTGAGACCGAAAAAACACGAAAGTTGTGGTTTTTTTGGTCGACGTTTCGTTTTTTGAGTCTTTTTAGGTTTAGGGTTCAAGAAAGGGGACTTCGTAAAAATTCGCGAAAGTTAAAGGGGACTTTTTTTTGCATTTTCAAAAAGCCACCTCGTGAAGAGCCCTAGTAATCAGGTGGTTTTTTTTCTGCTTCGTGTCTCAATGTCAAATGCTCATCTTCAATCCCACCTTTCTCTCTCTATCTTCATGCTGGTATGGCGAATAATTACTCATTTGTAGACGCGATTGAGAATGTTATCTGCTCTTTGGAAAGTATAACGCTGAAGGTCGCAAAGTGCAAGATACTTCCGTTAAATTGCGCAAAAGCAAATTCGAGTAAAGGTGAATGGATTGACACAGAATTAGTACATGGAGCAGAAGCTAGAATTCAGAGGAAGCAAATCAACTTCAATGTTCTGCGTCTTCAGCATGGCAGAAAATTACTGCACATAGCTGCAAAAATTGAGCCTTTTTAACCTCTTTGAGTTGAGGAAAAACACACTTGTCCGGCTGACCTTGAAGTTTTTCTGAGGCAGAACCCTGATGTTACAACTGAATCAGTCATTTATGCTAAGTAGTTGGGTTCAGTTCCACGAAATACCGTGAGCCTGGACAAAAATAACAAAAAATGAAACAGCATTATCTAGCGCATGCATTAACTGGAGCGGCAAATTTCCCTTTGTAGTCCACACTTGCATCCAATTCCTAGTGCCATATCCATTTATGCTAGACGTTTGCAATTTCTCCGCGGAGTCACTTAGAACCAAATCTACTTTGCACAAGTGCAACTCAACTTCGAGGACATTCTAGAAGGTCGCCCATTTTTGCATTGCAGGTGGGCGACGTCTCGATCGTGTTCTGCACTTCAGAAATAGTGAGAGTCTCTAGGAGACGATACGACCAATGTTGGATAAGTTTGCAACTTGTATATAAGTCGCATTTCTTCTCACGCAGGTGATGGAGCTTGATCACCGCATCCGCGCGTATCGCTTTGTCGCGTACTCCGCCGTGGCCTTTTCGGCCATTGCCGTACTTTCGATATGCATCACATTGCCCATGGCTTATAACTATGTGCATCATGTCAGAAGGAGCATGCACGATGAGCTGGATGACTGCACGGTAAGTGGTGCAAAGGCCTTCGATAATTTTTTGATGATTCTGCATTTAAGGGAACCGCGAAAAACCTATGGAGTGAGGTGAATAACCTCAGCAATTCCCCTTCACGAAATAGGACGGCTCGACAAGCCAGCAACGTTGACTGTGACTCATGCTGTCTGCCAGGGCCACCTGGACCTCCGGGACCGTCAGGAAGGCCCGGTAGACCGGGAAAGCCAGGGGCACCTGGAGCTCCTGGTAATCCAGGACGACCTCCACAGCAGCCATGTGAAGGAATCACACATCCCCCTTGCAAGCCGTGCCCGCCAGGTCCTCCCGGACCACCAGGACCAGAAGGAGCTCAGGGTGACATTGGACCACCAGGTGCTCCTGGCCCCGTAGGACCTGATGGTCCACCTGGAGAAAGAGGGCCCCAGGGACCCCCAGGACCGAGCGGTAGGCCAGGCGAGTCAGGTACACCAGGAAAGCCGGGAGAAAACGGAATTGCGGAGGTTATACGCCCTGGACCGCAGGGACCACCAGGTCCAGCTGGACCACCCGGACCTCCTGGACCACCAGGAGAGCCAGGAGAAGACGGGCTTCCAGGTAATTCTCTCCTAGATTTAACCCATTTCCTGAATTTACTCAAGATTTTTAGGACCACCCGGTCCAAAAGGTCCTCGTGGACCTGATGGTGATCGCGGACCAATGGGAAGTCCTGGTAAGCCAGGCCCACCCGGATCATCTGGACCACCCGGCGAACGCGGCATTTGTCCGAAGTACTGTGCTCTTGACGGTGGAATATTTTTTGAGGATGGAAGTAGGCGTTAAAGCATACATTCGAAGAAGCTGGATGAACCGTCATCCCATACAGATATTGCTCACAATGTTCTATTTGTGTGCTGCTGACTCTATAGATGTCTTTTTGCCAACAACGAAACAATGTTGTGCATAGATCATGATAAATCAAAGCAAGGAGAATTGCCTCTGGATGGATCATGATAAATCAAAGGGAAAGGGAAATCTCCTCTGGATGAACTTGTTACCATTTTTCGCATTGCTGATATCTGAGAGAAAAGTCACGACATGGTTGTGTTTTTTCTTGAAACATGACATGCTCTTGCAACCAATGGTAGCGAAGGATTTTGGTAGCGAGGTATTTCGCTTCCGAAAAAAGGTTAGGAGGATATAAAGAGGGCGACTTCTATCAGCCACATCTCGGTGGGCAAATATAGAGTTTCAAAAAGCGCTGGGATCAGAATAAAATACTATCGTGGTGGCCTTGAAGAGGCTCGGCCAGGTCCCCGGTTGGTCTATAATTTTTTCAAAGCCAAAGATCCTTCGACGGCCAAAATTTTACGAAATACCTTGACGAATCTAAACCTCCCATGCACTTATGGACGGACCTAGAAAAAATTGCCAGCAAATGAGAACTTTTTCCCTCTCACGACTCTTAAAAAGTTACGTGAGCAGCAAGAAAAATCAGTAAATGCTCTCAATATTTTCACGAACCAGTAATGAAATATCTAAGATTGCACCCGCGAGTGTGTTAGTAGGACTGAGCCCCCAAAGGAATCAGCATCTAAGGATGAAGCTCTTCGCCGTAACGTACATTACTTCTCGCAAATTACTGAAAACGGACATTGACAAAAAAGATAAAACAAAAAGACAGAAAGAAAGAAGGCGACCATAGGGCGGAAGCTGAGTCTGGCACCAGCTGGCACGGGGCATGCTGCTGGATATCGTTTTTGGGACAAAAAGCAAAGGGGATATCGTTTTTGTGGCTGCGACGTTTTTTACGGCACGTTTCGCTTTTTGGGGGTTTTTTACGTTTAGCGTTCAGGGTCAAAGGGGACTTCGTAAAACTTAGCAAAGTTATGGAGGACTTCATTTTGAAAAATCCCTGGTGCCAGCTCGTGCCGAGCCCTGGGCGGAAGAGAAAAACGAGAGCGGATTTCTGAATGGAAAACGAAGAAAAAAAGAAAAAAAATGACTGGATTGAGGCGCATGAGTCACTACATTTGCTCGCGATGTTAAAAGCGGTTTCTTATAGATTTTGAAGGCAAAAAATGGAGTAGAGGCATGCTTTGTCTTGGTTTTTTCGCTGGATAGATTTTCAAATTGCCAAAAACAAGTCTGAAAGTTATATGAACTCACCGATATTTGTTCACAAAGCCAGCTCAGTTGACCATAAAAACCCTGGCCAAATGAGTTGGGCTGGAACATAAAAAAGACCGCTTTGGTAATTATCGCGATTTTTCGTAACACTATTCACAGACTATTCTATACACGCAATCCAAATTTTGTGTCATATAAACGTTTGTGCGTCGTAAAAGACACCTGTTCAGATCAGCATAACTTTTGAGCTACACCTTCTTGTGAGTGAACACTCTGGACAAGGCCCGGCACGCGTTGGTCTGGAGAATTTTTGGGAAGGAAATCCCTTATGACTCCGCAAATTCTTACGAAGTCCTCCTTGACTCATAAACTAGTTAGTAAACAACAGCAAACAAACTTTCAAAACTAGTTTGAAACAACAGCAACAAAAACAAAACAACATGCCGCCGGTCCGAACTACGTGGCAGACATGTAATTGGGCAGACATGTAATTGGAGTGCCATATCTATCAGTGCGTTTACTTGCATTATGTTTGGCTCAAGCAAAGAGGAGAGGGAATGGCTTGATTCGCCGTCTTCACTAAATGATAGATACTGAGCGTTTAAACCGTCTAAATCAAAAAAGTTCACACATATGTGACTCCAAATTTTAGCTTCGAACCAACCCAGTTGGTTTGTGTTGGTTAGAGACAATAAATTCGGAAACTGGTATTAGGATACAAAGTTTTTCAACCGTACACGTGCATAAAGATACGGAGCGTATACTGCCGTCACCGTTATTATGTCAGGTTCTGAATATTTTCGTTTTCTTTGTTTTAAATGTAGCACGCCTTGTGCGTATCGAATAAATAAATAAATAAATAAACCCGAGAAGAATAGTCAAAGACAGTAGCAGAGCCACAGGAACTCATATTCACCTTAGAAGCACAAGAGATAGCTGGAAAACGACCACCTTATACAACTGTGCCTCCAACCTTTATTTATATGCCCTTCCGCCTCAAACCCCTCCTCACTTATTTACAACGCCCCAAACTTTGTAATTCTGCTTCAAACGCGTGATGACGCGGGCCAGACGAAGCGCCGTCAATTCGGGAAATACAACGCTGCATTTTTTCATCTATTTAATGTTGTTTCCCCACAATGGTCGGCCGCCTCATCATGGCCTCCTGCGGTGGCACTGAGTGTCGAACTGCGATGCACAGCCGAGTGTATGCTCTGGCAGGACCTCCCAAGCTGTGAAGGAGTTCGACGTTTCCGGTCTCGGCCGGATGCCTAGCTAAGAGTCGGCCAGGCCAAATCCACCGCCGTCTGGTTTTTTTTTGGTCGCTAGGCGGTTCCCCCCGCTCCAAGAACGGCGTCAACGATCGCCCCGTGGAAATCAGTACGCCTAGTAAGTCTGCTCTTGTAGGGGAAAGTTTTTACTCGATCAGCAAAAAGAAGAGAAATAAACCCTGCACATCGGTCCCGCCTACTGCGCGATGGTAGCAAAACGATGTCAGGGTACTCAGGGTGCCTTTCGGATTGGACATAAACGACACGTCTGCCCGGACGACACGCCATGGAGACTGCCTCGTGCTCTGCACTTACAACGCCAGGACAGTCTCCACAAACGCCGAGCTCCACGCTCTTCTCGACGCTGCAGAGCACATCAAGTACCACATTATCGCTCTGCAGGAAACGAAGTCCAGGAAGAAGGACGTGCGACAGATGAGTGATGGGACCCACATCATTTGTGTTGAAAAGGTTCTATCACGAAACGTGAGGCGTTGGTTTTGTCGTCCACCCATCTATCGTCCATCTTGTCGATTCGCATGAGATCCTGTCACCTCGACTAGCCATCCTACGACTGCAACCTCCACGTCAGAAGACCACCAGCATCATCAACTGCTATTCTCCAGCATCAGCTGCTGACGAATCAGAACTATATGCTACTTACGGAGCAATCACAAGTACAAACAATATTACAAAATACTTATAAAAATATTCTCGAACTGAAAAGCACCCACCGCAGCAATTTAGAATGTGATTTTCTGGACTTAAAAATAAGTATAGTTGAAGGCAGAATTATCACCACTCAATATAACAAAACGGACTGCTTCAACTTCAAAGTTAACAAATTTACCATTCAGGATCACACATCAGTCTTAATGTCAAAATTGCAATTATTTACAGTGAGATTTATTTATAGGACTTGTACGAAATTTGAAAACTTTGATGAAAGACTAGAATTACTTATAGATCAACTTTTAGCACTACAGTACACTCCCAACATCATTTCTAACGCCATGATCAAATGTTTGAGTAAAAATAAATGCATATCATATAAGTATTTGCAACTACAATCGTTCAAAAACACTAAAACCTTTGTTACTGGAATGCTCACAAAATTGGGGTGAGTGACTTTTCATACGATGAGCAATTCCGAGGTGCGAGGTGTGATCACCTACGGCTAAGTGTCAAGTCTCGCACCTCCGCGGCTAGTATACTGTAGGGGTGGGGGGGTAGGGAAGGGGGGGGGGGGAGGGGGACTTTTCATACGAATGCCCCACATCATCTTTTGGCAAAGATCCAGTGAAAATTGGCACCATGCCGAATTTGTGCCTACTGGCTCCATTCCAAAAAAATAAAACATCTAGAATTAGCTTTGCAGCACCGCGAATTTGAATAAAATGAAAACTTGAATGCTGTGTGAATTCAAAAGTGTTTTGCTTTGAACAATAATATTATAATCGTTCTACTCATGAATTTTTTAGAATTCAAGTCGGCATAGTTCGGTTTCTCTTTTGCAGACGTTTTGAACTGATTTGAGTAATGTCATATGCCTTTCCGACCTTTCAGCATGACCTGGAAGTGTTACCGTTCCTATAGGGGATATTGGAGGGCACGCGACCCGATGAAGCGGACTATATCATTATCACAACTGTGCCAATTGTTTGCGAGAATGAATTCGCTGTGGCCTGACGACCTTTACTATGATACCCTATTTAAGCTTTTCGAATTTTTCATCGTTTCGTGCACCCCCACCATTGCCAGGTAAGCTTTATCAACAAATAAAATCGAGATATTCTTTACTTTACGCACAGAATCAGAAAATATTAATTCGAATAACGTGGAAGAGATCGTATACATGGATATTTCTGTGCCAAGTAAGTTTTGCAAAAAATCCACCTGTTTTATTTGTTTTTTTTTCAAATTTAGATGCACCTCAATTGTACACTGCCTCTGGCGCGGCCGTTGCGACGAATTCCAGCTCTTTGGGCTCAAACTCAATTTTTTCTGATGATCAAATGAGCGAAGCAGTAATGCCTCCTAGTTCCAACTCATTGCCTATACGCGCTTCTGAGCCTTTATTCGAAATAACTCAAAACATTCCAAATCCTTCAACAGCTTTTTCCGATACAACTTCCAGTCACACGAGTCAACCGGCTCTAGAGTCCTCAGTAGGTGGTACCACAGGGGATGTGAACATTGCAACTTTTACTAGGGATGAAAGCGAGTTAATACCCAGTACCCAAGCTATTAGCCCCGTAAGATATTTTGGAAAATTCGAACTGAGCAAACATGGTAAACTAGTGTCCTCGTGTATAGAATCCCTAATACAAGAATGGTTTATTCTTTCTCATTTTTGAGAAAAAATAATACATTTGATGTCTATCGTTGCATACGTTGCCAGTCGCAAGGGAGCTATGTCAAGATCAAGGTAAGCTAAGATTTTATTTTTAAACAAAAATTTGCTATTGAAACTGTAGGTTGTCGGCAACGAATTCCAAGAAAATCCCTGCAGTATTGGGCATATCTGTCCTTCCCAAACGGTTGCATTTGACGCCAACATCAGGAAGTTCTACGAGGAAATGCAGTCCATACGAGGCGACTCGAACTCCTCAGGAATGAGAGTTAAGCAAATTTGGTATAAAGGTCTCCGCGAAAGGGAAGAATCGCGAACGGAATCAGGTAAAACGGCATTCAAAGTGCTAACGTACAGTTGCAAAATGCAGTATAAAAAATCCTGATTTAGACGAAGCAGTGCATGACGGGGTCGTGAGTGAGTACTATGGAATTGGGTTTGAAATGCGCAAAAGGCAGATAGCCAGGTTCAGAATTTCAGTTCCCTCTTCCTTCTTTCTAACACTGATTTCTAGATATCTCGCTATTCATAAAGACAAGAGGGCAACAATGGCAAATGTCCCATCTGACCTGCAATGTCTTTGTGATGGTACGCTATTTTTGCAAGAGCAGTCTGAGCGGTTCCACATATATTTCTCAGAGCGAACAATTCAGGTAAAACCCTGATTTTTGATTTTTTATTATTTCACTTATTATTCAGCTCAATTTATTTTGGTTTGACGAACAACAAAAGACTGCGTACTGCTTTCAGAAGGCATGCTCTGTGGGTCTAAATGTTCTGGTGGCGGATGGCGTTCATTCTGCACAACCCAAGGAATTGGCAAGGAGTGGACAATTGTATTCAGTGCACGGGGTCTGTGGAAACGGCGTCGAGGTCCCGTTGGTATACGCTATTACAACCAAAAAGACCACGGCGATCTATAAGAAGATTTTTGAAAAATTAAAAGCGCTTTTGCAAAGTTTCGGAGCACGCGAGGATCTCCGCATAGTACTGGATTTTGAAAAGTCTTCTATAAACGCAGCCAAAAGGACATTTGCCGGAGCGCAGGTTAAAATATTGCAATTAATTTTAACTTGACTTGAGTGACTGTTTAGCTGGAGGGATGCTCGTTCCACATGGCTCAGGCCTGGAACAGACGCAAAGATAAATTGGGACTTCGTCAATACCTCTGCGGTAGGCAATCATTATTTACCTCAGAAGTTTGCAGCTTCAATTATAAAAACTGAGGTCCGACCAGAGAAAGGCGAATTTCACGGTGGTGGGAAATGCTCAAGGGGCTGGTATTTTTACCGAAAAGATTGCGAGCACGTGTTCGAGCATTGGAAGGACCACCCGTTCCCCGTGGACACGATGCATATAGAAAATGTGCCAGATTTCTTAGGTAAGCAAAAAAGCTAATTTCAGTAAATATTTCATTTTTATTTTGCAGGTATCTGCGAAACACTTGGCTTTCTGGCATGTACAAAAATCTATGGTGCAAATGGAAGAAATTTGAAATGCGAACAACAAACCTCGCTGAGGCTTTCCACAGGTGCAGTTAGCCCATCTACAATACCGCTCTTAATCCTATTTCAGCTCATTGCAAAAAATTCAAAATTGTGATCACCCTCCTTTGGGCACCTTGATTCAAGTCTTGAAAGATTTAGATTTGGAAGCTAAGTGTGCCCTTTATCGCGCTGAAAGAGTAGGTTCCTCTTTTACTGAAGTTACTGAAACTGAAAATTCAAAATACTGAAATTTCAAATTTAGATGCCGCTTGAACGTAAGCGTTTGCGACGGAGAGATGTGCTGAGGAGAGAGAAAATCACAGCGGAGATGACGAGGTAAGGACTATCGCTGCATATTCGCAAAATTATTTTCTGATTTTTTAAATTTCTATTTCAGCTTCGACCATCGGCTGCGTATGGGGCGACTACGAAATCATCAAGTAGAGAAATACTGCATACGAATGGCTAGATTTGTTTCTAATAAAAGCATTTAGTGAAAAAAGATTTAGAGATAATTTTATTGTGCTTATTTATGTGCCTTGTGAATTTTATTTTACGTTTTTGATAATAAACGCTTCATTTTGGTCCATTATAATCGATAACTGGTCGTATTACCAGCACCTTAGCATACCGCTAAAAGGTCAAGGTGATCAGGGAGCGTTCGTATGAAAAGTCCCCCTCCCCCCCCCCCCCTCACCTAGGCGATCAGGGAGCGTTCGTATGAAAAGTCCCCCTTCCCCCCCCCCCCCTCACCTAGGCGTAGTGGAGAATCTTACTAATTACGAGGATGGAGAGGTGCGATGTAGGTGCGAGGTAGGTGCGAAGGCTAGGTGTGAAGTCCCCGATCGTATGAAAAGTCCCCCCCCCCCCCACAAAATTGCAACTTAGCTGATTTTTTGATTTTTTGATCTATTTGCTCTACTCCTCATGTATAGATACCCCTCCCCCTGGACCTATCCTTCTCAGTACACCACTCTTCCCTACTGACGAGCCTCGGGAGTGGTTAACACTATAGTAACCTGTATAGGGGTAGAGGCGAAACAGGCGTAAAGAACCCATCATATCAATGTTTACTATTTACGAAGACGTGGAGCAGGTCGTCCGCAACGGGAAGTCCTTCTACAAGTTCGTTGTGGGCGACTTCAACGCGAAGATCGGGATGCCATTAGAAAAAGGATATAGGGTCGGGAAGTTTGGATATGGACTCCGGAACGAAAACGGCAATCGTCTCGTTAGGCTTCTCTCCGCCGCACGACTTTTTCATGGGAATTTCATCTTCATGAAGAAAGGACATCGCCGGTGGACTTGGGGATCGCCTAACGGAACGACTCACGCGGAGATCGACCACATTCTCACCAACCGAAGGTGGAGCTTGCTCAATGTCTCAGTAGTTCGATCCCTCTGCATGGCTCCGATCACCGCTTCCTTCGAGCGAAGATACGACTCAGCCGAAGGCTGGAAAAGAAAGTCTGACACAGTGCCGCGAGAAGGAAGGAAGTCGTTTATGATGGTAACAGGTCAGGTGGCTGGAAATCCACCTAACTCCGAAAAAAGTTTGCCACGCCTTCAGTTCACATAACTTTTCATAATTTTTTGCGCTTAGTCCTAACTCCCTATCGCCCATCTATACACCAATTTTCGGAGTGCGTGGCTAACGCCACGCATTCATCTGAAAAAAAATCCGTCGCCCTGCGAACGAAATTCCAGGCTACGCCACTGGTATTTTCTGATCATTTTCTACACCTCGCCTAATCAAGACTTATGTGGACTTACAATATATGCTCATCCCCTATCGTACGGTGGCAAGTCTGTAAACAGACTAATTTTGGAAAAGGAATCGCATCACATAAGTTTTCAGAAATATTCACATACTTTTTTCTAAAATAATATTCTATGTTCTGCAGTCCAAGTTTGTGATATCCTTGTCTCTACACTGCAAACAAGCAATTGCTTAAACACTTTTTCCGACAAGAGGCACGGCTTCACCGTGCGAGCGCTCATGCTTCCCGCCGCCCGTAGGGTGAATACCGGCTCGCTCGCTGAAGGCGCGCCGCTCGCCCGCTCCTTCAAAAGCACTGAAGCGTCAGATAGAACTTCAATGACAAAATTTACATTTTTATGCTAAATTAGAGCAATGTAATTTGGAATTCATTACCAAATGTGTAAACAACATTAGAACAACAATTTATTATCAAAGCTCCATGAAAACGACATAACAACACAAGAACCAAATGAAGATGATAACACGATTCTACATATTCTCGATTCGGTCATGGCACATCAGTCTTCGGTCGGTGTGGGACGTTTTCAATTAGGCCTAAGGCATACCTCATGCGATTCGGCGGAATTTCTCCACTTTCACGCGACTTGGCGATTTGCCAGATTTCTACGAATTTATCGTGCGCACTTCTCGGACGCATATTTGGGTAGCTTGTGTAAGCTGTTGCAAACGGAGCAAGTTCCAACCAAAGGCAGCGCATTAACAACGAATTACGAAGACTCGCTGTTGTGCCGAATAGCGCAGCGATCGGAATCGCGCGAGGTATGCCTTAGGCCTTACGCTGAAAGACTTTCGAATTACTTACATCTAAGCATGCGAAGATTTTCACTTTATTACGTATCCATTTCGATGATTCGAATCTTTAAAACATTATATGGCCTAAAAGTAATATTAGGTTGAACCGAAAGTTCGTTCGCACCATTTTCAAAAAATCACAACTTTTTTTGCCACAACGGTTTTGTTCCCTGCAAGATTTCTTAAGAAATTGATTTTTGGCATTTTTTTTTCAAAAAATCATGATTTTTGAAAGAAGAGCTTGATCAGCACAGACATAACTCAGTTAGTAATAATATAAGAAAACTTAGGATGATGGCTGTTCTTAATTTTATCGCACAGTCTCTAGACTTTTAGAGGGCTTGCTTAAAAATTCCGAATTTCGGATGATCTCGTTCTTTCATTTTCATCTCTGAAAACTGAACATGTTGGAAGGTCCCCAGGGTACTTTTGGAAATTACATGCTTTCGCTTTCTGACAGTTTAAGTTGAGCAAAATCGTGGTGAATGGAAGAAGTTATGATTTTTTGAACATGGTGCGAACGAACTTTCGGTTCAACCTAATATATTCATTTTGTGTAACATCGTTGTGGACTCACAGGAACAATAAAAGGGACTTGAAGGATTGCGGCCACTAATCTCATTGTTGTAGCTCGAGTTTAATATGAAGTCTAAAGCATATTTTCTTTAGACTTGCGGAACATACTCCAGAAACTTACGATCTCGTGCAAGCCCGAGTTGCCTTCATTGATTCAACTCCTCGTGCCCGTGCCCACTCTAATGTTTAAGTCTGGAAACGTCCCCTTACGTCATTAATTTCTAGAAAAAATGTGCAAACAAAAAATTTAAGACAAGGAATGTGTCCTCTATTCTCAATTTAATTTTCGCCTATGCTTCAAAGCGATGCTCCCGTAGCGAATACTCTGCGCATCGGGGCGCTGAAATATAGGTACGAATCGGTAGAAACTCACCGAAAAATAGAGGCAATAAACCGGCAGAGACAAAACGAAGAAAACCTTCCGTGGCCAATGATGAATTCAAAATGGTGCGTTACCGAAGAAGCGACTTGTCCAGCAAACAGTTTACGATGATGGCACGCCGACCGCACGGTCACTTCAGATGGTGCGCCGTCCTCCACAAGCTCGCACGGCAGATTTCGATAGCGCGCCGCTCGTTGGCAACAATGCCACGCCCCACAAGTTGAGGCACGCCGCTCGCACGGTAGGCCCATGAAGGCGCGCGCAGTAGTTAATTTGTTTGATTACATTGCGCGCTTTTCTCAAGGTACGACGGAACATGTCAATCGTGTGATAGCCTGTCCTGAAAACTTGTGTTCGATTTGATGGTCGCTTTTGGCACACAAGAATGAAGTGATTAAATTGTCTTGCACACTATACGCGCAATTTTCCTCCGCATTGCTAGTATTTCATGTGAACAATTTTTTTCCGGAGCTCAGCTCCGGACTCCACAAAAACGACACTCCCTCTGCTTTTTGTCCCAAAAACGAGTCCAGCCTGATTCCATTTGATCGGTGACGGATCTTGAGAAGGGATTTCACATCGTTTGGGGTGGGAGAGCACCACTGTTTGATCCACTGCCCCTATCATTTTCTACACAGTGGAAGTTTGTTTTGGGCTGAAATATCAGGGTGATCACTAAAAAATGGGGCAGCTTGATTTTTCTTACATTTTGAGATTTTTTTGTTTCGTTCAACAACAAGCAGGTGCAACGTAAACGTCGCTTATATAAGCGACCTTCGCCTATTATTCTGGCAAAGCGTCAACGCTCCTCTCCCACAACCCTATGCGTGGCACCCTGAAGAACTCGAACAAGGTTTTGTGAACATCGCTCATTCTTGCGCTGCCAGTAAAGTTATAGAGCAATTGATACACCATTCGAAAGAGCTCTTCATGCTCTTTCAAACAGTCTATTGAACATACAGATTTTTTCCTATTTCTAGGTAAAAAAGCGAAACACCTGGAAAATCGCGATTTTTTGGCGCAACAAAACCCAATAAATCAAGTTTCAATCTGTATTTTCCGAAGATAGATGAAATGTGAGGTAAGCTGTATATGGATGGATAGAGCGCAAAAAGCTCTTTCAGATAGTACCTATAAAACATGTGTTTACCTGCAAAGAATTGAATAGCACGTATCTTTGTTCTCAACGATGCTAATGGCCATATCTCCTGAATTTGAAAGTTGAGGCCAGCAACCCACCGTGGGTCTGGTGACTGTACCTTCACGCATTGCAGCAGTAGTACCATGGGTGGTTTCGCATGTCTCACTGCGCAGATACTGCCCGAAGTTTATAATTTGTCAAAGTGACTAACTTTGCTTTCTAGCCACTATAAAAATTATTAGGTATGTAAATGACCTTATATGGGTATTTTCTGAAAGAGAGTAATTTATTCTGACACTTATCAATATTGGAAAGTTTAATCACTTTTCTTTTTTGAGAAATCTACATTTATTCTCTAGGTGCCCCATTTTTTACCGATCACCCTAATAGTTCTAGAAATGGTGATTAGCGCTTCAAAACCCAACGTTTTCGACCCTGATTTTCACTGATGACTTGCGTCGTGTCAAATACGGCTTTGCTGTATATGCAAAGAAACTGGGTTTTACTTTTACCTCTCATCCGTACTCAATCTGCTGCTATATTGTAGTTAGTGATGATTTCGCCATAACTATATTGTGCCGATATATTCGGCCCCTCTTCCAATCTTATCAATTCCTTTTTGCGTAGACTCCTTTGTAGCCTTGAGGTTACCAACTCGCGACCTCGAGTCATATCTTTGTATTGATATGCATTACCTTGCTTTGCTCCGCCTATTAGGAGCAGCATTCTACCATTGCCCAATTGCGGGTACGTTAATGTCTCAATAAAGCTGTTATAAGCTTATGTGTCCTGTATAGACACAAAAGGAGCTACCAAACTACTACCGGCTTTCCATAAGACTGGTCAGCCATTCATCTTCGACTCTACCATAAGAGTGGTAAGTCAGCACATATATGTCGCTGTTGCAAACATTTGGGGCTTCGTGAAGCCTTGCACAAAGGCATCGTTCATGCATGAACAATTTCGCCAAATCGAAATCTTTACGCTTGGAAATTTGCCAGACGTCTACGAATTGACTGCTTGTTTCAAAGGCGTAGATGCATAGCTTTTGTAAGCTGATACTATTTCTATATAAAGCTCGGAAAACTTTCAATGTAAACTGTCGAATGTGCAGCAACCGAAATCGCACGAGTATGGTCGATGCCGTAGGCCCTGGGCATAACTCGAGCGACGCAGTCATCACGAATTAATCGCTACGACTCGTTCGAAGTGGCCAACAATAGTGGCGATCATCTCGCTCATCGCTTTTCGTGCATACATCTGACACGATATCGTGCAGTTGCACAACACACACACTGAAAGTTTTGTCCGACCCATATCACTGCACGTGGTGAGTCTTGTTCTTTTGAACCCGGACATGGTCATCATTTGAGGCGAAACTTAAGTAGAAGCTTCGAGCAAAGCATAAAAAAAGCATTCATACATAGAAAGAAAACCTTATCAACTTTGGATAGTTGAGCGAAATCTGAGTAGTAGGCTTCCACATTGAAAATTGATTGTAATAAAGAATCTTCATGCAAGCTGGCTTCGCGGATTTTTAAGGACAATTCCACTATCTCAAACTGAAAAAGGTAGGAAGTGTGGCAACCGAATTACCCGAAGATGGTTTTTTATCCATGATATCAAACTGAAGAAGCTTAGGTGATGAGCCCTGCCACTGATAAAGAACTTAATTCTTATTGCCTTTTTAAACTTCTAATCTTATCCCATATGCAAACGACTACCAGTTCTTCTCGTCAGATAAAAGCTCAACTACTATTTTTGCATCTTAGTTGTCAATTCTTGGTTGGTGTAAGTGGTGGGTCTGTAGGGCTCACGCCGGATTTAGCAACTTATCGAAAAACTTCCAGAAATGCGTCGGGGCCCAACTGCAAAGGGATGGCCAGAGGCCCTGTAGCGAACGGAGAATACGGTTGAGGGGAAAGAAACCCTTTACCATTGCGACAGATTTCTTCTTCTGCTGATTGTGAAAATAGTAAAAAGGCTTTGCCAGCGTGCGACAAACAACGATGTCATTCGAAATGCTTTTCCTTGGATTATTGACTCTACGGCATAGCAGATTTTGAGCCAAGACAGTTTGGTTACTGTTCGTAATATTGTTTCAAATATGACAAGAATCTTCTGAAAAAGCAGCAAGCTTATTAGTGCCTAAAAAACTCATCTTCCCTCTGCCAAATTTCTTGTGCTGTGGGACAGCTTACAAGCTACAAAAATAGGTTTCCAGTGCTATCGGTTGCTCCTCACTAGTCTCTCGACAATATTGCCTTTAGTAGTCGTGGGATAATTCCTCGTGTAAGACTAAATACTGGTGTGCCCAAGATTACGTACCCAAGATTCGAGAGCGCAAAATGGTCGTACTGATAAGAAAAAGAGATATTACCTGCATAACCATTCAAAATGACCTAGTAGCAGATGGATGTGTTGTTAAACAACAAAGATCCGGAGTAAAGTTCGTAGCTACCACGCTTTGTCTGCCCCTTTTTCGAGCTCTATTGCTTAAAAGCAAATTTCTTCCTTTCGCGACTAACAGTTTCCCGCCGCGCAAACCAAAAGACATAACTTTCAAATCTGTCCTCGAGCAGCTGTTTGTTCAACATGCTGTAATGCTTTTTCTCATTCAACACGTTTCAGTGAATCGAGATTCATTACCACGTGAGAAAAAAGTACTTCGTAATGGTACTTGGCGGCCACTTCTTTGTTCCTGTTGATGCTTAGCGTCGCGTTCCATCTTCGAAAAAGACGCCACCGTCGATCGAGCAATATTTCGGGCAAACACCACGTTCTCCGGGCGGTCCTGGAGGTCCAGGCTGTCCGGGATGTCCGGCATTTCCGGGCGCTCCTGGTTGTCCGTCTTGTCCACGCGGTCCCTTCTCGCCAGGTGCTCCTGAAAAGTTCAAGAACGCGATATCTTGGCATGAACACCTTACTGACAGACTAAGGATAGTTATAAAATTCTGCTCTAATGGAACAGCCAAGTAGAATTTTGTCACTCTATTGAAAACGACACAATATTCAGACATGACTTCAGACTACTCGCTCTTTTTTTCAAAAGCACTTTTTTGTCGACACTATTCCTTGTAAAGTTCTAGTAGCAACTTTTTGCACACATCCATTCTACTAAGAAGTCACATACAAGTTTGCTAAGTACCCCGAAGCAGAGTAAGGACGAATGGTAAAGTGTCAAGCTGCATCTTAAAGTGCTCAAGACGAGAACAATATGGTACAAACCTGGTGCACCAGGGTGTCCAGGAGCTCCATTTGGTCCAGGAGGTCCTTGTGGTCCCGGCGGTCCTGGTGGTCCTGGTGGTCCGGGTACCAGAGGCTCTGAAGGCGCATTTGCTCCAGGTGGGCCGGGAGGTCCAGGTGGTCCGGCTTTTCCTGGAGGACCTGGAGGGCCTTTTGGCCCTGGTGGGCCAGGCTGCCCATCGGCTCCGGGCGCGCCGTTGTTTCCAGGTGCTCCTGGTTCGCCGGGAGGGCCTATGGGACCTGGTGGTCCTGGCCGTCCTGGTGGACACGGCTTGCATGGCGGAACTGGGATCGGATCACAGGGTTGGACTGGAGGTCGTCCTGGTTTTCCGGGAATACCAGGTGCTCCAGGATTTCCCGGTCGTCCAGGGTTTCCGGGCATTCCAGGAGGCCCTGCCTGTCCTCCTGTACAACAGGCTGCGCAGTCCCCATACGCATAGTTGCTCTGACGAGCCGTCCTATTTGCTTGCTTTTGTATGGTCTTAAGCTGACCAACTTCGGACCAAATATCACGAGCAGAATCCTATATTAGAAACGTATCGGGATGTGTAAATGAAAAGGAAAAGGAACAAATGAAATGTTATAATATCCAAAATCACAATACCACACTCACCTTGCAAAAATTAACTTCATTGTGCATTTGCCGCTTCACATGATGTACATAATTATAAACCATAGGCAGTGTGGTGCATACAGAAATGACAGCGACGACAGAAAAAGTGACGGCGGAGTAAGTAACAAAGCGATAGGCCCTTATACGATGCTCTAAATTCATGTGCCGTTGGTGTCGGTGCGTTTGAGGCACGCACTCTGAGTGCAGCGCCGCTATGACAGCCTTTTATATGACTATGTTCAGCGTTTTTCTCGCGCTGGCTGTCGTGATCGTCTCACTCGTCTAAAACGCTTCCTCTCTTTGCTCGGCAAAACTTCTTCACCACACACATACCGACTGCGGTTGCTTAGTGCTAAAAGGATTGCTGCCAGTTTGAACTCTACAAAGTTCGCGTTGTGTGAGTGAAAGCGAAGCGCGCACGGGTGTGTTTTCTGCACTTTGCTCCTTTTTGCCTCACAGTCGAGCAAACCATGTCAACGCATCGTTTACCATCTCCCCTTGTCTTCTTCAGCTATTCAAAACATCAGGGCTCCTGCCTTTTAAAAACCGCGCAACCACGCAGAATTCTGAAAACTTACTGCTAAAGGTGACATTTCCCTTAGTGGGCAATTGTTTTACAATTATGACAGGACTAATTTTGCAAATAAGATTTTTTCTCTGACCACAATCAGAAATGTGATTTTGGTTAGGAATCATTAAACTTCGTTACATTACCTTTAGATGAAGTGATTTACACGATCACCCTAAAATTCCTCGAAGGAAGAAGGGCTTGAAAACGACTAGTTTGAGCGCTCAGAAATATGGAGTCTTATTTAAAATTCGTCTGGCTTATGAACTGTTAGAAAGATAATTGCTAAGAAAATCCTTCAGATGTCAATCTCTCAATCCTGAAGCAGTTGAAATCTTTTGTGTTAGTAGCTACAGAAGAAAATGAATTTTCGCATCTATGTTGCCTTTTCAACAGAAATCGACACTCAACGAGAAGATGAACTCATATGTGAATTTCCTGTCTCTTTTCTTCCTTCTTGCACTTTTTCTCAAAAGAACAAATCCAAAACATTGCGCCGATGTAACAACAATAGTGGCTTTGTGGACGTCGAAGTATATGCCCCGCTTGAGCAATTTCATAGCCTCTGCTAGTCATAAGCTATAAACGCAAACCTGTTATAATGCTTTCTAGTATTAGTCTGATAGCACCAGCGTCGAAAAGGTTTCACATAAAATATAACTGGTTTTCTCAAGCATTTAGAGCAGCTTGAAGTATTGCAAAGCGTCAGCATTGTGGGTACAGAACAAATGCAGTTTCTTGACCAAGACCAACTCCTTGTCTTCACTCCACAATTGTCATCATTCGAACACTTTATGAGCTCTTGCATTCAATCTCGAGGTTTTCAATTTTCTCTTGAATAGCGTTTTTGTTCTGATTTGGAGAACTTGGATGATTAAGTGGTCACATTGCAAAATACATTTCATTCTATGAATTTGTGCGCATAATCTGGTTTATCTGTTTAGCAGTTATGTTTCTTACAAGTAAAACAAACTTGGCATTGGCAGTAAAATTGATTGCGATGTTCCAGTACTGTCGCTTTAATCGGCTACGCATCCTCAATAACAAACAGAAGCTGCTTTGAGGAAGGAAAACTGCTGAATCTGTGTAAAAGCCAAAGCAAGCTGGCTAGTCTGTTTCTTGTGTACTTTCCCCAATTAGGCCGTCCTATCACTTATCTAATCTAGAGCAGAACAGGAAGTAAATCTATTGGAAATCTAAGCTTTCTGCTTCGTGCGATAAATCACGCCGTTGTTCGAGTTTGACCTCGCACTGTCGATCTGATTCTTCAATATGTGTTTTTCGGTAACCTGCGATGGTGCAAAAATCCTCAGAATCTTTTGTGCTGTGACTGTGGGTAATTTAAGAAAGTCCGAAGTTGAAAATCTGTAAGTGATAGTCGGAAAGTTTGAGTTAAACGCTATTCTCATTCTGACTCGTATCTTCTTCAGAATGCAAATTTAATTTGCACATTCAAATTTCAAAGTTTGACATATCTCGTTCTATTCTACATTGAACTATATCCAAAACTTCTATTACATATGAATTTTGCGACTATTCGAAGGAAGAGGGAGATGCACTGAAAACGGCAGCATACAAACAAGCTGTGCAATTTGAATAAGCTAGCACATTTTTTCTCAAAGCTGGAACTATATATCTCATGCAAGATCTAGTCGGCATCTAATCAATAGTACTCATTTATTTATTTGTGATCCACTTTGCATTTCTTTTTCGTCTTAATTTCACTTCACTGTTGTTTCCTTTGTACCGATTGCACATAAATAAAAAATATCAGATTTCTTTTTCTTACTAAGAATGCACAGCAGAAACAAGCGCTACCTACAGTGAATTATATAATTGTGCTATTGAAAAGAGTAAGCATTCAAACCAGTTTGCGTTAAGCTCATGCTTATGATGACTTCGCTCTTGCTATTCTTGTTCTTGCCTTGCCCTTACACAAAAGAAAGTTAAGTGTTCTCGAAAGATTCGTGTGTGCTGCAATTTGAAATCATACTACTCCTTGTATGAAAGCAGGGTATAGCAATAGAAAAGCAGGTTATAGCAATAGAAGGCAAAAGAGACCTACAATTTTATCGCCACTGACACATTCAGAGCAAACGAGCTCTCATTTTCTTGAAATTTCGGAATGAAATAATGTACCTAATCCTAAAGCTTATATACAATTGCATATTCATAATCTTACTCTCATCATTTGAACAAGTCTTTGTTTTTGGACTTGATGGTACTATAGAAATTGGGTCTTTGATAAAATAATGTCGCATTTTCAGTCTTAAACTGAAATTTGTGTTTGAGAATTACTGATGTATGTCAAATTTATTTGTAATATAGCTCCGCGATAAAAAGTGCTCAGACTGATTCAGAAAAGAGATGAAAACAATCTAATTTGAAAATCTCGAAAAAGAAGTCCGTAGAGTTTCAAGAGCTTTGACTGACTTCTTCGGAAATGAATTAGCAAGTAAAGTTCGTTGCTCTCAATGGTTTCCAATCTGAAACAGTCTGGCCACAAAAAAAAACTGCTAAAGAGGCCATAAGTGCTCGAATCATCGGTCACTCAAGCGATCATGACCTACATCTTCTAATGGAATTAAGCTCATCATAGAAACACGAGATGATATTGCAGAGAAAGTATGTGACAGGCACTGACTGCTTCTTTGCCGTTTTTTGTTCGTTCAAACGAAGTCCGTAAATGGCAATTGCTTTCATCACTCTCAAATTCCAAACTTCGCGTCAAGGTGAATTGCAAGGAGTAGTGCAGTGACGTTGGTCATGCTAAAGGTTAAGCAGTCATTTTCAACAGCGGCATCCGCTCTACGTAACCAGTTTTCAATTGCTACAAATGAGATAATTTCAGCAAGTGCAGTATTCTTCTCAACTCTACAATTTGCTTCCTTTGTATGGAAACAGGGCGGCTTGAACGCACGGAAGAACTCAACGGCGCCTCTCATTTTGAATAGGCAGCATTCAAACTTTTATTTTGGGTACTTCATGACACTAACAATAAGTTTGGTAAAAGTCAGTATAGTCAGTGCTTGTGGAACCTGACAATGCGATTCTTATTTGCGCGCCTTCCCATATAAATTTCCTCTTCCTCTTTAGAGCAGTTTAAGTAACTTGAACGCACTCCGTCGCTCGAGTCAAATCCACTTTTTATGGAACATTTAGGTATTTACAGAATGCGGGCTTAAAAAAACATTTATTGACTTTTCTGAAAACAGTCTTCAAAAATTTTGTTTGTACCTCACTGTGTCAGAAAGAGCTGAAAATTTGAGAATTGACATTTTTGGAGTGTTTCACTACATTTTGCAAGATTTCACAGAATAATGGTCGATGAAACGTAGCTAACTGGGAAAAAACTAGCTACTCTCTTTTCACTGATGACTTTCAGTATAACTTGTATTAAACGAGATATTATTGAAGTAGACTCTCTTTATTTAGAGGTCAAGTTCCTCATGAACAATAGTAACACGGCCATTTCATTCGTTTTCCAACTCTCTTGTTTTGGAATTGCTTTTGATGCACAACTCTTGCTATAATAATCAGGAAAAAAGTGTCGAAAAACTAGCTCTTTCAGATCATCGGCTGCGTTTACGACTCAATCGGCTAGGCCTTCCTCTTCAGACTCCAGAGATATGAACAATAAAAATTATGACAGCCCTTGTTCAGCTCAAAGTGAATGCCGCGTTTGAATGTGCGAATAAATGATCCAATTTCGATTAGCGTCACGATGAGAAGCACACACCATCGAACAGTAATGCACAAGCAGGCAAGCGCTTTTGTGATTCTAATCAGCGTTGAGGCTGCTGAAAAAGTTTTATCAGGATTTTTTTCTAATATATACAAGTTTCCATGAGCGCTTTCGATGCATCAACGTAAATTTATTAAGTTGGTTAAAAAACGAGTTCGTTTTGGCATATAAATCATCATAAAAAATTCTCTTCTTGTTTTCAATCTATGATTTTTTGTGGGGAAGTAGATCGAAGCTTTCTCTATCACATATCAAATTTTTCAGGGTTTTCTATAGTCAGTAAAGACAGTTATGCCTCAATATGGCGAAATTTCCAAAAGCTCAAATCTTTGATTTCCTGAACTTCGTTTTCATGCTGTAATGGATGTAAAGAACAGCACTTTGGCATTTGGATACAGAGGAGTTTTCCCTATTCAGTGAACAAAAAAAGAACTGTGATCTGCCACTTTGAAAATGTCTCACTAAGAAAACCAAATTTCCTCATACTTGCGCATTATGAGAAAATAACACTTTCTCACATCTTTGCGGATTTTTTTCCTTGGAAGATTAGTTTTACTCAAACAAAATATATGCTCCAATATTCAGTGAAGTGCTCTTTTCAGCGATACCAAACATTGGACAAAAATTTGTCTACAGCATTTGTGAAAGTTGAAAAAGCGACCGAACTTATTTATTAGCCAACCAATAATATTCTTTTCGAAAACTCATCTTGTATCGTACTTTTTTCTCATTTAGGTGAATTTCAACGCAAATCTCATGCATCAAGGTTGATTTCTGTGTGCATTTGGAGCGGAATGGCTGCTTATCGAGTGAAATCAGTCTATCGAATTTTGTGAACATCGAGCTGCGTGGTACAGAAGAAGAGTAAATGGCCATAAGGATCACGCAAAAATTATCTGCTGCATGATTTGCGCAAATTTTTGAGCTGGAACCCCGGAAAGAGGATTATTGACCGTGCTGTTTACGAAGTTAATAATTTCTCTTAGATTTATCTATTGCAAGGATCAATATATCGTGCAGGTTTAATTATAGCTAACGATTGCATTCAATAAAGGCAGTGTCCGGGCAAAAAGTCGATTTTGAGATTTTGTGCTTACCCGGACCTGTTCACTATGCTGAATCCGAAAATCCACATTGGAAAGCACGAAAACGGCAAAAAAGGTCTTTAACGCAGGAGGGAAATCGGAAGTGGGCGGGGTCCTCCCCAATGTGAATTTCGCAGTCCCAGCTTCTGAATCAAACTTCCCAATTCCTCTAGCGCCCTGAGATCTCCACCGGCCAGGTTGGAATGCATGGCTTGAAGTCGGAACCGAAAAGATCGCTCTGGAAGCTGGGAGCGTGAATTCACATTGGGGAGGACCCCGCCCACCTGCTGATTTCCCTCCCGTGTTAGAGCCGTTTTTCGTCGTTTTCGCGCTCTCCAATGCGTATTTTCGGATGCAGCGTAGCGAATAGGCCGGGGTAAGCAAAAAATCGCAAGATCGAGTTTTTGCCCGGACACTGCCTTCAAATTTATTGGTCTTTGTACATGAAAGATGAGAGTTGGTGCATGGAAGTGGTGATGCTGACTTTTCTTTGCGGCTTCATATTTTTGATTGAGAAATTGGTGGCACAAAAAAAAAAAGAAATGTCTTCTAGTGGGGGAAAGCTCACAAAAAACTATTTACGGTGCCAAGTTCAGCAACAGACGGAGGAGAGGAAAACTTCTATACGGTTTATTGCTTAATTTGCCCCTTTTCAATGAAACATATGAACTCAGATCTGGTGCAAAATGTGGAATAATTCTATCAAATAAAATCTTGTTTCGCCTCTACCCCTAGACAGGAAACTGCATAAGACCCACTCCCGAGGCTCATCGGTAGGGAAAAATGGACTGCCGTGACGAGGTCACCCTTTATACCTGTGGGGTAGCTCAAATAGATCAAAGGCCAGTCCAAGGATTCAGGTCATGCTAATTACGGTGTTGTAAAATTGGGCAACTTGTCCATAACTGCATTCTGCAGCCGGCCTAAGTTCTGTTGGACTTGCACGACAAAATACTAAATCTAAAAGCAGCGAAAGACAGTGTTGAAACAATTTTGCCGTAATTTTGAGTTCGAATTTTTTGCAGGAATACAAGAATTTGTTGTAGTGTGGATAAAAAAAAGGCACGTCGGAGTAGTAGAAAAGACATCTTACAATGTACTTGCCAAATAAGATGTGACCTGAAATTTTACTTTATCTGCAGAGCTATGACTATCACATTTCAAGTTTGAATCAAACGCCCGAGAAAATCTTATACATAAAGTTGAATGTCTGTTTGTTTGTCTGTCTGTCTGTACATATGTTTCGAATAGAAAATTCCATTTCTGAACCGATCCGGACTGGCACATACACTTCGGGGCAGGGCGGGTGTCTTTTCGTTATCGATCGATATCGATTTTATCGACTTTTTGCGAAGTTAGAGCTACGGGGCTGGGAGTTGGCACAGGGGGGCAATCGAGCATGCTGATTACGGATACAATTTTAGTTCTTGAATTAATCATTCTTTTATCGATTTCATCGATTTTCTTGCAAAGTTTGAGCTACGTGGCTGTGGGTTGGCACACGAGGGTAATCGAGCATGCTGATTACTAAAACAGCGGGAATGGTGAATTGGCATGTAGACGTGGGCACAGTGAAAGGGTACAGGGATAGGAATGAGAGCTTTATGTGTTTTGGGAGGGTTGGGCGCAGTCGGGTAAGAAAGCTAGTTCTTAATAAAGAAGACAATTGTAAATTTCGTGCTCTTCTTTTCACTAAATACGTCGATTTTCACTCATACAAAATAGATGAATGTCATGAACGTCGTCAGTACAACAGACATCTCAGGAAAAATTACGTCAATTAAAGTCAGTAGTTTTTGAAATTTGCGCATTTTTTGGACATTATAATGTGCCACGTCGCCATCTCTTTCCAATTTTCTGATTCGCACCATAGTATCACGGAACTGTTGCTCAAAAGCCATTGGAAGTAGGTGGTGAGCATCTGTTAAGGAAAAGAGAAAAGAAGAGTTTTGAGGTGTTGATCACTATCCCATTTCGAACTGGTGTGACCAAATTCGTGTCGTGAACTGCGAAAGGGAAGAGATTATTATGACAGTAAGACTTCGAGACGTTCCTTATGTTTTGATATATGAGTGTGATGATTATGATTCATAAAACTTGGGAGCGTGTAAAATGAGTTCCTTTTTAGTGCTATCGTGTAACTGCAACACCAATAAATCTGCGATGGAAATAGTTGACTTTGGACAAGCAGAAAGAAAACATCAAAAAGTACAAAATAGGCGTAAATAAACGTGGCCTTGGCCGCTGATAATCTGCTCTACCTGATGGCAGCAAGGATGCCGGCAGGTTTGCGCATCTCCCGCAAAATTGCCAAATGGCGTAAGCTCTCAAATTGGTCACAGGCAGACCGCCACCAAAATAGCAGCATCACACGCGGTCAAAACAGCATGACTTAACATAACAAGCGGACGAGCTCTTCAACAACAACGTCTGCACCTTTCCTTCCCGAAGAACCTTAGTGAAGGCATGAGCAAAAGAAGCTTTTAAGATGGCATGATCAATGATGTGTGTTATAAACTTCAGACCCTATGAACAGCTGACTGACACCAACAAAGAACTCGCAGAATAGTAGATATGAGGAGTGGCAGAAAGAAGACAATGCTCAGTAGTGTTTAGCAATGGACCTGACTCTTGAATATCGTCGATTTGACTTTGGAGAAACAAATGTGACAAAAACGCTTGAAAGAAAAGATTTTGGAAGATGATGGCTGAGACGTTATGTGGGATAATGCCGCGTTACTCAAATTCACAAATTCCTTCAGCATCTCTACGTGGTAGGGGTATGCTCTGCCGGCAGCTGTCACCGTACAATCCGACCATATGGCTGCAGATTATGCTGCAAGGTGCCAGCAGTACCTTCTGTCCTCTTTTCTATTCTATTAGGCCATTCGGAAAGTTTTTTTTGCTTTCTGCGCTTTTATGTTGGTGCCATGTTTTAAAAGAGTGCCAGGGGACTGATAGAGGTTGCTACATATGACTATGTAGAGGAGGTCTTTTAGTTTCTGAGGTCTCACCGTGCAAAAAAAGCTTCGAAGGGAAGTTTAGGAAAATTTACGTGGCTATAAATTCGACATATGAAAACGCGATTTTCGAATAATTGCATTCTCTAAGCTCAGTCTTGAGTGTAAGGCAGTCAGGGAGCCATTATTGTGCACAATGCATTTGTCCAGGCCACGTCTTTCTTAACCTTGGTCAAAGTCTGCTTCAACAAGTCCAGATTTAGAGAAGTGAAAGCTAATATTTTGCAGTGTTTTAGAAGGTGTTCCTGCCATATAAACGAACATCTCAAAGGGTCCTTTAAAGCAAATCGCAAATATTGCTGCATAAAATTATGAGCAGGCCTTGAAGTGTCATTATAGCTCCATCAAAAGCCAACATCGCTAAAGCTGCAATACCGAAAAGTATCAGTTGCACCTCAAAAATTGACACACTCGCAGATTGAGGGCGCGTTGACTCTACTTTCGTTCTTCATTATTTGACGGAGAAATGCTTTTTTGGCCTGGGTTGATAATCAAGGCAAAAAATTGGCCAAGCACGGCTAAAAGAAGCAACAATGTGGTAAATTATTTGGAACAAGCATTGCAAGCATGGCCATGAATAGTCAGTCATTCCAAAAGGTTGATGTACTCAAATCAATGTAATCGTGCTGGTCTTGCACGCTATTAACTTGGTAAGATGTGATTGTAATGTAAGAGCAGAATCGTATGATTTCGCTCTAAAGACTGTTTGTCAAAATTTTAAAACTAAGCAGACTTGCACGTATAATCTATGAGAGGTGCCATCCTCGCCCAAGGCGCCGTCAAACCACATGTAAGAAAAGGGGCTCTCACAAAAGGGGATGACTGCGCACCGAGGTTCCTGTTTGTTTTTCGAACCCTCTGAACCTTCCTTTACCAGTCACTAAATTCTCCAATCCCTCGGTGCCTAATAAAAAATATCAGGGAAAAATTAGCTTGTCACGCCTTTCTAAGCCTTAGATTCCTCTAAGAGGATTTTGCAAGAAAAAAACACAGGAGCACCAAAAGAATGTTACCAGAAATTTGCTGAACACAACGAAATTTATTTGGTGGAAAAGGTTGAATCTGGAAAAAGTTGTGCTCGTTTGGATTCAAAGGTAAGCGAAAAACTTTCCGAATGACCTAGTAGCTTGGTGAGCCTGCCGAAATCTATCTGCAATGCAAATTTCGCAAGGGTCACAATGGCCTCTCCAGACGCTTACTGATCATATCACCCCTCGCAGTGTGATTCATTGGTGGCTTTACAGCATTTCGTCTTGTTAAATTCTAGGTACCACGTTCTTATAGACGTTTAGCCATCTAACGAAGAAGCACATAGAAGTGGCACCTGTGTTATAGTCATGTTGGGAATTATTCAAATCAATCTATAGAAGGTAAAGTTCCTGCTTAGCTTGTGTGTAAGAAGAACTGATAGACCTAATTATGGGGAAGATTGGAGTGTTCAGTACGGTAGACTTTATCACTTTGGTCGACCTAGTCACACGAAGCCTAGTCATGTCATCTATTCTGCAAAAGTATCGGCCAGTGGAAAATCATGGTCACATTCGAATACTTGCAGAAGACGTCTCAGAATTTAAAAACCCCACAGCCTACCAATGCCTGGTATGCTTAACAGCTAATGGGGACAGTTGAAGATTACGTTTATATCGGAAATACACTATAAACTATAAACACTATGCACTATAAATTTTAGTCAGTCCGAGCTTTATAGTTTATGGCGCATCGTTTTTTTCTGTCTTTTGTTTTGAGATTTCTGGAAGAATTTAGCACACCACGAGGACTTTTCGCGCCGATCGCTACTTTTACGATATCTATTTGTATTGTTGTAGGTCGATTTCGCTCGCAACGAAAGTTAGTTAAAGAGGCTTCAAATGAAATTTGCACCATTTCAGAGAGCATCAAAAGCTGAATTCAAACTGTTTTCGTTACCTGGTGAGCCTCTGAATCGAGTTGTAAATGTTTCAACGCAAATGAAAATTTTAGCCTTTGCCTCAAATACAGCTGCGTTGGATTTACGTAGCCTATTTTCGCGTGTAAAAGCTGCAGTTTCGGATTTTTGTACGAACGGCTCAGCCGCTTCACTATGTTTCAAAAAGCGATCCTTATGCCACATGAATCTCTCAGGCAATACGCAGCACGGTAAAGGGCCCTTCGTTGCAAAATTCTTTGCCGTATTTGGTCTGGTCGATTTCAGAAAAAAATCCTTGCGACGCTGAAAAGAGGGTATGCTATATTACCGTGAATGAGTTACTGCATAAGTTATCCTGATATGCAACACTGCCATTGAAGCTATCTACGATTTTGTTCCACAACTCAAGAAATGCTCGTGTTCAGTGTCCAGAGGCGTTCGGCTGTTAGTAAAAATAGTTTCCGAAATCAGCGTACAAGGCCCTTCTAAAAGGCCATTTCCATAGTAGAAACGTCTTTTGCTGCAAAAATGTCACAAAGAATCATTCAGCTTACAGTTTGTAACAGTTTTCGTCACAACATGTTCACTTCAGAGAAAGCGATCCGTCTTTGTTGCAAGGCTGCATGTCAGCTGAGCTGTTTTCTTCTAAGTTTCACTAATACGTTTTAACTCTTCCAGTTTTACTTCTTGAATGAACTCTCGGCAGCACAGCTCATGTTTCTGCCTTGGAATGTCGCCTCATAAATGGGAGTTAATACTTCATCCTTGCTAAAACATTCTGGTCAACAAGTCTGCAAAGTGTGACTCGAATTGGAATAAAATGGCATGATTTTCTCATAGAGCGCTTCTAATGGTATTACTACCAGTGGAGAACATGTAATGGATTCATAGTTACTTCAAAGATAGTTATTATTGATCATAAATACGTTGATCGTACTGAACATCTTCAGTCAAGCTATGAAACCCACAAATCCCTCTTTGCACTAATGAAGTTTCGGTTTTTGCTTGCAAAGAGTGGAGCTGCTGTCTCCATCATCTTCACTTTCCAGCTGACAATTTGTTGCTACTTTTTTATGTTGAAGTTACGCTAGTTACGCACTCGATGTTTCAGACAAACCGCCAGAACTACACTAATTGCAACCAAACAATGGTTTGGTTCAGTTTATTCTCACATGACTCTAAATCTCCTTTTTTTACATTTGCAGTGCCAATTTTTTTGAATTTTTTAAGACTTCTACAATATATAAAGGCGGCTATTCAGCTTTCCAGCATGATGCTATGGTCTCTTTGCATTGTTCTGATGGGTACACCTGTATTCACAAATCGAGCCACCAAAACTGTGAGCGAATATCGTGCCTCTAAAACTGTGGGTGAGTAAGCTTGAATTCATTGTCTCCGGCTATTTTTGTTCGGTTTGCCGACCAGCAATAGTTTTTACTCAAACTATAGTTTTTTACAACTCGAGTAAGTATTCTTGTAATCACTAGGAATTCAGGATTCTATGCGTGAGACCTTTTAAGAGAAAAGAGAGATTGCTTGCGTCTCGTATGTACATCACCACCATTAAAAAAATCTGGAACACCAGAACTTTACTGTTAAAACTGAGGGCTTCCATAAGGAATGACAGGAAAGAACGTTCTAGGAAACTTCTTAGAATGAATAATATAATCTCATAACATTCAATCTCATCGGTGAGTATGCGAAAGCAAGGTTGAGGCCACAGCTCAGATTTAGAGCGTTCAATGGTTTTTTCAAATGTTATTTCTTTATCTCACTAGTCAGAAGAAAATCGAAAATAAGGCAAAAGCCTTTAACATAGACTGCTGTTCACCATTTCTTTGTAATTTTGTCTTCACTCAAGATTCCGGATGGAAAAGCACCGTTGGTTCCATAGCATGTTAAGTTCTTCCTTAATCGTGTGTCCGTCACGGCGACACTCGTGCAAAGTGCTTGTTTTTTCCAGCTCAGTGGATCCACTACTCACATTATTTTAAGTGATATATTGCTGCTGTTGCTATGAATGAGTAAGACGAAAGCCTGCTGCATTGAAGTAATGAAGATCTAAAATACCTCACGCGTGTGCGAAAAACTATTAGATTGGCACATAAGTAATGCAACATTTTATACAACTTTTGTCTTTCTGAACGTAGCGCATTCATTTTTTGGCAACCTAAGCATTATGATGTAAACTTCAAATGCATGCATACATCCCTCAGTTCCCATCCCTCAGTTTACGCCCAATACGACCCCCCAGACCGGGAGCGTTTGGCTTTAAGCTCAACCCTGGTCTTAGCGACAAATGAATATGATATTCCTGCTCACCATTCAGGTTTACCCTATTGTGCAAAGTTTTAGCGAATTTTGACTTTTCACAGCTTGGTTATTGACAGATGGCCCTCCAAATTTGACGCATTTGACCTTTATATTTCACTTCTTTTTTACTGATTTTAATGCGTCAACTTCTAGCTATATGTTGCCTATCATTGCTATCTAATAAGTTTCATTCACGTTGTTACGGCTTCATGTAATGCCGAAAAACTGTAAAACCTCGATTTTCAGCAGTTTCGGAAAAATGCTTGAATTTTCCTACTACGTTATCAAAAATTGAATGGTTTGCACAGACTTGCAGCTTACATCACAGTCTACACGATGCTGTAGAATAAGATCCGGAGCGAGAGGAATTTTTTTGGGTGCTTCTCAAAGTTTTTGCGGGCCCATAATTCCTAAAATCTAGAAAATGGGGCGTTAAGGCAGCCATGCCTCCAAAAAACTTTTTTACAAGGCGAATTTCTAATGAATTCAAAAATATTCTGATTATCTACAAGGGTGAACAAGTTACTTGCACATTTTTATGACCCATGTAAGTGAAGTTGATGGCGGCCCATTTTCGGTGGAGGGGGCGTCCACCTCGATCCTCCACGGGTTTGTGTTATCCTCCACAGGTTTCTATTAAGTTGCTGCAAAAGTGATGAGCGTTCTTCATGCGACAGTTACCGACTTATACAAAAATGGAAATATACTATTCGATAAAGCAAAACAAACTCCACAAGACATTTACCGGAGTCATCCCTAGGCCTGATCTGCTTTATACTGGAAGCCAAAGAAAGTGTTCAGTTACACTAAAAATCGGTCCCATAAACTTTGCAAGCCTCCCACTTGTTCGTCATATGGTAGACACCTTATTGTTCCCTATCCGCATTTGGACTATTCGACTATTCGAACAGTCGAATATTCGAACAGGTCCAATTATTCAATTATAGTAGGCCGTTAACTAAGTTTTGCAACTGAGTTTATTACTTTTTGCTTTTTGATATTGGCGCGCTCGAATTTTAATATTGTACAGACTGCCGTGTGAGCTATAAACTGGCACAAACCGCTCGCTTACTGATGACAAAATAGAAAAAATCCGAGAGTTTTTTGAAAACTGGTGAAATTTGAGGATTCATAGGGTTTGAGTGAAAATTAAAACGTTTTTCATTTCACTTCATTTCATTTGTACGCTCAAGGCGTTCCATAAAAAACACATCAAGAAGTTAGTAAGACAGCGGAAACGAACAAGACATGTAAACAAATGCAGACATGATCATGTCAGTCCGAGTCTGATCCTAATCAGACTAATGTGAGAAGATAAAACAGCTTGCACTGAATATGTTGGTAGGCAAATAGATAAGTATGCAGATGTAGGCATGAGATTTATAACTCCAAAACTTTGAATCCATGGAGATGGGACGCATGCCCCCTCGTTGCCAGCGGAACGATCTTTAGTTACTCTTAAAAGCAATCCGGCGGCTTATAAGGCAGGTCTACTGGCTCAGGTATAATAACCATAACCCAACCTAGCCGGTTTTTAACCAAGATCATGCACAACAATTCGAAAGTGTGCATAAATTGCTGCAAGAGGTCGACTTATAGCGCGATAAGGAAGAAGGACTAGAAACAGCTCAAATTTGGCGCCTTCACAAAAGCTCCGAACGAGCCGCTGTGCACAAAGCTGCTTGGGGACAAGCGTCAGTCGCTAAGGAGTCGAAGTCTTAGAATTCGCCAAGACTTTGCATGGTAGGGTTATCTGCCCTGCCTAATGCGAACATCGTATTTATTCATGAATCAACACCTCTTTTCTTTGGGGTGAGACCCCGTACCGTAAACCTACTGTAACGTTACAAAAAAGCTTCTATCGTGCGAAATCAATATCGTTTTCGTGATCAGCATGTCGGATAGCCCACCTACACAAAGTTTCAGCCGAATTTGTAATAATCACATAATTTTTCCCTTATATATCTACCGTAAGCCTTATTGCGAAGTCCGAATTTTGCAGAACTGGCTGCGCTTGTGTTTTACATCACGGTCTACATGATGGGAAAATTTGTGTGCATCATATGCAAAAAGAGAGAAGTTATAAAAGTAGTTGCAAAACTTAGTTAACAACCTAATAAATTATCAAAATTTTGAGATGTCCCATTATTCCAATATTCGACTTCGAATAATTTGGAAACCGCAAATCGAATAACATTCGTTCGTTCGACTACTCTTCAAAGTCATTATTTGAGGGCATCGGAACGAAGCACGAATTTCTTAAATTAAGCTTCTGCAAGTTTGGGATCTACATTCGCCAGATAATCCTTTCCGCAACAGCAATGAACTTATTGTTCTTTTTTTGGGGTATTATTGCCAAGTTATAGTTCGCTTAAGCTGATTAGCATATCTGACAGCTGAGCGATGCGTACCAAGAACATATCTTGCGCCATTTCTTTCCGTTGCACTGATTCAGGTCTTCATAAAAAGAAAAAGAATTGGCAAAACTCTCTAAACAACCTTATACTTGACACATGTTTCAAAAAAAAAGGGCGCGAAAAGTTCTAGAATTATAGAAACAACTGAGAATCTAAACACTCGCAATATCCCTAGCATACCTACTTACCCCTATGTGATTATGACATGACAAAATACCAAAAAACTAGAATATTGTAAAAAAAGATGTATATTTGCCATTATTCACTCCATAATTAACATGTTTATAATGTCGAGCTTTTTTAATGATCAAAAAGAATTAGTGGAGCTTTCTAATGAATTTCAAGGTAGAAAACGCTCTGGAACAGGCTCACCCTCATTCCTCAGTGTGCCTGACAAGGAATGCTCAGCCTTCTCAAAATATAGTTCGACTTAGAAATTGGTTGGAATGACAAAATTCTGAGAACACTAGACTTGTAACGACATAAACGGTTTAGGACTTCACCAAGCATGGATATTCAGCAGTTAGAGTGAGAAGTACGAGTCAAATTATTTGAGGCTTACAAAGCCTTACAGTTACGTTACATATTATTACATTCAGATAACACCATCAACAACACGACTAAAGAAGAATGGCAGTACTTCAGGCAGGTAAAAATTGCTTCGTTTTCATAATTCACCGATAAATGGCTATTTGGGGAGCTATAGTATTTCTTATAGCAGTGCGAAGGTAAATACAGTTTAATAGTTCAGCCGCTTGATATAGTGTACTCTCTGCGCTGAATTAAGAGCTACCTGTGATGTTGGATTGAAACTCGTTCGCTCAGTCTTTGCACTGCAAGCACATTGAAAAGAGATTTACTAATTGAAAGGCATTAGGGGAGAAACTCTTTTGTCGAAAATTGTACAAGATTCTTAGCCAGTTGCAACATCTATGCAAAATTTGTGTGCGTATTGGCCTGGATTCAGCTTGAAAGTGAAACATAAAAATATGCTGTCCGCGCTCGTGCGAGGGCTTTTCGAGCAATCCTAGGCAGGAGAAAGACCGCTGGAAGTTTTGCATATTTCGATAAGCAATTTTAGTCGATATTGTATAGTACGGACTATTCCAACCAGGTACCACTCAAGAACTTCAAACACCTTAAAAGCAGCATTCCGGCAAAATTTCGTTCCAAAGACTTACCACTGACCTGGAGTCATCAGCGCTGCTAATTTCAATAGCATGGAGGGCAGAAATGCCAAAAAGGGTACATGGAGTAATTCTTGATTTCGTCGTGAGGGCGCAAAAACTATTAAGATCAAGACGTCATAGACCCTTTTATAGCTGTATGCAATATGCACGCTCTAGCTTACTTGCAATTTGAAGTCGTTGTGGGGGGTATTGCAGAGTGGGCTCGTGGCCGCTTTCGGAGCTCACTCTAGGTTCAGTAGAACCCTTTTGCTTTCAGTTTTCGCTAAGGTAAAGAGACTACAATCACGTGTTACAAAAGCCGCACTCCACACTTTGCCGGAACACTGCCTTTGAACGCGTGCAACCGCTTCCGCCCAGGCAACTTTACACGTATTATATTTACAGTTAATGGCCATCATTCGCAGCAACACGCTGACTAAGCAACAAAGGCTTGAGAAAATCAGGCAATTCTCTGGTAATCAAACAGCTGCGGATTGGGTAAGAGGACTTATCCTATGCATTTTGAGGCTGAATCTTTATTTTTGCCAGGAAAACGATAAGAGAGAACTGTCCAAGACAATTGACCTCTTTGATTGGCTTTCCGCGGAAAAAAAGAGGACTCCTCCCAGGGTAAGCTGAGATGTGACGTTCAAAATGAATGGCACGGATCAAGTAATGAATTCTTCAGATAAATGAGATTTTCGAGAAGATTGCAAAAATGATGTTTGAAACAGAGTTCCACAGCAAATCAGCGTCCGAGCAGTCAAGAGAGCTTAGAGCTGTAAGTTACTTCGATATCAAGGCCCTGCAGGGTCGACTCTATATCGAGGCGTATGAGGGACTGCAACAATGTTTGAGATATTGAGATGTCCATAATGTTTCACCGTTTTTACTTCAACCGTCGTCTTTTTGTATCTTTCCTTTGATTGATGTGGCTTGAGTAGTCACCCGTTCATGGCATATACTTGGCACATCGAACATCTAATTGTACACTTCTCGTACTTTTTCCATGGCTAAAAATACAGAACAAAATGAATGGAGTAAAGTGGCAAACGCCTTCAGACGCCTTGAGCTCCTTCCACGTACGTAAGTATTTGTACCCCTTTGTAGGTGCCCAGATCTCGAAAAAAACTGATGTTTAGAGTAAAAACGGTAAAAAATTATGGGACACCCTAACTTTATGAAAATTTATTTGGATAAAAGGATAGGCGTGCAAGTGGTACCCGGGCAGCCGACTGCTGTCGCATCCAGCCTCCAGAGCTGCCGGCAGCAGTCGGCTGAGATGGTACAGTAAGTACGCTTGTCGTCTAAAACTCTTGCCGAGAGGTTTCGCACCTCGTCGCTTTGAGGTGCGAAATCAGCCTCGGGAAAGCTTGATATCCTCGATATCTTTACATTTTGACAAAAAATTCATGTTTTTTGAAATCAAGCAAATAAACAAAGATGACCAGAGAAATGTTTTTCTAGAGGAAAATGATCACAAAATCAAATCACTTCAAAAACTCAAAGAAAGCAGAAGTTGAAAAATTAGAATTCTTAAATTTTTAGAGATTTTTTTCTCTCCTTTACGTCGAAAAATGGGCGAGAAAACAGGGAAATGTCATGGATATGACGGTACGAAAACTGTGTCAAAATGATCATTTCAGAGTAAGAGTTTACAGAGTAATGTTAAGCGAGCTAAATAAGGCGAAGTAGGTCAATCAAATTGAGAGGGTCAATGATAGCGTAATATCCTCAATATCTATATTATTTTGAACAGCAGAGAAAAGCCATAAATCATTGAGAATCATACAGTCGAATACAAAACTACACCGAAAAATTTCCAAAAATTCACAGACAATTACAAAAATGAATGAATAGGATATCAAAAAGTTTCTGTTACAATTATAAAATCGAAGTACAATAAATATCTATTGAGCACTTCAGAATTCGAAATGCGGTCTTGTTAAATGACTAAACAAAGGTAGTTCTTTCAATTTTGCGCTTTTATAATTCGCAATGAGTTGTGAATTTCGTATTTTTTTATTATTATTTTTTTATTTTCTCGAAATACCTGGAGAAGTGAACTGTGTAGATAAAAGAAAGTACATACTTCTTGGTGATGTTTCCTTTTAAATTATTGACTTACTCAGATTGACCTACTTTGCCTTTAGCTCGCTCAACACTCTTGTGAAATAATCATTTTGACACAGTTTTCTTACCTTTACACCCATGACATTTTCCTGTAACTGTTCTCGTTCGTTCTTCGACGTAAAAGCGAGAAAAAAAACTTCAACTTTTCTGCTTTTTCAAATACATAATTTAGATATTGAGAATATCACGCTTTCCTGAGGCTGATTTTGCACCTCAAGGCGACGAGGTGCGAGAAAACCTCTCGGCAATAGTTTTATACGACGAGCTTAATTACTGTGCCATCTGCATCGGCTTTGCCGGCAGCTCTGGCGGCTGGCTGCGGCAGCAGTCGGCTGCCTGGGTCCACTTGCTACGCACCCGGATAAAAGCCATGAAAATTCTTCTTACTAACCAATGCATAAATCGTATTTGAACATGTAGTCTGTGTGGCGGCTCGGTGGGCTCTAAGCACCTAGACCTAACCCGAGTAGCCAAGGCTCGCCCGCTTACTACATACGACGCAGCCTACCCTACTACTTGCCCTACGCGCGTCTGAGCAACACATTAAACACTAAGGATTTATCCCTATGACATCAAAGGATAATAAAACCTACGCAAAAACTTACAACTAAACTACGAAGAAAACTACTGAAATCAAAACTAAAATACTAAACAACAATAAGCTCAACACGGGACGAGCTGCCCCATCCTGTGCTACCGATGCGCACGACTATAAACACCAACAAGAAATATGCTTCCGAGGCTTCACCTAAACAGATCCGCCACGCGTCGCCGGATACCAGGCGCGACAGCCTCTCCGCTCCCGAAGTTCGTAATATGTAAATGTCCCAAATCTCCTCCAGAAAAATGGCGCGTCCAAGAAGATTCCCAAATCAAGCTCAAATTACAGATCAGTAGAACTTCCGATCCGCTCGACCGCTTACGCAAAAGAGATATCAAAAGCGGGAGCTAACTGCCAGGCGCGAGCACAATGGAAAACATACGAAAAGATAATCGATCGAAAACGAAAGCGAACAGACGCTGCAATGAGGCGCCGACGCTATATATAGCCTTTTGGCTGGCAACGCGCCAAGGTGAGGAGAGGTCCAGCGGCGATTGCGGCAAGCGTGGGAAAGTACCGTAATCGTCGCCGGATAGCGCGGCAGTAACCAGTGCTCCCGGCCTCCTACTTCTAGGAGCGCTCGCATCGCGGAGCCGCGGCATAGTCGAAATTGGGCCGAAATCGGGATTTTCTCTCCTTTCTTTCAACATAATCCTTGAGTATTTCAAAGGTGTAACAACTTTTCAGTCGCAAAGCAGAGCGCTAAAGGCAAGAGAAGCACCACTGATTAGTGTTTGTATCACAAAATCGTATTAGGTTGCCCCAAAAGTTTTGTCCCTCTCACGAACGACTATGAAGTTTCGTATAATAGAGAAGTAACTGCGTTTAAGGAGCATTCGATGCTGCTTCTTCTTCTCTTTCTAATAAACACATTTTCAAATCATAATCTTTTGAACGCTTCTAAGCAATTATCGAAGTTCTTCAACCATTTCTAACTGCTTGAAGTTTTAGTTGACTTTGAAAATTCTGTGTTAAACTTTTGAAAAAGGGTAGATTTAATATAGAGCAACCTCGGACTATACCTTAGCGTTTCTAGATTCTTTCACTTTGCTTTTCAAAGTTTTACGCAATTCTATGGAGATCTCAACTTTTAGTGGGTCATGAAATACGCAGCAAGATATGAAGGCTTTGTTAGTTGAAAGTTTTGCTATTCAGAGCTTGTTTGACATCAAACTTTATTTCTGCAGACTAATCAAGTCTCTGTTGTGCTCCGAGGAATCAGCTTTTGGAGTTTTTGGTTCGCCTATCGTGTGCTCAAAAAGCTGCGGTTTTTCTCAGATGAACAGTTATTACAGACTTGTGAAACTCGATCCAGGTTATTTTAAAACCAGTGAAGTGTAGCCAGAGGGATTTCCTAACAGTACCAGCGCTTGTTTTCTTTGAAATGACCTTCGGGCTCTGACGAACAAACCGAAATGTTAGCCGAATAATTATAACAATCTTGATGTGGCTGTAGAAGTCGAAAAGAATACGAGAAGACATCATTTGCAGGCATTTGACGCCTCATTTTTCATCCACATCAGGTTGATAAGTACCTCACAAGGATAGAATGATGCTGCAATAATAGCAAAAAGCGATGAAGCCAAGCTTTATATAGGAAACTGTCGCGGAGGAAAGAGCTGAAAGTGTGAAAAGAAAAGTTTACCCGATGACATAGCACTACCCGACTTACAAAGAGTTCAGCTTTTTTGCCATTCACTCAACCGTTGTAGATACTATCTATCTCATTTCATCCTATTACTTCTTGTTTCTTGGCAGCTTGCACGTCACCGCGTCAAGTCTATCGATTATTTGCAGCAAGCGGAAAACCAACTCAGACAGTCGAAGGGACACCTCCGGCGGGCATATGGCGCGAGTCTGCCACTTCGCGCTCCGGAGCCCTGCCATTTCACGCATTTTTGTGCTCCGGGGCTCTACCAAAAGTGGCGCACCTCCGGAGCAGAGATTTGCGCGTCGCGGAGAGGGTCCCATTCATTCACCGTGGCGTCACGGTGACGTCACAAACAGGACGAATGGGACCCCTCTCCGCGACGCGCAAATCTCTGCTCCGGAGGTGCGCCACTTTTGGTAGAGCCCCGGAGCACAAAAATGCGTGAAATGGCAGGGCTCCCGAGCGCGAAGTGGCAATCCTAAGCTGGGGAAAGCCCGCGACCCTGCCACTTCTGCTCCGGAGGTATCTCATCGACTGTCTGAGAAGTTGCGCTGCAAATGTTTCACGTGCGAGGGCGTAAAAGGGAATGGGCATTTTAGTGGTCGAATAACGTCATCAAAGCTGTCCTGCTTCCATGTATGGCATGTATGGAAATCTAATGAATCTAGTTTTGCTTTTCATTTGGTTTTCCGTGGTGTTACTAAATTTCGATGTCAAGCCCCTCTCTCCACAAAAATGCACATGAATGCGATCACTGTCGAAAACATGACGTAAGGACGTATCTTTCACTCCACAAACAATATCATTCAGTTTTGGCTTAGCGCCGAATGAAAATATTGTGGCGATGGTTTAGCTCGTGTTTTTCAGATGTCTAAAGTGGGAGAGGGCCTAAATGCTGCAGAACTGAGGAGCCTGCGCAGCCTGCTAACTAGATTTGAGGTAATGTTTAAGTGCTGAACTCCATTATTCCGATTATCAATATATAAATTCTTACAGAAGAGGATCGACGATTTGGGTATGGACAAGACGTCGCTTCTAAAAACAAGATAGGAATTGTATTAGAGTAAGCGGAGAGCCTGGCGTGCAAACGAACATATACATCTTGACATCATTTTGCATGAATGAATCTTCTTAACACATTTCATAAGTAGTAGGATGTACCTCGTAATCAGCACTGAAGCATGCTCAAATTGAAGAAAGCGTGGATCGATGAGAAGGACTCTAGCGTAGAGCATGAAGCATTAGTCAACATCGTTTTTCAAGTAGAGGTAGCGTTTCGTAGCTGCAACTCAAAATCTGAACGTCGAAGACGTTCAGATTTTGAGTTGATGAAGGTTCCATTCCCGGACCGTTGTTTAGCGAACACTAGTCACTGATTCCGATTAACAAATGAATAATTGTATCAAAAGGTGAAAGCACAGGACGGGTTACATTTTCAACATGCCGCAGCGCATTTCCTACTAGTTCTCCAACATTCTAAATTTTTCGCTACTATGCTTCAATCTCATCTTATATTTCTAAAGCAATCATTTCCATTACACCTTTTTAAGATATAATTTTTTGTTGTACTAGTCATAGTAAAACAAAATTTTTTTAATATTGGACTGATGTGAGAAAATTGGTAGTAAGTGGATAGCTTTGATATCGAAATGCAAAAAATTCTACTCCTCAATACCAAGGTGGGTACTAAAATTTGTAAGCGGACAAGTCAAAGACACCCCCGATCTTCTGACTCATAAACGTTGTGTCCAGGTTGGTAGTGACAACCCCGCATGATGGCAGTGGACTATCGAAACGATTGGCACAAAGTCACTACGCGCTAGCTCACCGATAAACAATCAATTACATAATTTACAAATTTTTGAAACCATGTGAAGAACTTTTCAGCTTGTAATCTAGTTCGTAAAGAATTTCAGAAAAACGAGGCACGTTCGTTTGACTAAAAAAGTTCTCTTTCCGCCTAATAATTTCTGAGATTGCTGTTCTCGATACCTATAACCACACCCAACAAATCTCTGCTTCTTGAAGTTCGGCGTTTTCACGTTTTGACGTTCCTCATTGGCTTAGAAGTGGCCCAAAGCATTGTCTGCAGTAGCACACCATAGACTGCTATGGTTGCCATAACTTACCTTGCTACATTTGTTACAATCAAATTTCGTGTCTTTTGTGCAAGAACAAGTCATGTTGACGAAGATGAGCTAAGCGAAAGTTTCGAGCGTCTCCTGATCGAAAGCGATGATGAGGTGCTGATAACACCGGGGACAAAACCACTCGGGGATACAAGATTGAAGAAAAGAATATAAAGAAGGAACAAAACGATGAAACTGATACTGACACATCCTGGTCAGATATCACCATTGCACATGATTCTTCTGAATTCGATGACGATCGCGTTTTGATCATGCCATTTTACATTACCTGTATAACTTTTGATTATTTCAACCTCTTCATCCTCACGAATGTCACTGACCTCAATCGTTTTACGTCAATTAGCTAAGGACGACAAGACAAGAATCAGTCGTGGACACCTATTGATGGAATTCTTCATCTCGTTGACAATGCTACGCACGGCGCATCTTGACTACCAGAAAGAGAAAAGGTCTACCACAGAGTATGGAAAAGAAAGTGAAAGGGCTATTTCGTAGTACACCAAAACCGTACCTATTACTGCACTGAAGTGGCTTAAGGGTGCCTTCATACCGCGCCGGCATCCGCCGCTAGCAGCCCGTAGCAGCCGCTGGCAGCCCACAGCAGCCGCCAGCAGCCCGCAGCAGCCGCCAGCAGCCCGCAGCAGCCCGCAGCAGCTGCTGGCCACTTTTGTTACAAAGGCGCAAAATCATCAAATTCTTACCATTTTGAGTGCGCCTGCCCACGCTTTCCATCTCCCACGCCTCTTTTTTCCTAATGCGGCTAATGTGCAGTTCCACTCTCACTATTACAAAGTTACAAGATATGCACGGGCCAAGGATATGATTGAAGCAAACCATACATAAAAAATAAACACTGCTGAAACTGGGCGCAAGAAAACTGAGCACCAATAGGATAGCCAATGTGCGACAGCAAGATAATAACAACATTGGACACAAATATGATATATGAGATTAAATTGCGACAATAGGAAGGGAAAAGCGTGGAAGATGGAAAGCGTGGCGGTTGCACTCAAATTAGTATGGATTTGATGATTTAGCGCTTCTATGACAAAAGCGGCCAGCGGGCAGCTGCTACGGGCTGCTAGCTGTTGCTGACGACGCGGTATGAAGGCACCCTAACAAGAAAGCTGTTTTCATGGCGTCAATTCTTCACAATGACGAATAGGACGAGCAAGGACAGCTGCCGATTGGTGGTGATTACAACAAGTCCCGTTACTTGTTGAAACGAGCAACCAAACTTTCTACACCCTTTGTGAGAAAACGAAAATTTTACGTTTGTCTATTAGTTCATACTCTTTACTAACGGTATTCTATCCTTGGAGGTTGTATCGCGGCCACAAGAAGTATTCAACTTCTCAGTTTTTTCGTACGTTAACCACTTGCAAATTCGCTATTACAAAATGATTTATGTTCGTAACTGCTCTGAGGCACTCCAGAGTGCCAAGTAGAGTGTCAACTTCCAACAATGTCATCTGCAATCAGCAAGCATGCGTAACGTCGCATACAAGCTAAAGCACTGCTCCAACGCTTCAAAATCTATAAAGCAATTCTTGGTTGTTCCTGAGCTATGGTAGTCGTAATCATTTTGATAAAAACCGCTATGCTCACTTTTCTGCTCTGTGTGGCAAAACGAAAAATCAATGAATCGATATCAATGATGCAGAATAGGCTATTCTAGTCGTCCTGATCCCCGTAGACACCGTGGACTGTTCTTTGGGCCTAAGTAGAACATTGATGTTATAGCACAGCACAGAAGCTCATCCTTTAGTTGGAGCTTGCTCAGGGTAATTTTCCTCTTTCCTCATTCCTTGCTATTTTCCACTTAAACGGGTGATTCTGTCATTATCTATAGGGTGCGAAAGTACCGTAACTCAGTTTGCTTCCTAAAACATCTCGTAGGTAGAGGAATTATATAGATTTCAATTTTTGCATGTAGGCCGGTCCAGGAAGCTGGTACTGCCTCTACGGCCTGCTGATCCGTAATGGTAAAGAGTATGCTCTGCGTCAGTGTACTCATTAGACTTAACTGCTTGATTAGCTAAATTCTTAGAATAAGCGGGCACTTGGATATCCGAAGAAAATTTTGCTGCTTTCCGATACATATTACTTATGATTGCTTTTTCAAGTTTGGGTGCGCGGACAGTAATGTACCAGTAATACACTAAGCTTGCGGTACCATCTAGTCTTATATGTAAGAAGATAGCCAGTTTTCATGTGGTTATTTCCTAAACGTAATGTTTACGAATCAGGGCCCGGCACGCGTTGATTTGGAGCATCTTTGAAAACGAAATTCGCCACGTTTTCGCAAATTACGAAGTCCCTCTTGACATAAAAATCAGTAGAGGAATCCTTATTCAATCAAAATAACAATAAAAAGGAAAAAAGCGCATTTTGAGGTATCTAACATAACAAAAAAGCAAAAAGAAATCAATTCGGGTTGATCAAAGCTCTGTCATTGGGTGTGGTACCGTTTTAGTGCTCAGAATGTCGAAAACCTCCTAGGCAGACCAAATCTGTGGTCCTCACATCCAAACCTCAACAATCTGACGATGTACTTCTCGTCACATAGTTCAAAGGACACCGCATGTGATTGGAACGCGATATCTATCAACGCCTAAAATCACATTACTTTTGGATCAAATAAAGAGGAGAAGCAGTGGTTTGATCCGCTGTCTTCACTATATGATTTATTTTTGACCGTTCTAAACGTCCAAATCGAAAAGGTCCAAAACTTATGTGAACTCTCCGATATTTGTGCTCCGAACCAACCCAGTTGGTTTGGTGTTGGTTTAGAAACCAACAAATTGGGAAAGGATATTAGGACACATAAGTTTTTGGAACTTTTTACATAATATAGTATGGAGTAATATTGTATACACATAGCCCAAATTCGGAGCCATGTGATTGTTTGTGCACTGTAAGCAAGCCATTAGTCTGTTTGAGTCTTGCGTTTGAATTTCGCGCGCTTGCGAAAGAACACGTTCAACGTAAGACCTAAGGTCTAAGGCATATCTCCCTCGATTCCAGTCGCTGCGCGATTTCCATGTCGGACATAAGTTCCGAGTCCGCCGCGCCGCGTTTGTGTTAGATTGACGGACGAATCGCGGGCTATTTTTGGACGGACATACTTTCGTCAACGATATCTTCGCGATATCGTTGGAATTGAGCGATGTCGCGTCGCTAGTCCTGCACCAGCGATGAGCGAATCCTTCTTTGTGAGAAGTTTTGTACTTTTTTGCAAATGCGAATCTCATTTAGGACTATTCCACCTCACACAAACGCTTCCTCTCTGCGTAAAAGAAAGTAGGTCATCTAACATTCCATACTACAAATCCTTGAAAACAACACATGCGAAGTATAAAGTGTGAAATGCTTCCCATATGTGACCTCACCCACTGTGTTAGCATTTACTTTCTCGCAATGCATTATATTCTCCTGTTCTTGTTTATTAATAACATGTAAATGGTGACCAAATCGAATTCTCGCAATAATTTTCGAAGTAGGATAGATGTATTAGGTTGTTACAGAATTAATGCAGGTTTTTCAAATTTTGAGTTTTTACTATAACTTTTCACAGAAATAGTCTATCCGTTTCCAATAAAAATTAGTGCAATCAGCAAACCTTTGGCAATTCAACACGCACTACTTTATCGTTGTAGCTTTACTGAGAAAAATTTCATAGCTCGAAAACTGCCAAAATCTTAAAAACCTTCAGTTTGAGAGACCATAACTCACTAGACAATGTAGTAGAGTGGTATAAACTTCATTCACTTTGCAGATAGTATTCGTTTGTGCAACAGCGTTAAAGTTAATTTTCACAAAAAAAAATTTGCTAGAAAATATTGCAAAAAATTTGTAATCACTCGTTCTTCACGAGTGCTCTCAAAGGACAAAAAGGGCTTTTTTTGTTGTTTTTTGAATTTTCGCCGCCAAAGAAAACAACAGCTTTTTTTGCTTTTTTGCTATCATGTCTATGTCTATTCTTTCTGCGCACGGCGAAATCTCCGCAACTGCTTCTATTTAGGATGATAGCAGCGATTGTGTGGATTTGAAATAAAATTTCTCAGTCTAAACATCCGAGAAATTTGCTTTAATGTGCATTTTGTAGCACAGATCACATACAAACACTATGCCAGTTTACAAAAAATTCCGATTTTTCGCGGTGGGTCTAGAAAGAGTGTAAAAGAAAAAAATTTTAAGGTTTAGTTTCTTGATTTCAAAAGCACGTAATTTCGAAGTGACCCAATTCTCCTGAAATGAAAGCGTGTCTAAGAAACTAAAAGACGAGTGCTTTCATAAGGTATGCATAGTCTCTTAAGACAATGAAACTTTGTTTTGAACCAACACTTTGAAAAAGAGGCGTGGAAAACCTGCATTAATTCTGTTACAACCTACTACATCTCGGTTGCTCAAGCTATATGTAAGAGCTCGCGCAGCATTCGTTGTTAAAATATGCCTACCCAAAGTTTTTTTTACAGGGCCGAGAGCATGGCTGGCCTTTGTCTTACGAAGTTAACATATGCCTGCCGCTGACTGAAAGAGTGAACTGAAAATTTTACGAATTGTAGTCGACATCGCTGATGTTAACTTGCGCTGGTACAAAAACCTAGTAAATACGAAGATGAGGTTGACTCCATATCTTTGCTCGTTTGCTATAATGTTCTCTGAAAGCATATGACGCCACATTTTGTACAAAGTTTCCTGAATAAATGCTCAGACAAACTAACGCAAATTTTTCAAAAGTTCATATAATGGTGTGGTGTGAATGTCTACAAAATCGCTTTGAGTATGTCCGGTGTTCAAGCGATGAGCGATTTTCACGCAGTGAAAGGTCGCCCAGGCAGCCGATTCGCAGCGACCAAAAATCGTGACGACGGTGTCACGACGAGGTATGCCTTAGGCCTAACATGTTTGTCGTTTTTTCGGCGCTTCGCCCAGGACCTTAAAACGATATCTCCGTTGCTTCTAACTACAAAAACGAAGTCCAGTTTGACCCCAGACCATCTGTGCCGGGCCCTGTTGCGAATTGCTGTACGAGAAGAAAGCACGCTTCCATCTCTGCTTGAGTGGGACAGATTGTGCAGCATCATCAATGTAGCGACAATAGAGCAATGGCTTTCTAGCATAGGCGCTTCTCCTTTGGACGTGAAGACGATGGCAACCGTTGGAGCTAAACGTTGTCACATTGTCAAACCCCTAAATTGCCTCTAGTAATGACCTGACCAGTGAAACGTTGAACAGTTTAAGCTTTCCTTCAGAAGGGTCATGACGCCGTTAATGCGGGTAGAGGACTATATGTCGCCGAAAAAGGGCGGTCCCCGCGGTCATTTGCGACAAATATGCATCCTTGTACATGCGCGGACATGCGTTCCAGCAGGGAATCCGCGCGGGACTGTTCCAAATTCGGCGACATATAGTCCTCCACCCCGTTAATGCTAAAGCCGTAAGACTAAGAGAAGTCTGGTGTCTGGTTCTCCAATAGCAATTCGTAAACAGCTGCTTTCGCCGCTCTTTTGAAACATTTGTATAGAGTGATATTGCAACGAATGATTCTACCACGCAACCAAGAGTTAAGTGTGCGTTACGAAGCTTTTCAAGGGGCATGTTTGTACTGGTAAAATGAGCGGGGACAATTAGCAACTGTACTGGTATGTTTTCTTTTCTCCTATTGTGACTACGGCGGGCTTCTCCAGATAGTTCGAAGCCACTATCATATTCTTTAAGCAGTGAAAGATTTTGTAAATATACCCTAAAGTCTTACAGATAAGTCCGCTTTTTTGACAAGAAAAATCGATGAAAATGCACTCTCGCACCGCCAAGATTCTTGCAGATAAGTCCTCCCATCAGATAAGCCCGAACTTATCTGACAGATTTCAGGGTAGTTATAATGGAAAGAAAGCGGACTTATCTGAAGAGCCATATTCGAGTCAAAAAAGCGGACTTATCTGATGGCGGACTTATCCTGTAGACGGACTTATCTGATGGGAGCGTTTGTGAGATTTTAGGGTAGGTCAGAAAAAAGAATTTTTGTAAAATCTTCATACTTTTTTGCGTTTGTAGAAGAGAGTTGCAAGATTTGGGAACGTGTAGAGGAATCCGTAACCGGGTAGATTGCGGAATCCTGAGGTACTATTTTTTCCGCATCCTGTATGTGATAGAACAAGCACACTTTCTTAGAAGAGTTGAAGCTACCGTGAGAAGCTCAGAGAACACAATCAGTGTGGAATTACGACACAAAACTCATCAAAACACATCTCTGCACATGCCACTTGCCCGTCAAAGTAAAGTAAACGAGCATGGCAACATGAAGCGGCGCTCAGCAATTGCGAAATTGTTGATTCTGATTGAAAACATCTATACTACAAAAGAAGCAACAAACGATTATAGAAATAACGAGAAATTCATGCGCAAACTTTTTTGTCATTCACGAAGATTACAATGAGATAAGGACGATTATGGAAAGCGTTATCTGTTCCTTGTGTGCAAACGAAATAGAGGCAAAATTTGATTGATTTATACATCCTTGAGTGAGCTTCTCCTATCGAGCAATGCCTACGGTATACTACCATAGTTCTACTATACAGTAACCTGATGCCAAACCAGCCGCTCGCAGCGTTGTCCGGATGTCTCTAATCGTGTGCTAGAATATAGACTTCGAGAGTAAAGTGTTCAAAAATTAGGATCTACCGATGGATCATATAGTCCGAAGTGGGAGGCATGTTCGATCCAACGGTGGGTCGCATTTGCGTGAATGTGTTAGTACACAGGATAGAAAGATCAGAGACGTGTCAGACACTTATTATTATCTAAAGCAACTGCCCTACCCTATCTACAACTTCAGTGTCACATTTTGCTATTATTAATCGGCAGAAAACAAAGTAAACGAGTTTTGATGTTAGTTTGCAGCCAGTGTAAACACCAGGGAGATTGCTTTTGCCGCCGTAATCAGTTCATCTGTTCCACAAACAGACCATAGGATTAAAAGTAGACTTTTCGAACTTTTTTGTGTTGCACTTTTGCTACCTTCACGAGAGTTTCTACCAGTTTTTTTAGTTCTCACAAATGGACTGATTCTATTTTTCATAGCTTTGGAATCTTGCAAAACAAGAAAATCAGCGGGGAATCGTACGTTTTACTCTGGAGATGGGTCGTTTTGAAGGCAAAGTCGTGATCGTGACTGGTAAGCATCCGTATATGTACACGTTTTCCTGACACAGAGCTTTTTGCAAAGGTGCTTCCACTGGTATAGGACGAGCGACCGCACAATTATTCGCTCGGAAAGGAGCAAAGGTGACTATTTGTGGAAGAAAAGAAGCTGCTTTGGAGGTGAGCTTACTGGATAAGTTGTTTCCTGTGTGGATATTTTTGTATCCTGTAATGGACCTCTTGTGCATCAAGATCTGAATAGGGAATGCTCAGCAAAGCGCACGGCAACAAAATCTCATTTCCTCCATTACCTTTTATTTGCTCACACTGCTCTCTGGTTAGCCAGAAATTTCAGCTTTCCTTTCCTAAAATAAACCTCGAAAAAAAATAAGTACGCCTATGCTGTCAAAGCTCATCTAGAAGACGAGCAGAACCAGCAAAAAGCTTCCTAGATTGTTAAAAAATTTGAGCTCAAGTAATTGACAGACTTAAGCATGAAACCTATTACCATCCGCCCAGTCAGACTACATTATTCTGGTGTCATTAAGGAGACCAAAAGGCTTCTACTAGCTGAAAATGGCAATGATGAGCAGAAAGTCTTGGTTGTCATTGGTGATATTTGCGATGAGGAAATTATGAAGAAGACAGTCGACAAAACTGTGGGAAAGTTCCATGGCTTGAATGTGCTGGTAAGCAAGTAGTAAACATTCTGCTGTCTCTGATACATAGTCGATCAGGTCAACAATGCGGGGGGAACACATGGAGAGATGTTCGTAAGTGAGCTAGAAGGTGATTTGTCGGCATTCGACTACACATTGAAGCTCAATACAAGATGGTATGATCTATCTATGAATAACAGTCGAATGTCGGTCTACCAGTATTCTAGCGTTCTTCGCCTCTGCCAACTCGCCTACCCACATCTTATCGAGTCTCAGGGAGAGATCGTGAATGTAGGCAGTATTGCTGGGCTCAGTAATGGAGTCGTGAGTGTGTTTTATGAGAAAAGAAGAAAACCATGACTCATTATAACAAATCGTAAATGTTTAGGCAACGCCGTTTCCGTTCTACAGTATCTCGAAGGCCGCTCAAGATCAACTCACTCGCAATATAGCAGTCCACTACATCAAAAAAGGAGTTCGTGTCAATAGTGTGAAGTGAGTTACCGCGCATTAGCGTACTATGAATTTGATCTCAACGAGTTCTGTGTAATGGTCCTTTTCCCAGCCCTGGACTTGTATCCACCAACATAATGCAGAATCAAGGACTTACCGATAAGGTCGTACAAGCTGTAAGTTGCAAAAATAGCTTAACTGAGACAGGATTTTATCGCCCTCTCTTAAACAAAGAAAAAACATTGCAGGCTGAAGAAAAAATAATTGCTGACCCTTCACGAATCCCTTATCAGAGAGCAGGGACACCCGAAGAAATTGCTAAAGCCATACTGTTCCTGGCTGACAGGTAAAATTATTGCTAATACTGATCGGATAATACCCAATGATGTGGATATCATTAGCAGATTGCAAGCAAGCTGATACGCAGCAGATTTTCTTAGAAATCATTGAAAGTTGCCTTTATGCCAGCGCCGAGCCATCCATATTAGTGTCAAGCCGCATTCCATGCAAACGCGTTACGCACTTATCAATCGACGTACCGGCACGGCGCTGGTACGGTGCTGGCACGTGCAACTCTTGCAGAGTTGGATGATCGATATCTTCTAGCTAAAAAATCTCCTCTACCATATAGCGAGTATTTTGAAACTGCGATTATAGTAGGAATGATGGTCTGTTCGAATTGTCGTAGGCGAGAAAGACTTACTTAATTGGGGTTCAATATGGATGGTTCCTTAATTTCCAAGAGTGTCAAAAAGTTGCTTCCTCTCCTATCGTATGAGAAAATGCTTATTGGATGGTCAGCTAGTGGCCAATTTAGCATCTGCCACTACTTGACTGCGACACTCTAACAAAGTATCAGTTTTTCACACCAACACATTCAACTGGCCCCATGAAGAGTTAAGACAAAAGATCCAATGAAGTTTGACATTAATCGAATCAAATTCGTGAATTCTGCAAAATTTTCAAACTCAAGGGTTTCAGAACCCGTTCGGATTACATTATCGGACACCAACTTGTTATTGACGGTGGATCATCTCTACAAATGGCGCTTCTCTCCGATGGTTTCGATATGTTTGCGGAGGAAGCGGCGAAGGAGGTTCCTTTCGGATAACCTACACTCTGATTGATGTTTAACCCCAATTATTTCCGTATGTATACGTATGTGCTCGATTGATGTATGTTTATCACGTGCTAAGTCAGGGCGATTGCATTTTGTATAAGGATAAAGAAACAGAAGAAAAGAAGTAAAAGGCTGCTTGTACCGTATTCATCACTCTATGCAGAATACTTTTTGTCTCGTTACTACAAGATCAGAACAAAGATTAGTCTCAGCATGTTACCTGTCTGACTCTGTGTGTTGGTCCACACCCCTGTCTCGCTCAGAAGGATAACTGCTGGATCACAAGTCGGCGGAAGCAATGCATAATTTCCTATTGAAATATAAGCATTGAATATTCTAGGAAAAAGGTCTACTAGGGTGGCGTACTCCTTGTCGAATATACAGGAGTTCGAAAAATTTCTGGCCTCAAGATTTTGAGCCAACTCGCTTTTGCATATGCGTTCGTTAAGACTACTGAGTCAAAAGAGGAAAAATTTATTATTCGATACTCGAAAAATTGAAAGTTACCATTTTTTTCGTTTCTTCGGGAAAGTACAAAAGTGCCTTGTTCATAATGTTTTACTTTTTTCAACGCCGGTAATGAGAACAACTTTCCTACAAAGATTCTTAGCCCTACACATACAATTGCATACAAATGAACATTTTTTCATGTCATTAAAGTCAACAAGCAACCAAGTTTACGATTTGTGGAAGTACTATTTTAGTGTATGTAGCATACTTTTACCTATTAAGATTCTGGAGCTGGAATCGATTTTGTAACTGTGTTAGGCTTCAAAGCACAGTATTTTGAAACAAATCCTTTCTACGAAAACAAAAGAGTACAAAAGAAACCAGAGAGAAAGGGGTTTCATTTGATATACGAAGTTTTTTGTGAAAAATGTTTTACTCTTTGTAACAAGCATTTTAAAGAGGCGAGAAAAGCGATGTTGACTGCGAACCCTATAAAATTTGAAAAAAAAATGAAAAAACCTGATTTCTGCTATGTTGATGGTAACCAGGTTTCATGAGCACAGTAAAACAAAAAGCGCGTCAAACTTCGAATTGGAAGTACTTCCCACTCGTATATTGCAGCAGAGTTGGTTCAAAATAGTTCACAAACGATTTACCATGTGAGATGCAAGAATCGACAATATTTTGTTTGACAGAATAAGGGCACGGTGCGTCTCTAGCCAGAAACTGTTTTATTTTCAACTATTTTTCCAAAAGAATTCCTGTATTGAACTTCAGAAGCTTGAATATTACAAAACGTCTGTAGAAAATTGAGGCAGCCAAACATTGCAAGGCGTTACATGGAAAGATAGAGGTGTGGTAAAATGTGATTTTCTAGCTGCTACCGCTACCTAACACTCCACCCTATCCACATCTTCAGCGGCGTCCACATATCGCTATCATTAATCGACAAAAAAAAGTAAACCAGTTTGGTGGAGTTGATTTGCTGACAGTGTAAACACCAAGGAGGTCACCTTTGCCGCCGTAATCGGTTCATCTTTTTCACAAACAGAGCGTAGAATTAGAAGTACTTTTCGTACTTTTTTTATGCACTTTCACTAGTTTTATGGATGTTTTTACCAGCTTTCCGCTAGTTTTCACATAGGGCTATCTTTTTTTTGAAGCTTTTGAAATAACTGACAAATTAGTAGGGAAGTTGTTAACGTCACCTTAGGGTTCACCTTAGGGATGGGTCGTTTCGAAGGAAAAGCAGTTATCGTGACTGGTAAGTATCCGATTTTTATAATACCTTTTCTGACACAACGTTTTCTCTTGTAAAGGTGCTTCCACTGGTATAGGACGAGCGACAGCACAATTATTTGCCCGAAAAGGAGCAATGGTGACTATTTGTGGTAGGAGAAAAGCTGCATTGGAGGTAAGCTCATTGACGGGGAAAGGCACTATACTCAAAGCTATTTGCAAAGCGATATATATATTTGACAACTGTTTAAAACGTTGAAATTCGTTGTCCATAGGTGCGAAGTGTTATTCTCGGCAGAGTTACAAGTTTTTTCTTTGCATAATTGCGCATTTATCGACCTACTGATATTACGGTATCAACATTCAGGTGGTAGTGCAACTGCCTAATGCTCCGTACCAGCACCAAAAGACGACCTAGACTAAGACTTATTTCAATATCCCAGCATTTTTTTTTTCAAGCATATTCTTCCTAGTTGTTTTCGCATATTCAGGAGAAATCTATGGCGCGTAATAACCTCATAACTCTTTTTAAGAGTAACGGTTTGCACTAGGAACAACAAATTAGAGCTCAGCATTCCAAACTGATTCCAAATATATTAATTTTACATAAGGCCGACCTAAGTTAGGTGCTTTCCCTTATGAGTAAGTTGAGGCCTTGATGAATGTTTTGAATTGTATGTAATCGACCTCTCATCCATCAAAATCTAATCCAAGAACCTCAGCAAAGCACACAGCAAGAGTATCTTGTTTTCAAAGTCTTTTCGTGGTGCTAACATCTCTCCCTGTTTAACCGAGATTTTCGCTTGACCTTTTCAAGAAAATGTCTTGAACGAATATGAGTACGCCTACGCTTCCAAGGATCGAATAGAAACAGTAGAGGCAGCAAAATGCTTGCTGTAGATATCAAAAAAAAACTGTTGAGCTGAATGATTGGGGAAGTTGAGCATGGATTCTATTACCATCATGCCCATTTAGCAGTTTCTGCCTTATTTTAGTGTCTCTTAGGAGACCAAAAGGCTTCTACTAGCTGAAAATGGCAATGATGAGGGGAAAATCTTGATTGTCATTGGTGACATTTGCAATGAGGAAGTTATGAAGCAGATAGTCGACGAAACTGTAGGAAAGTTCCATCGTCTAAATGTGCTGGTAAGCCGCACTTAGTACATAGTGCTCTTCGATGCACGGTTTGATCAGGTCAATAATGCGGGGGGAACGCATGGAGAGAAGTTCGTGAGTGAGCTGGAAATTGATCTGGCTGCATTTGATTACACGTGGAAGCTCAATACGAGGAGGTATGAACTAATCACGAACTGCGGTCCAAGCTTTGTCTGCTAGTATTCCAGCGTTCTTCGCCTCTGCCAACTCGCCTATCCACATCTTATCGAGTCTCAGGGAGAAATCGTGAATGTAAGCAGCATTGCCGGGATGCACAATGGAGTTGTGAGTCTGTTTTGATGAAAACGAAAAGTTCAGAGTTTAACAAACAAATAGCCAATGTTCAGGCGCCGTTTCCGTTTTACAGTATCTCAAAGGCTGCTCAGGATCAGCTCACTCGTAATATAGCAGTTCACTACATCAAAAAAGGAGTTCGTGTCAATAGTGTGAGGTGAGCTATCTCGCAGTGTAGAGAGCCTCCAGGCAGAGCCGGTTGCCGCTTTTGCTACCGAAGTCCACTGGGTCAGATTATGTACATGGGGGGCCTATGAGCATCTTATTCCTTTTGAAGTGATACTTTTACGCCTTTCAGATCTTTTTGTTGCGGGTCTTCGTCTTGGCTATTCTTCTATCTTGTAATGAATGATTTAGTTTCGGGACGAGGTTTTTAATCTGACTTTCATTTTGTCGCTATTGCACTGTGCCAAAGTGATCCATTCATTGCCAAAAGAGCTTTTTTCCGTCTTCCATTGCGATTATTTGGCGCATTGGAAGAGGTTCAAAACCATTACAGGAAAAAATCGTTTCGAAACGACATCAATTACTACAACATAAAAGGACAGCCGAAACGAAAGACCTGCAAAAAAATTTGCAAAAATCTGAAACCACCATTTTGAGGCGAAAAAATTGCCCGTACATGTCCCATAGACGTGATTAGGGCTCGGCACGAGGTGGCTAGATGAAAATGGAAAAAACGAAGTCCCCCTTGACTTTTGGGTATTTTTACGAAGTCCCCTTTGACCCTCAACCAAATTTCCTCTAAAAACCTGAAAAATTCCCCAAAATCCCCCAAAAAACGAAACGTCGACTAAAAAAAAGGTCGCCGTCGCCAATTTTCCGTGTCTCTTCGGTCACAAAAACGAAACCCCCTTTGCTTTTCGTCCCAAAAACGATATCCAGCTTGCTTGTAAGCCACCTCGTGCCGAGCCCTGGACGTGATGTGACCCGGTGCGCTTCTGCTGCAAAAGTTGCGGTCTGGAAGTTTCCTAAGGTCTAAACTGAAGTAAACGAATTTTGATGTATTGGTGCCTTTTTTAGCCCTGGACTCATATCCACAGACGTAATGCAAAATCAAGGATTGAGCGATAAGGCCGTACGAGCTGTAAGTTGAAAATAGCGTAACTGGGACAAAATGTTTGACGTCCGTACTCTCGGAAATTGAAAGAGAAACTTGCAGGCTCGGGAAAGAATAGTTGCTGATCCGTCACGAGTTCCATACCAAAGGGCAGGGACACCTGAAGAAGTTGCTAAAGCGATACTGTTTCTGGCTGACAGGTAGAAATTCTGTTATTATTGTTTGCGACAGCCAATGAAATCGAAATTTGATTCTGGTAGAATGAAAATCTAGTCGCACGTTGTTATAGTGAGATAAAATGACTAAAGGCGGAGTCTATTATGAAATAGGTGTAATCCCCAAAAATCTCCAAAAGTCGCTTTCTTCTTTCTTTTATGGATGAGAAAAACGCTCATTGGGTGTGCCAGCTAGTGAGCAAAATCGCATTTGCCACTAATTTTAGTGCGACACTTCAGCAAACTATCAATTGTCCAGTGGAAAGCGTTGAAAAAATTTGCTGAACTTCTTTTAGCAGACTCCTGATAGTTTGCACATTTTTTGAATTCGTATTTTTTTAGAACCAAATCAAACTACATTGTCGGACACCAACTTGTTATTGACGGTGGATCTTCTCTACAAATGTCGCTCCTCTCAGATGGTTTCAATATGTTTGCAGAAGAAGCTGCGAAGGAAGCATTGCACGGATAACCTACAGATGGATGGTTTATGTTTAACCGCATTCCTTTAGATCGCAATCTATTGATATGTGTTTATCGCATTCGCATGCTAAGTGGGCAAATGCATTCTATTACGTTGGTGCAAAGTGTCCGTTCTAAGCTTATTTTCCAAACAACTTTTTTCCACCAAACTTTCTTTTTGATGCAGATTTCGTATATAATTAAAAAGCTTTCTTCATGTACCAATGGTGCAGCTAGGCTTTATTCTAATCTGTGAAAATTTCACTAGCTTGCAAGCCGCAATCACAATTGAAATTTGCTTTCACTTTGATGGCTACAATTCAAGCACAGAGAGCGAATTTTTTTTTGAGAACATAGCTACTGTATTGGATGAATATTGCTTACTTATAGAATGCTTGAGAAGATTTTTCGAAATTATCTGAAGTGAGAAATCTACGCCCCAAAGTAGTTACTCACCCTGGCTTTCTATGGATCAAAAATTTCTCATGATTAAGGCAATCGCTAAAGTTTCGCTCATTTTTGTAAGCTAGAAATTAGGGCATCTTGCCTACAATCTTTGCAGAAAAACTTAGTTATTCAGTGCATGAAAACTACCAAATCTTCATTATAGACTTTCAGATCTACCAGAAATAGGCTCAAAAGTGAACAATTTTGTTTCAGCTTTTCTGCAAAATTCCTTCATTGAAATCTTTTCTACACAATCGTATACTACTGACTTGCGGCTACAAAATAAGCTGGTTATCAGTTATAGGAACAAAACTTGAAAGGAGTTGTAATCTTTCAAAAACAAGGTTTCAAAGACTCGGTTGTTGACGCATAGTTCTCTTCCCGTTTGCGATGTCAGTACGAGCAGTTGCGATCTAAGTAATGGTCTTGACTATCGAAAATATGAAGACTATGAAGAAAATATGACGGACAAAGTAATAGCTTTTCAAGGTCAAACCTTGTAAAACGGACATTATTTTTGCATTACTCAATGTATAGCGATAGAGAAGGGAAAAAAGAAAACCAAAGGCTGCAGTCTCAATAAATTACCTATCTAACTCTGTGTGTCTGTCCACGACTGTATCCTGTATTCCACTTTCCTGCCCAGAAGGAAAACTATCAAATAGTCAAATCGGAGGAAGCAAGCAAATTTGTATCGGAAAACTGGTGATGATATTCTAATAAAAACTGCGGATTAAATGTCCGCGAAGTAGGTATTGCTGTCGAAGTAGGTATTGCAGTGTTGGCAAAGTTGGTCCGAAACTAATCAGAAACAATTTTCCATGTGGAACTCAAGAATTGCAGATTTTTTTGCGCAGTATGTGCCATACAAAAATGCCCACGGTATGTGTGTAGCTGAAAACTCCTTAAATCTTTTATCTCTAATAAAGTTCATAAATTCAGCTGAACTTCATGAAGCATGGATATGACATACACGTCTTTAGGAATATGAGGCAGCTAAACATTGCAAGGCGTGACATGGAAAGATAAAAAAGTACCCTGATTTTCTGAGGTTTGGCAAAAGTTTTGTGGCTCCTAGCTGCTAATATTCTTCATATCAACATTATCGCTCTTTCTGTTAGATTTGCAGAAGAATGCCGAGCTTGTAGCTGAGGAAGGTAACCAGACGAGAATCAGTGGAGTGAGCAGAACAGCATGAACAGCACCAATGAGAAGGGTTATAACGTTGATTACAGCTAGCCATCGGAAGACCAGTACATTTGTGAGAAGCATCGGCAGAAACACCATTGATCCAGCGATGCTGCTCTGCAATAGTATGTAGATTAAGCTGTTCTATGCTTTGAGCCTATGGGTTCAAAAATTTGCTTGTCAATAACCAACGCTAAAGATGTAGTTATTTCATAGAAGAGTTGAATTAGTGAATGCAATCTACTACTCAGAACTTACCATAAGCACTGAAAGGAACGTTTGTCTGAATGTCCAGACCAATCTTTGCACATCGTCAGCCAATGTTTCCGACTGCGATCCCTATAATATGTAGTAAGAAAATTGATCGCATTTTTTAGAAAGTTCTTAAGGTGTCGCATATTCAGGCCGCTCGCTCTTGCCTCTTCGAGCAGTATGAAAGCAATAAAACTGATGTCATCTAGCTCAGTTCCGAATACCTCCTATCGTGTGATGCTTCAGCAAAAAATCGCTTTGGGACTGCTGTTATTATCTTATGACAGTAGCGCAAATAAAACAAAAAATCACAAGGAGGTTTCACAGATACGCAAACAAAGAATGAATTTGAGTACATGAATTTTTGAGCACAAATTTTGAAATTTCAAAGTGTTATTCGACATCTAGACCGAAAACTTCTTTTCCGAGCTTAAAATCAAGTTTGTAAGCGTGAGACTGGCGAATTTCAAGTCTCTTCTAATATTGTTTGGCGAAATCAAAAAAACCTGGTAATTATGTAGCTTGCTATTTCAGCATGTAAGGTCCAACAACAATACTCTGAAAATAAGCAAAAAAATGCCTGCTACTTCTTTCAAAAATGTTCAGCAGATATGTAGCAGTTTTCTGTACTTTTGCAATTACCACCATGATTTCTTTTGCTTGGTGCAGTAATTGCGAGCGATATTTTTATCTCATTTTCATTTTCGTCGAATACGCTTGAGGCGTTTCATATTAAAAAGTAAACAATGAAAATTGTTAGTCTACACTGAACACGAACAGTAATAGAAACATCATATGCTTCAAGCCCAACCTTCAATTATGCATCTTCACAAAAACTTGGAAAATTTTGTAAAAAAATGATATACATACTATTTAGTAATAATTTGTAATAACTTAAAAGATCATGTCATACAGAATTTCGAATTAAATTTAGAAATGTCTGGTACCTGTTGGTATTGATAGCACATGTGAGCAGAGTATTTTAGAGACACTCCAGCAACAAATATGAGAAAAGAAGCAGAAAATGGATTCAGTGCCAGCCCAAACAGAGACGAGATACAATAGGATTCTAAAAACAGAATTGCATAGAACGTAAGTTTCGGAATCAATGCGACTTACCCGTGTAAATAAGTGCGTAAGAGATGAGAACAAGTATAGATACGGCGAGATTTTTAATGAGAAGCATTGTCACAACTGTTGATCCCGCGAGCACTAGGAACGGGACACTGCAAAGGTTTTTTGTAAGGATATGAGGGGAAGAAAAAAAAGGTCTACTGACAAGTAGGTAACATAAGGAATCTGCAGGAGCACATCGACCATCCCAACTTCGGTGTCGAACGGCACCACGTCGAATTCAGGATATTTGGACACAACCTGAAAAGTCGAATATCGCTGCGTCTTCCCATGATTAAAGCTGTTTGCGTGGTTCGATGGTCACTTCTTTATTTTCCTCTCTTTTGCAGATCTTCATCATTTCGAAAAAAAAAAGAATTTTTGTTCAAAGGGATTTGAAAATAAACGCAAACTCAAAAATTCAAAGGCACCGTCCAACTAAAGTTAGGGGTCTTGAATTTTTGGCAGCTTACGATTGTAGAGCCCCCTGTCAAGCCAATGCCCAAGCGGGGTGCAAAATGTCGCTTTAGAGGCGAGAAAATTGCTCCGGAACAGCGAAGAGGCATGAGGACCCTAAGTCGGCATCGCCCCACCCCTGCAGTAATGCCCGCCCATCCGCGCGCCCATCCAATCCCCGTTGCGGAAAATCGGCCTGCGGCTTCTTCGGAACGGTGATTTCGCGGATTCTCGACTTTATATTGGGAATGTGGGGCATGAGAAGGCCTCGGGACAACCAGAACATGGTCGAGAATCTGGGTGGAGGTGCCTTCAAACGAAAGAAGAATTTGAAATGCCAGAATGTAAGATTAGAATATGATGTTATAGAAGTTGAAAATCTGATTACGGTCACTCTAAGATAGAAATTGACTTATTGGAGTATATGTTTTCGTTTTCGCAAATCTTTGTTTTGGGAATTTGTAATCATGTTGGCTTCTTTATTGATAAGGACTGTGTTCAACATAAAACCATGTGACTAGTCGGCATATATCAGTAGTCAAAAACCCACCTGTCGACATTGAGACAATAATCTAGCTTTGTCCCAAAGTGTTTTAAGCCCTTCGTAAGCGCCAATGTACATCATCTCAGTGATGACAGTAGTGTTGCTAAAGAGGTTCTTTAGAGCAACGTCCAGCGATAAAATTTTCTTAGATAAATGAAATGTACCCTTCAAAGCGGTATTTGACTCCAGAGTTCCATGCTTTGTAGATATCATGAGTAATAAAGTCCTTGAAGTGACTTGTGTTGAGTGCTGAACAAAAATGATGAAACATGATTGGAAACAGAAAAAAGAGAGAGGAAAAGAGAAAAAGTTCGACTTAAACGATCTGTCACTCAAAGCATTATATGAAGAAACTTCATGTCAAATTTTGTTTAAGTTTTTATTACCCGTAAATTACTGGTCTCGTCTATTCTTATCAATAAAATTATGCGTTTCCCGAGGTCTAGTAGGTCTAGTAGCAGAGACTACAAAAGCGCTTCTCCTGTCTGATTTACATGCATTTATGACGCATTTATACATATGGATTGTGTCTATTCTACACGAAAAAGAGACCTTCGGAACAGGGCTCGACACAGGTGGCTTACGGGGCAAGCTGGATATCGTTCTGAGGTAAAAAGCAAAGGAATTATCGTTTAAACGGAAACCCTAGCCTCCCTCCCCCTCCCTCCTCCCCCACAGTCATCTTCTATAGAGGGAGCAGACTGCTATTCCTGCCTTATCGACCCATTACTGCAAAAACCAAAAATTTCCTGTTTTAACAGGTTTGCCGGTTAAGCGCGCAAATTTAAAGGCAGCATATCATCTGTTCCCCAGAAATGTTCTCGTAGGTACCATTAAAGGCAGCGTCCAGGCAGATCTGGACCTATGGAGCTTTTACGTGGAAAGTATTTTTGGGGCCCTAACCAAGGCACTGCCCAAGCGGCAGCGCAGGTAGTGCTCTAACGGCTGAGATATTCCCCTCAAAACTGACTCCGCGATCGTATTCGCATGGATTCATGGCAGTTTCGCGCCAGGATCCACGCTTTGCGCCATGAATCCATGCGAATACGATCGCGGAGTCCAGTTTTGAGGGGAATATCTCAGCCGTTAGAGCACTCCTGAGCTGCCGCTTAGGCAGTGCCTTAGTTAGGGCACCAAAAGTACTTTCCACGTGAAAGCCCCATAGGTCCAGATCTGCCTGGACGCTGCCTTTAAAAGCCTGCCCGACAAAGCTACCATACAATCGAGTTTTTGAATCTCCTCAAACCCCCTCCTTCTCGCCCAGTTACAGCCCTCCAAATATTTTGTATGACGGCGGCAAGCCTGCTCCAAGCGCGCAATGGTGCGCGCCGGACACAGCATGCCGTCAATTCGGAGAATACAAAGTTCTTCAGTTTTTTCGTCTATTCAGTCTATTTTAAGATTGCTTCAATAATTTTTTTTGTTCGTTTTTGATTCATTCACGATCGCGTCATAGGTGATGACGTATTTTTGCAGCGAAATTTGCGGGGACATCGTTTTTGAGAAATTGGAAAAGCCACCTCATGCCGAGCCCTGCCTCGGAACAGTTCTGAGCCTCGCAATGATTATCATTTTCATAGTAAATGTAAGAACCTGTTTCATTTCCGATCATATCAGTATGGCGTTCATAGTCGTTGATCCACATCATACCCGATTTTTTAATACTACCCGGCAGTGACTCGAAATCCGATATCATACTCTGAAAGCAGGACAAGCTAAAAATGCGAGTGTTTTCCCCAATGCATACCTTGAACCTCTGGTATGACCTTGGATCATCAAAATTTGGAGGTTTTTCGATGAAGTACATAATGTTGAAGAACTCATACCAAACCTAAATGCTTTTGGCAGCCTTAAATCCAGTAAAACTGCAACGCAGAAAGATTATTACTCACAACATCGCTCATGAAATGAACACCTTTGTTATTTGGAGAGTCGGGTGGAAGAAGCTGCCGATAGTCGAGGTTTGCATTCACCTAAAATTTTCAAGCTGCAAATTTAAAATCGGGCAAAAACGTAACTCACCTTTGACGATCCCAAATAAGTGGGAAGTGCAAGACATAAACAGAACAATGATACTGCAAAGATCTTCATCCATAGGGAGCTGGATAGACCTCTGGCATACTGCTCTGTAAATTTGAATGCTGATGCTCAAAAGTCCTACGTAACCTTTAACTGGCTTGGCTTCGGGAAGGCGGGGCTTTGTGACATAAATAAGGCCGCTCGCGCCCGCGACGCGCCTGCGTCTCTCTCGCGCGAGTGCTCTTTGATCACTAGCTAGCCTTAATTAGGTCAGAGGCCCGCCTTCCCGCAGCCAAGCCAGTTGAATCAAATGGTACCTCTTCTTGACTTGCTAATTTGGAAAAACTATCTTTTCATAAAAGTTGGTTATGCCATCAAAGCTTTTTTCTAGTCCTCTATATAAGGTCTCCTTTTTATGTTTCAAATAGCTCTGTTTATCTGCGAATTACTTCTGAAGGATAGCCAAGCATAGATGAATTTTGTTCTTTGTTCTGTTTCCATGATCTCCACAGGTAGAGGCAAGATTCAAATCATACATGAGCATTATTTTACTGAGGAGTTGTGCTAATATATAGTGTTTATTTGGATATTATTCTAAGAATAATTTGCCCGAATATATTTACAGCACAAACACGACATGATGTCGCTGTCTTTATGGCCTATGAAAATTAAGCGCAACGCGATTACGAAACTTTTGCTTTATATAGCAAGAGAGGACCCAGTTCGTTCCATATTGAGACTTTAACACGGTGACGACCGTGTGCATACGCGCATATACACGCCCTGACTCCTGTTTAGCACTTTCGCACATCAGTTTTTCATGTGTAAACGAAAAATTCTGAGGAACTTCCATGCAGTGGTCATATAGAACACAGGGCATCGCGGTAGTTGCTCAGGGATGGTATTTATCAATCTCCCGCTCGCTTTTCGGGCTTTTTCCATCGTTATACACGGCCTAGACAAGCGAGAGCGTCCAAACCGTGATTTCTATGAGGTCATTTAGCATGCCTGAACGGGCAGCAGAGCCCGATCTGTCGAGATCGGGTGCCGTGCTCGACATGGCCAAACTTGTCAGATCGGAGCCTCAAACCAATGCAGTGTCTTAGATGAGATTCAGATAGTATGACTACGATGGGAATTTCTGATATATATTCATTCCAGCCTTCCATTTCATATCATTTGATATGTACTGTTCTCATTAAAAAGACTTTTTGATACATTTCTGCTTCTCTAACTTATCCGTCATAAATTGTCCTACAATACAGTATATTCTACGAATTACTGGTATTTAGATATTGCCCGGTTCCAACACTCTCTAAGGGAAATCCCCTATCTTACTTTACAAATGTTAACGTGAACACTGAATGTGCACGCAAACGCAAAAACTGTGTTCGATGACCGAAAGGAAAGAACAAAACAACAAAAAACGATGGGTTATCATATCTTAACCTTATGCAAAGTTTACGCCAGCAAGCGTTCTTGATATGCGCCCGCTCGTGCTGCTAGCGTGCTGCTCTTCACAGTGGGTTCCCGAACAGTATATGAGGGTGTGCGGGAGATTGATAAATACCGCCCCAGGAGTCTATGTAAACTGCAAATACAGATGTCCTCTTCATTTTGATGTGGTTCAAAATGGCTCGGCTGTCAACGCATTGAAAGAATTTTTGTCTTATAGCTTTCTTGATTCTTATGAATAGGAAATGGATAAGCATACCGCAATTTAATTTCTATGCTATCACTGGATTCAAGTAGTTGTTCAGTGAATTTGCTCGCACTAACAGAATGAAATGTTGACAATGAAACGCTGACAATTCTTACCCAAAAATCCATCGAACCAAGGTCTCTTGATCACCTTAGGTGATGTAGGGAGTTCCTGTGAAAGTGGACTGTGAGTGTGAACGTTGGCACACCATAACATCAGAGCTGGGAAATAACAGACCTAAACTGACTAAGCATAGTCGAAGGTAACACGGCGGACGTTAGCGTATCAAACATACCAAATATACATAAACAAGGACGGTTGTGACTCCCAAGAAGAAGGAAAGCATTGCAAACTCCTCGATAGGAATCAGTCTCCCAGCTATGAGCCCAATAGCAGCAGAAGAGACTATTGTTATGGATGGAAATGCAGATTGGAACACCTGTAAGGGAGAAGTGAAGCTGGGGAGTTTTTTTGACAAAAAGACGCAAAGGAACTAGGTACTTTCGAGTGGAGGAAGCTCTACTTAATCAGAAGGATGTTCGAAAATGTAGACTTAGTGCAACATTTGAAAATAATTGAAGCTTTTGATCTTCCAAAATATCTTGAAGGAGATTATTTGTCTACATCTTTGAAGCAAGGAAGCTCACCGAAATAGCATGTATACATACGAATCAAAAGATAAAAGCTTACAAACATCGAAAAAGCTAGAAGATTTTATACAGAAATTGAGTAATAAGTATATTTAGGACCGCTAAAACAGAACTGGAGAACACAAAAAATTAGAGGATTCTCTTCATTTAAGTGCGGTGGGAAGAGACTACTCATTTTCAGTGGCAGTAGAAGCTTTTTAGGCGAGGACAAAAGAAGTTATACCTGCGCCATGTGCTCCTGAACATTGTGAGTTTTGTGCTGTGTGATCCAGGAGTGATACAAAATCAACATACCATCGATACCTATAGAAAGCAGGACTGCAAAGTGAATGGGAGCCAAGAAAATTCGAGATTTACCAAGTGCGAATACTAAAGCTGGTGCAGCTACACACATCGTGTTAAAGTGTGCTCCTACTAAAGAGCACAACGCAGCAGCAGTGGTAAGGGCCATAACTGGTAGAAAAGTTGCTCCAAGTGAGAGTAACACTACTCTGAGAAAAACATTCTTTTTTTGTTTCTATAAACTTGCAAGAAACTTCTTGCATAAAATCTCTCGATTTTTATCTCCATACTAATCTACTTTCATCACCTGCCATTACACCGCTCCTGAATCCGATTTAGAACGAGGAAACACAGAAGGATGATAAGTCCGGCAAGGAAAATTCCTGAAAATTGAAACTCACAGAAAGTCTAGCTGTTACTAAAAGCTATTTGGTCTAGTTGAAGCGTTTCCTCACCAGCAATTAGTTTTCCAAACACAAATTTCATTCCTCTAGCCACTTCCATCTGCATACCACGGGCACTATGCTGAGTGATAGTAGTCACTTTGCTTTCGTCCGCGTTATGTTTAGCCACATAACTGAAAAAATTCGATATATCGATTTTTTGGAAGTGACTGTAGAATGCGCTTACTCGGCCACTATAGACTCGTACTCTCGCAGGTCATCAATGGCATCGGTGCTGTTTATAAATGTAATGAAGTAGAGGGCCGCCAACTTGGCAGATACGATGTCTTCACCCTTGATCGTAAATTGTAGAAAAAAAAATCGAGTTAGTACCACCCACTTTCATTTCTCTTTGGAAGAAGAATTTGCCGATATTCGATTTGTATATGAATATCGATGTTTCGGGCCATTGGAGACCAAACCAAGCCATTGCCTGGAACAAGGCAATGTGAATTTAAAAAGGTGGCTACCTGAATGAGGCATAAAAGTATTGGAAACGATTCACATACATGAGTTTTGAATATTTGGTCATTCACGTTACATGTCGTGCCACAGTAATCAAAATAAGTAACATTACGATCTCCATCTCGCCTTATAACGATTTTTTTGACGCTCTGAAATCGACGATAGCATTTCCTTGCATTTCATCGTAAGCCATTGACAACCTTATAGAAGTCTTTAAACTCGTCAAATTCTTTCGATTCAATCATTGAGCCCTTTTCCATATCTCGCGGCTCGGCGAATAGCGCCATGTACCATGGTTTGCCCTAAAAATACATATTTAGCAGCAAGCATGATTGAAACGTGATATTTCTTATCGTTTAGATAAAGGTGCATGGCACTTTGCACAAACAAGATTTCAAGTGAATCGCACCATAAGTGCACGATCGTGGGCACTTATTTAGCGCTAAAGAAGTTCGAGGGTCAGCATTTCATCAAATTCCAGTACATTTTGCACTTTTACGAAACACGAAGTTTCCTAATGAAACACATTCGTATGCGATTTGGAGCAGGAAGGCAAAATTTCATCTCTGGTTAATCTTTTCATTATAATTAACTTGCATGAATATGTTGTTTTCCCCCAAAATATTGGAAGGTTCCGCATTGACCATTCATACCGTATTTTCCCGATATTGGTATTTGATGTGCGCTGACCTCCATCTTGACTAGCATGGGCTAGAATCATACTAATCACAAAATCATTTACCTTTGAGCCAAAGAATTCTATCTGAGTTCGAAGTTCTCGTATTGACGGCGCATCAGATGTTGTGTAGCCTCTATCAAAACTTAATCGCATCTCAGGCCTGTGATTTTGAATTCTGTTGAAGGAATTAAAGTTCTAGAGAAAGTCTTAGTAACTTACGGTAAAGCTAGTAGTATCAGAACAGAAATAATGAATAAAACTACACTGGCGATGAAGAATGTGAGAGGCCTTGTCCCAACGGTAGCCCCAAGCTGGCGAAACATCTTCGACAGAAGCATGCCTGTAGAGGTGATTTTAGAAAAATGTAAGTTCTTTGTTTTCAAATCGTATTACTCAGGCAGCTGAGATCTATGTAGGAAATTTTCAGAGATTTTTTTTTGAGATTTTTAACATTAGAAATTTCCTAGAGGTGAGTAAATGAATCATTCGCGCTGGAGATGTATCTTCATTGTTTATAGCGGGTTTCAATGATGTTGATTCATTCTAGATGAAATCATTGTATTCAATAGTATGAACGAAACGAAACGATTCTAATGTAATAAGAGAAAGCTCTTCTAAGAGTATATGTTTTAGCTCTAAAGACTGCTCTATGAATAAATGTTTCTTTTCTATCTCTGTAAGCGCAGCATTTACACTAGCAAGGGGAACAGTCTCAATGGCCAGATCAAAGAAAAAATTATTGAAAAAAATTTGCGTTGGAAGCTGAACTCAAAAAGCTAGACATCCTTGAACTGCTTGATTGACATTCTCTGATAGAGCTATAGTGCAAAGTCCCTTTTCCGGGCAAAGGTACGCTTTCTATCTAAGATCACTTTTTTTTATGATATAAAAATCACAATTTAGAAACGACGAAGAACCCTAAGCAAATTGCTCACAAACACTCGCTACACAGCTACGCACAAATCATAATGTGACTCAGTGACATCAGAATCATCCTCCTGATGGGGTTCGAAGTGCGATTTGAGTCAAAGTCTAGACTACATGAACACCCATAAAACACCATAAACGGTTCAGTAAAATACTTAAAAAGAGCAAGAAGCTTCAGTAGACACATTCGGTTTCAAACCAAACGGTCGAACATTGATAGACGTTCAAAGCGTTTCGTCTGCGATAAGAGGATGTTTATCAGTAACGCCGCCGCATCAGCTCAACACCCACGACGGTGTAGAGGAATTCGGCAGCGATGTTTCATACCAGAGCCAGGATTGATAAATGTTTGACAAAAGCGGGATATCCCACATTTTCGTATTTTCGGCCTTGCATCTCAATTTTTAGCCATGGAAAAACTACAGCATTACATGTGCATGATGTATAGAGTACATGCGTGAGCGAGTGGGATTTCATAGCTTATTAAGCATAGGTTCGTTTCGGGAATTTTGAAATATCAATTCCGCATGGGTCAGACTTTCTGACGGGAGACATTGTGAACTTCCGCCGCTTTAGTGATTGGTAATTTGACCACTAATCCAAAGAGTTGAAATAAGTAAGCGTCAAATTCAGAATTTTCAAAAAAGTGAGGCGGTAGGTAGGAAATAGATAGTCTCGTGCTATGCGGATAACCCCCCATTAAGGAAGCAGCTCAAATCTATAAATTCTATTGACTAGAGGACTGCATGTCGTCAAACGCGGGAGGGTCCCGAGCGGATTTCTTGCTAAAACGCACCTCCATGTTTATGTATAAAAGCGTATTTGTTGCGAATGACCGCGAACCGCCCCTTTTCGGCGACATATAGTCCCCTACCCATTCTATTTTATATGATTAAAATAAATAAAGTCTTTTTTGCTCGTTTTGATTCCTCGTTTATGTTAGACATAGCTTAGATTGCAATCCCCATGGTGCACAGGTGTAATTAATAATCAAATAAGTAAATAAATAAAAATATTTGAGACTCCATTTTATCTTTGCCTATGTTGTCCAATTAGCACGTAGTAAAAGAATTCTAAAGTTTCTTATGCGCTAATGCAGTGAAAAACAGGATCATTCAAAAAAGAGCATTGCTTGATGAGTGCTACGTAGCAAATCAATCAGTAATGTGGATATGTTTACGTTTACTAAGCACACTACCACCTCTTATCAGCCCCTATCAAATTTGTTGTTGCCAACCGTTGAAACCCTCAGACTTCACTTCTCCCTACCCCTATCCCCCTTCCCCATAAGTTGTGAGTGTTAGCTCCCAAAGCAAGAGCTTCTGGACGGATGCGAAGGCCAGATAGTGTCGCATGAAAAGCTAAAATAAATGGTCGCTACTCACCAGATTTTTGGAGAACTAGGATACTTTGGACACTGAACGTAGCATCCACATGCTTCAGGGTCTCTGCCCACGTAGACATGGATGTTGCTCATATAAACTACTGAGTCAGCACAGACGCTTGAATCACCGTGCGTATGTATGTAGCTGCGGCGGTATTTTTCGAATACTTCACACTAACTTTTGGACTCATGCGTTTTTCTAGAAAAGGAAAACGGAACAAGGTGTCTTCAGTAAGTTTTATCTACATCCTTTTTTCAAAAAGCATTTTGACTTGTTATCACTGCTTTCCTGATAGATAAAAACAGCTGTACGCCAGAGGAAATATCTAGATTGAAAGGGGAGTGGGACAATATGTCAAATTTCATGTATCTCCACCTTCTCGAACTTGCAATTTCTTGTGCTTGTCGTAAGGAAGAACTGACATTTTGGAAGCGACGAGTAGCATAACACTAAATAACACCATTACAATAACACAATTGTGTCTTTGTAATTACTAGCAGAAAATTATACTAACTTTGGAAGTCTGTTCATATTCAGGTCGGCACAGCTGGCATCGAGTCAAACTGGATATCTTTTTGGAACAAAAAGCAAAGGAGATATAGTTTTTATGGCCGAAAAGACGCAAAAATTGTGGTTTAGTCGACATTTAGTTTTTTTTGAGAATTTTGTACGTTTAGGGTTTAAGGTCAGATGGAATTTCGTACGAAATTTTCAAAATCAAAGGGGACTTTGTTTTGAAGTTTTCCTGGTGTCAGCTTGTGCCGCGAGCCTTGTTCATTTCGTCATATCCAGGAAAATGGGAAACATTGGGGATACCATGAAAATTAGAGGATATTTATTAAATTTTGGTATTATCTGTATATATTTACTTGGATTGTTATATTACTTGAATTAAATTATATTAATTTTATTACTTGGATTATTGTTAATCATGTATCTCACAATTAGATCGTTCCTTAAGCAACCAAGTTCAAAGAGAAATCGCCCATGCTTCTTCAAGAACCTAGCCAACAACTGATACCGACAAAGGAGCTTGGAAGTGTTATTATGAAAATTCTAGGATTCGTCAACATTTGTGATCCTGATTGTTGTTTTTGACTATCGCGTAGGCCAAATGGAACATCTTTCAACAATGGCTTAGCTTGGATTAATGGAAGTGGAGAGAGAAGAGCATCTATTTCAACAAAATTGCGAAATGGTTTCGATCGTCTTGCAATCAAAGGAAGCATCTTCATTAGTTCCTCTGTTGCCAAAACATCCACTTTCTAAACATACGAACGCTGAATGTTGCCTTTTGATCGATTTCCTGAAATGTTCAGAAGGGCTCAATGATACATCCTGTTTTACCGTTTGATACGCATGTAAGCCACTAGTTCATTGTATATCGTTCTGCTCCTTATCGCTGGCTTCTATTTTCTCCTTGGCAAGAAACAATGGGATATCTGATACAACTGATATAACCGCTCAAATCAACTTGAAGATGTCGAATTGTTCATGGCGAGCGACGGAGCAACCACATTTTTGATCAACACTTTCTATTTGAATCTTATGTCTCGTTATTCGCGAGGAATTTAACTGTTTTTATTTCAAATCAAAATCAATATCCTTTTTGCTGACAGGACAGCCTTGTTATTTCTTGCTATCAAGTAGTGGCAAGGAAGGAGCAAGTATGTAAATTTGCCGTACGTCTTTCTTGCAATGTGTTACAAAGGAAGAAATACGCTGCCCTTTCGAAGAAATTCTTCCAACATAAGATAGGTAAGTCAATGAAGTATTTTTATCTTGATAGTAGGGCCTCTCCTCGAAGCTTTTCTTTGAAAGAGTTGTAAAAACCGTCTTATAAAATCTTAAACGTACCTCGCATAACGATCAAGGTTGGTGATACCTTCATGAGGAAACCTACTACTTATTGTTAGAAATCCGTCTAATGCCAAAGTCAACGGAGTAAGCTCGTTTCTTGTAGTCATGCTTTTTATTGCTTTGCTCAAACCTTTTTACATTTTCGCCCTGGGATGATGATGCAGTATATATGATTGTACACGAACCTAATAAATCGTTTGCGTAGAGTGGGATCTTGATCTGAAGATACGATCAATGTGGTATTGTGCAATTGCACGGTATCGCGTCAGAGGTATGCACACTGATGAGCAATGAGCGGCTTAGTCGTCGCTTCCAGTGGCCATTTCAGAAAAATCCTGGTGATCAAAAGTCACGAAAACTCGCCACTTATTTAGCTTGCGCAGCAGTTTCCAGCCGCGAAATGGCTACAAAAGAAAAATAGCCCCGCATGCTTTGAAACGTATTAGGTTGTGTAATAAGTTTGTTGGCATTTTATGTTTCAACTTTTTCTCAATATTTTACACAGCATCTCGCGGAAGAATTGTATGCAGTGGAAAGCTTTGAATCTGCTCTACCAAATGCTGGTATTACTTTTTTAATTCTTGAAAAGCTGAATTAATAAATTGACTACAAACCGAAAAATCCGAGAGGTCGAAAATTCCATTTTCGACACCTATATTATGCTGCCTTTTGAATGGGTTTGAATGCTCAAAAAACATCTCGAAAAATTTGCGACGTGTGTGGATAAAATGCTGTGCGTCCCGCAAATTACTCATAAGTGCTAAAATTGCTCAAAAATTTATTTTATAAACTTGAAGATAATTTTGCTTTTTGACCTCTCTTCGGTGTCAACGTTAGGCATCTGAAGGCATCGTGTGAGAGGATGATTGCCGAACAACACAGATTGGGAAACAAGGGGGTCATAAAATTATCAAATATATGGATTGCTTACTCCAAAATTCGAATTTTGGGGGACATACAACTCAAGTACGCAAACCACGAACGTCTTTGCGGCAAAGTCTTGCTCCGCTCACTGTTGCAAAAATGGCATTAAATGGTCGGTTGAAGGACATGAATAAGCATAAATACTGTATTGAATGGAAAAGTGATTAGTCTGTTATTTTCAATTATTCTCATGGTTTTTGAGTAAATTCTATCAATGATTAACGGAAGAAACTAGGAAAGAAAAAG